GGATTTTGTAATTTCTACCGACGTTTTATCTAAGGATATAGTACTATTTTAAAATCTTTATATCGACTTACTCGATAAGACGTTTCTTACGAATAGACTAAATAATATAAGGCCGCCTTCTCGTTATTAAAGAAGAAGTTAATAACTACGCCGGTTCTCCGTTATTACGACCTAGTTCGACGGATAAGAGTCGAGACCGATACTTCCGATAGAGTACTCGGAGTAGTTCTCTCCTAGTATTATAAGAACGATAACTTCTAGTATCTAGTAGCTTTCTTCTTAAAAAGCATATAATCCGCGGAGTTAAATTACGAGATACGGGATAAAGAACTCTTAGTAATTATTCGTATACTATAGGAATAGCGATCTAAACTTAAAGGTTTAGTATAAAAGGATCGCTTCGAGATCTTAATAGACTATTAGTCTCTTAAATACTTTATAATAACGAGATAGATAAACTAACGATAAGCGAGATAGAGCGAGTTCCTATCTTAGTTCTATTTTATAATTAAATATCGCCCGGGAAAGAAGAATATTATAGCTAACGTCTTATCGCGAAAAGACTTATCCTATACCGATAATAGTAGATAGATAACACTTCTACTAAGGAGTTATTTAGAAGAAGATATCTATCTAGTCGGTTTAAACCTAATCGACGTAGAGTATATAATAGATATTATCGGGCGAGTAAAGTAAGCTAACCGAGAAAGTACTAAGCTAGCGGATTTCCGACGGATAGCTAGGGAAGGTAGTAACTAGAAGTAGACTATCGAAGAAGGTTTACTCTTATTCGAAGGACGACTTAAGATTTTAGACAAAGGAGATTTATATATAAGACTTCTTAATAATATATATCGATAACCGTTAACCGTATACCCTAGAATCGAAAAACTAAAGAAGCTTATCTCGTTAAGATATTATTAGCCGGGATAGGCTAACGACGTAAAGCGATATATAGAAAACTACTTAGTTTATAAACGAATAAAAGCTTAGCGAGATTATATACCTAGATTGCTATATCCTTTGCCTATTCCCGAGAGACCCTAGTAGTATATTTCGATAGATTTCCGCTTATTCCTAAAGGATCGTTATAGTTACGACGCTATCTTTATAGTTATTAACCGACTAAGTAAGAGACTAATTTCTATTTCTTATTATAAGGATACTAATACTAAGTAGATAGCTAGATTATTTATTAATAACGTGATTTAGACTACGGGTATTCCGGAGACTATTATATCTAACTAAGGCGGATAGTTTATTTTAGAATTCTAGACTAAGTTCTACCGGATACTTAGAATTAAGAGGAAGTTATTAACTACCTACTACCCTTAGACCGACGGATAGAGCGAGATCGTAAATTAGTATATAGCCTAGAGGTTACGACTATATATTAAATAGAATTAAGATAACTAGTTAGAGATTCTACTAATAGTAGATTTCGTAGTATTAATCCTTCTATAGGATACTACGAAGTAGTTACTATTCTTTATCGAAAGGGGTTACGAACCGGCTATATCCTTTAACTAGAAGGACCGAAGTAATCTAACGGATAACGAATAAGATGTAATTAATATATTATCATAACTTTAAGATATCTAGACGAAGACGAGAGATTAGATTATAAAGTCCTAGTAGTAGATAATTTAATAGGCGAATAAGTACCGGAGAGAAGAGGATTTCGACGTCGGTAATTAGGTTTTCGTTATAACGAAGGATTAGTAGCTAAACTACCTGAATCGGAAGCTTTCTTACCTAGCTAGTAGACCCTATAGGATTATCGAGAAGATCGGAAACGCCTATAAGCTCGATCTTCCGGAATCTATTAAAGTTTATCCGGTATTCAATCCTAGTAAGCTTCGAAGAGCGTTATTATTAGAACTATTACGCGGATAGCATCTAGACCTACTACCGCTAATTAGGATCTCTAAGGAAGATAAATAGGAAGTAGATAAGGTCATCGATTTACGCCTTTATTACCGGAAGTTGTAGTATCGAGTTTAATAGCTCGGCTATAATCTCGACCTATAGTGGTATCCTATAGGAAATTTCAAGTATATACCTTAGAAGATTTAGCACTTCTATAACGATTACCCTCTGAAGCCCGGACCCCCGATACGCCTATAAGCCTAGTTGGATACGGCTAAGGACGAAGTCTTCCTTAAAGATCATAGGGATGACGATAAGCCGGCATTTAGGGGCTAAATGCATTCTTAGTCGGGGGTTATATGACGATCTGTAGAGTTTTCTGCTGACTGACTCCGCCTATAGACGAGTCAGTTGGTTCTACCGTGTGTTTCCGCCTTGCAGAGATTTCTGCTGATTGTTTCCGCCTTCGACCCAGGACCCACCCCATAATGTCTTTTGGTCCTATTGATAGATTCTTTTCTTCTCTTTTCTTTTTCCTCCCTATACTTAATGTTCTAGTTAAATGCACTCTTTTTGTTAAAGAACTGGCTGGTAATAACGGGTTTATAAAAGCGCTTGACAAAGAAGTATATATAAAGTTTATCTAGATATTAGGTCTTAATTGATCTATATACTAAATTTTACGGGTAGATATAGATTTATATTATATAGGAAATAGTAGAAAATGAGAAAACAAAATAGAGAGTTTTTATTAGTAGAGACAAAGAGATATGGTGATAGTCTTCGTCCTGAAGGGGGTGTTAGAGTCACGTGACGGCCATGTGGGGCCGCAGGTGATCCTGACCCATAGAACTCAGGATATTGTTAGACAGTAGCTAGTTTTTCTTCTCTTCTTTTCTTTCTCTCTAGAGTCTACAATATTAATCCCTTGAGGTTAACATTCATTCCTGCATAGCCTGTATTCCATCTGACAACCTTCTATTAGTCATTATAACCTACTACTACCCCCCTACTATGACCTACTAGGAGCAACTAGTAAATTACGACCTGACAACCTGACAACCTGACAACCTGACGACCCCCCTATTCGTTCTAAAGGTCAGAACTCGAGATTGAACCTGATGCTTTTAGGTTTGAATTTTAATTTTGATGTTTGACTTTGAATTTCCACATGGCCCTGTCAGGAGTAGGTCCGATTTGCCGGCGGAGGACTATAGACAGGTCATCTGTAATACTACCTGTACTAGTCCATCCCTCCATGTATTATATTCTCAGATGAGATAGTGAGCGCTCCATGGGACGAGTTTAATGTTCGCACAACTGACCCTACAGCCCGCCTTCCATTATAGACGAGTGATACCAACGGACTGAAGTAGGAAGACTTCGAAAGGGCCCTTATCGCAATTCCAGTGTACAGTGACGGTACATATGTTTGACCACCCTCTTCTGCTACCACCTTTCTGAATAGCCTTACCGTTGGGTATTCTGGATCTTTGATTAGTGGAGGCCTGGCCGGCAGGATGCTGGGTGTCCATACTTATGCGCCGTCACTGTACTTTTCCACTGATGCTCAGGTGCTAACGATGCAAGAGAGAATGGTGTAAAAGCCACTTGCGGCATATATTATAGAGTTACGAAATGCAACTCATTTCTTACGCCACAATGGCCGTTCCACCAGCTGCCAGTCTTAAAGTCAGTTGTCGTCCAGTCTTCCCGAAGGGGATTACAGAAAGATAAGAGGGAAAGATTCAATAGTTAATCATCTCTCGGACCTATTTGATCTTCGCTAAGTTTCTTGTTCACTAGTAAGAGAGATAATACAGAATTAGCTCCCAAAGGCTAAAGCCATTTAAATTCTCTAGATATATATCCTGAATTGTTCCACTACCTGTTCCTATAACTGCTATTCGCTTAATTTCACTTATGGCTACTCAAGCTCGATGAGACGATAAAGCTTTTATCTGAACGTCAAAGAGGGTGGTGAGAATGATGTGGTTGTTGGGGATGAAGATAGAAGCAAAGATATATCTGTACCAGAGGTGCCTGCAAAACCGGTTACGGATACAATATACTATGTTTAGAATAGACGGAATGTATTATGTTATACGGTACAAAAGGCGGAAACTCCAGTGGTGAATCTTATATATGTATTAATAAGCGTTGTCAAAATTGGCCCAAATCGGCTGCCGTATACGGAACCTACTCTACCTTCTATGCCCTTGGTTCGGCGGCAGGTGACATGTTCTGGCTGTGGAATAAAAGGTCATACATATTCTAAATGCCCTACACGTGTTCAATAGCCAAACTTATGTTTTTTGATGGTTTTAATAGTGGTTAAAAATTGAAGGTTTTTCAAGGTTTGGTGGGGTCGCCCGCGCAATCGGACTTCATGTTAAGAGGAAGCCGTGCCAGGCGCCCAACACCAGGGGACCTGGTGTTGGGCGCCTGGCACGGCTATAGGAAGGGTTAGTCAGCAGGTCAAGTGATTACAGGATTCCCTTTGAAGCGAGAGAGCACACACAACCTTCCTCTCCCCATGTTGATAATTCTCGTGATAGGCACACCATAGCTAGCTACAATTAGCAATCCGCTATAGGTTCGAGCAACTGTCACCGTCTCGAGGGAATGCGGACAGGTCACTCTGAGGAGGTACTCCGCCAGACTACCGGAAGTTCTAGGTTCCGGCTTGGCAGCCTTGCATCTCAGTGACCAGGTCGTCACATTATTCGGGGCTTCTGCCTTGTGTAAAGGGGAACTAATCCGATATATGGATTAGTAATCCTTAGACTGGAATGACGAGGTAGAATCACAATAAGAAGTTATGGCGTGAGGAGAGAGAGGTAGTATTCCAGCCTAACCAGAGACTGATCGCTAAGTTGCGGAAGGCAACCTCAGGATCACCACATATGCCTGCGTCAGACGCGGCGCTACCGTGCTGACATAATCAGGGATCAGGCCGGTGGCCCTAATACCTCGTTACCTGCCAACGGTAGATCAAAAGGCCAGGCCTGGAAATCCCAAAAGATATTTTCATGTGGAGGAGGATTAGCGCTTGTTGTTTCAAATAGAAGCGGTTCCAATGCACTTTCTGGGTTAGCGACAAGAAGGCGAAAAGTACGGTAGAGGAGTATTTACTCATGCCATGGATATTCAGCCGTGAGTCCCTGGTCCTCGACAATCAGAGACTGCCCAGCTCGCGAAGATATAACGTTCTGGGCCATGCCCATAATGTCAAGGCTTAGCCTCTTTCCCGTAGTCGGGCCCAGATGCTTCATATCCCCGAGACACTGAATCGCCTGATCAAGGACCAAGAATGTATCCTTTGCAGCCTCGGCCGTGGTGGCCGGGTGGAGGACGTGGAACAGGAGCGTGAGGCACGCACTGACGAGATAGATTGCGGGTGATCCGTCGGACCTTGCGTCCGGCACTCGTGAGGACAAGCTATGGTGGGTGAAGCGGATAACAGCCTTGGCCGAACCGACGCAGAGCTCAATACACTGGCCGAGCGGCAGGGACGTATTTCTTTGAGCTTCGGTAACTGAGGCGAAGAAAGTAACAAAGACCAACGCCGGTCTATGCGTTAGCATGCGCATCGTTTCAAACATAATACCAAGGTGTAGCCTTTGTATCTCCTGCTAGTCTTCGCCGATTGGGGCTTCTGCCTCTAGGCGGTTGAGATGCGCTGGTAGACAGTTCAGGATGTCTTGCAACCGAGCCTCGCACACCAGTATCCCACTCGTCGGGAGGAAATTCTGCACCTCGAGCGAAGCAGCCTTGGAACCGTAAATGCTTGTAAATATCTCGTCGGCCAACTCTCCCAGCATTGCCATGGCCCGTATGTAGGACCAGTCAGTAATGACGCCGCATGGCAGTACATGTCGAGGGCCGGCCGGCACAAAATCATCCAAAGGATACGTGGCATCAATATGCTCATCTCTAAGGTTGGAGGGGCGGCCAATCATCAAAGCTGTCATCCGTTCCATTATGTACGTGGACCAGAAGGTGAGGCTTATCTCGAGTGCGTCTGTTCCGTGATCCCCTAGGCCAAACGAGCGGTCCATTCCTAGTGCCGTGGCAGTACGAGCAGCATGCCCTAGGTACATGTAGGCATCGTTTGTGCGTATGACATGCTGCGCATAAATGGCCTACCAGAAGCGGAGGTATTAGCTAGATATTCATGATAGATCGTATTGGACCCTCGAAGGTTACAACACATAAATAAGGGAACATCACAATAGCTGGCTGGGCATACCTTGAGGAGAAACACACGCACTACGTGCAATGAAGGTTCTTCGAGTGCGGAAAATGGTATTTCTACTCTTTGCGAGAAGTGCTCAGCCCAGGCCTCAGCCAACCTGAAGCCATCCTGATTAATGATAGGACAGACACGGGCGCCGACGGCTATAGCCATAAACATAATCTCCTTCCCCTGATGTCGTAATGCTGAGTTTTCATCCATAACATCGTGGGCTTCCCACGATGCTACCCACTGAGATACGACCTTTTGATAGTCGAGAATAGGTAGCTGAGGGTGGACGAGTTTGAAATAGCTGCGGATAAACAGGTCGCCTAAGTGCCGGGGTAGGACGGCCCCAGAGCTTGGCTCAGATAATGACGCCCGAGGCATAGAGAAGAGGAAGCGCTCGAGCCTCCAGTTGCGGATGGCTGTAGGTATCTCCTGCTCGGAATCTTCTGATCCCGGGAATTGGCACATCACCAGTCTCTCATAGACACGCTGCAGAAAGGCGATCTGTGAGGATGGACCTGCAAGGTAGTTGTCCGTTAGCACGAGATCAATACCATTGCGATCCGGCACCCATAGTATTGGAAACCAGGCAGGGTTACTGTAGGAATAGGTCTTTGCCTGTGAAGCTTACCGTAGACCTGAAACGTAGACGTCAAGTGGTTACTGATTCTGATGCCGACGCAGCACCGATTATACCACGACCGACCCGGGACCTTCGGCTTCGGCGCTGGCTGCTCTGATGTACTGATAGGAGCAGGGTGGTCAGGAGAAGGATCCCTGGGTCCATTCCGTGCCGACGCCGACGGCTGCTGATTACGCCGAGTCCTCACGCGCGAATGGCCGGTGCGGTAGTCACATGCGGTCGGTTGACGGGAACAACCTGTACATGGCTGGGCGCCGTTACAACGGATTTTGCGGCGCCGACAGCGTTCGCAAGCCCGACTTATGCGCGTGATGGATGCGTCGTCGCTCTTCGGGGCAGCCGAGCCTACTCTATGCGGACTGGGGCTTGCAGTATTGTTGTTATGTGCGGCTTCGGCAGAGGGCCGATTGGACAACATGTTTTTTGATAACTTGGGTCGCATTGTCCGCTCAGAAGCAGATGCGTAGTATTCGGATAAATCGGTTAGTTAAGAAACGTGGTTTTTCTGGCAGAGGTGTTGAACAGTACGAAAAGACTATGACTGCCTAATCTAGCAAGTTGGTTGACTGTGCGTATTGTACAGGCGGTGACCTTAGTCAGAGCCTTATCCCCATACATGCTCACCGCCGGACACCGGAGGAAACTTCTTCCTTTCAGGTATCCAGGCTACCGACTCTACTCAACAAGAGGTGTTAGACAGTACTGGGGTTTGACGCCAAGCATACGGTCTGGTAAGATTGGTACTTTACAAGGAATATTGTTGCTCCCGTATTCGGGTGTATCAGGGATACCGATCCAGGTACCTTCTTTACACCTGATTTTCTCTCCTATTAGATAGATTCGATGCCGACTGTACCGTAGGAATGTGACTGAAGAAAGTGAACCCGAGCATAACGTGCGTGGAAGTTGTGGTTGATACTACAGTAAACCCTGGATATAACGATAATTTTTCCGTGTCTGTATTATATCGTGATAAATAGGTTTTACTGTATATAATTTTCTAGTATTGTATGGTCCCATCAGTGGCAATTACTAATTTTCTGCGTGGCAGAAACCCCGTTGTCAAAATTGGCCCAAATCGGCTGCCGTACAATGCCCATGGGCCATATGCGGGCTGCAGCAAATATCGGCCAATTAAACCACTAGAAAAAAAGGAAAAGAATTAAAACTATATATCTAGTACTCTAATATCTATGTCTAAGAGCCTAGCCCAAAGCAAGCCTGTAACACTAAGTTCGTCATATGTCGAGCCAATGTGACCACTGCGAGATTTTCCGGCTTATATTCCGCTCCAGAGTTCATCGTCTGTTAGTCCCCGTCTGTCGGAATGTCTGCGCGCAATTTGGCCAATGTGATGAAGGTTGGAAAGCCTCAAGGTCGAAATTTCTATCGCTTATTGAAATTGAGGAAGCAGTTCTGTCGCTTATTAGCATCGGTCTCCACCATATTGTGCTCCCTTTGTTGGAAACCTACCGCAAAGAAAGTAATAATTATATTGCTCCCAACAAAGGCGATAAGGATACCCAGGTCTCTCCAACGCGTATCGAATGAGATCGAGAGTGTGTTGTAAAACTCATCGCCGACCTTATACGCACAGTATTTGCAAATGTTTGTGTTGTTGTCGACGATATAACCAGGTCCGCCGTTGTCGAAGAATGCCTGCATATATTCCCCACAGTTTGTACCATCAGGGGCTTCAAATGAACTCAACTCCGAAGGCTTGCATCTTACGAGAGAATCGTGCAGCTCAGTCGACACCATGCCACTGATGACACGTGTAAAGGGGTCGAGTTCATAGAGCCAGACACGCCATCCTTCAGCCATCTGGGGATATGGGATAGTGACGCCGCAGAAAAGAATGAAAATGGTCATCATGAAAGCATCATACTGCGATGATACCGAAGAGGACGGTGACAGTGAGGCAAGCCCTTGCGCCAGAGTGAAAGAAAAGAATTCTAAAGTAAGGATCATGAAAAACTGGTAACCTGCCCGGGATGATGCAGTTTGAAGACCGGGCATGAAGTAGACTGGCAAATAGAAGCAGACGGCACAGAGAATCGAATACGGCACCTCGGCGGCAATGGCTGATGCAGTAAAGACGGTCGACGAATACATCTTCGCCAGCGACTCGCGGAAAAAGAGGGTGCGTTTCTGGTCGAACATAACCTCGATCTGGGTAATAAGCAGCGCAGGCAGGACAGTGCATTGGAAGACAACGAAAACCTTCTGCTGCAGTGCAGAGCGCGAATCATCGAGGTTCAGAAAGGCCAGGCCGACGATAATACCAAACGCTACATGGTTGGCGAGTCTCGTGAAGAGATAGTTGGGTGAGCGCCAGTATGATCTCATCATACGTGCTGTGACGATCCAGAGTTGATGATGAAACGGAGACGCATATTCCTTCTGATCCTTGGAATCCGAGGCTTGATTCTCATTCGCCCTTTCCTGGCGTAGTTGAGCAATCGTCTGCTTGACAAGCGTGAACTCCGAGCTTTCTCTCCAGACACTAGCCCAGTCGTGGCCGCCCATTGGAGGGGCGCTACCGGCACCGACAGCCTCCAGCATGAACTCGGCGATATTTGCCGTAGGCGGGGCCACGGCGCCGTTCCTTGCTAGATACTCGCGTAAGATGCACGCATCTTTCCCGATATCCCCAAAATAAACCGTGTTACCACCTCGGGTCAAGAGCAGCAAGCGATCGAAGTTCTCGAACAATACCGCGTTCGGCTGATGGATCGTACAGATGATAGCTTGCCCGGCTGCGCTGAGCTTCCGAAGAAAGCGGACAATGTTGAAGGCGCTCTGGCTATCCAGGCCAGACGTTGGTTCATCGAGGAACAGGAGGAGCTCTGGCTTTGCTGCCAGCTCGACGCCAATGGTAACACGCTTCCGCTGTTCCACTGTAAGGCCGGTATCCGGAGACCCGATGATGCAATCAGCGATATCCTCCATTTCCAATAGCTGGATGATCTCTTCCACATATTCGTTTCTCTCCTTCATGGGAACATGGTAAGGTTGTCGCAAGTAGGCAGAAAACCGGAAGGCCTCTCTCACGCTTTGTGTTGGCTCGTGGACATCCTGTTGTTCCGCGTAGGACGTGGACCTCTGAAACTCCTTTCCGGGTTTTCTGTTATCAACCAGAATATCACCGGTGACGATTCCAATGTTTTTGCGAGACGCCAAGACATCGAGAAGAGTGGTCTTCCCAGCGCCAGATGAACCCATTAGCGCAGTAAGCTCACCTGGACGGACAAAACCAAAGATGTCGTTCAACAGCCGACGCTCACCTCCGTCGACCGGGACAGTATAAATCAAGTTCTCCCAGGTAAGGACACTCGTCGAGCTTAGTCGCAACCCCGACCCCGATTCATTTGACTTATCCTTACGCCTGGCGTCTCTCTTGGAGGCCAGAGTCCTGTTCAGCTCGTCGCGTTCTTTGCTGGGCGGGACGTACACCTTGGACGACCCACTCTTGCTCGAAAATTGGAAGTATTCGCCGAGAAACACGTTCAAGAAGAGGAGAAAAGCGATGAGGACAACCACTATTCCCCAATTGCGCCACAGATCACCTGGGTGAAATGAGTATCCCTGGATGAGGAAGTCCCAACCATTGACCAAGAGAGTCCCAGTATTAGACCCGGCCAAGGTGCACACCTGATGTTCGATATCTTCATAACCGGGCCCGGACGGGATGAGGGAGTCGTCGGTGCAGGTCATGTTAATCCGGCTAAATTCGTTTTGCATAAAAGCACTGAACGAGAGACCGATAGAGTTGATCCATGAGATCCACCGTAGCCAGTGGTGTGCGTCTTGGTATTGGATGGGGTAACCGGACGTCACGACAAAAAGCGTGATGATGACAACGGCGAACTTCAGGGCGTAATCGAAATCCGGACTGATACAACCAAGGACTTGGAATAATAACGTCATCGCGATATTTCCGCAGATCATGACGAGAAAGAAGGTGAAAAAGGCGCCTGCGGTCCGTACTAAACCAGACATGAAGTAGATCATGATGGCAAAGACCAAAATCTCTGAGATTTCGAACGCCTGATCCACAATCACCTGTGCAATCCAAAGAGCTGAAGGTCGATGAAATGCGTAGGCTTTGTGCTTGGCGACTATAGATCGCCCTGTCATGATCGATGCCATCTCTGTAAAAGACTTGAAGGCGATATAGAGCAGAGATATGAAAAGGAGACCGCTCTTGCTAAACGCGCTACCAGACGTCTGTTCCAAGTCATAGTATAAGGTCCCAAGGATAACACCAAGAAGGATGGTTCGCAGCCACGACATGCCCAAATTAAAATAGTCTTGGGACTTGAGGGCAAACTGGCGTTTCATGAGAGCCCAGACCTGCAGATGGAAGCCGACCTGGTAGACCGATCGCTTGACACCCCTCTTGCTCTCAGAAACCGCAGCTTCGAATTCTTGATGCTTCGGTTTCTCGTGCTCCAGGGACGCCTTGTAATCAGCAAGTTCGGAGGTTAGAGCCTGCTGGAGCTCAGAGCGCTGGAACGCCTCCTGGAGTGTCTCGGCGTCATGTGGCGCGTTGTGATCGGAGCGTCCAGGCCTATACTCGCGTTCGAACTCGTCAGTGCATCCCGTGATATAATCTGGTGTCGTCTGGCGTGGTCGCGAGGCGAATCCCAGCCCCTCGAAGTAGGACCGAGCCTGTGAAGTTGGACCAAAGTAGACCTGTCGTCCATTGTCGATGACCATGACCTTGTCAAACAAGTTGTAAATGTTTTCCGAGGCCTGATAGAGCGATACGAACGTAGCCGTCTTGTACATGTCCGTTTGGATCCGCAGAGATTTGACGAAATCCAGGGCAGTGCTGGCGTCGAGCCCTCGCGAGCTGTTATCCCATGACAGGACGCAGGCGTTTGTGATCAACATCTCCGCAATACTGACCCTTTTTCTCTCCCCACCAGAAACACCTCGCACGAACTGGTTCCCAACCACCGTCTTCCGGGTATGTTCAATATTGAACATTTTGAGGAGCATTGATAGAACCTGCTCCTTGAACTCAGCCTTGGAGATATTGCCAGGGAGTTTTGCCGGTATCTTGGTATCTAAGGCGAAGGCGAGCGTCTGCTCCACGGTCAAGGTCGGATGGTGGATATCCTCTTCGCCATTGTAGACCGTTTCACTGCGATATTGATTGAACTCATGAGCTCGCCAAGGCCCATATCGCACGTCTCCCGTCACACTCGTGTACTCCTGTCGCTGATTTGTGATGGTCTTCAGAAAGGTCGTGCAACCGGAGCCAGGCTTTCCGAGAACGAGGATCATCTCTCCCGGCTTGCAGACGCCGTTGGACCCGTGCAGCAGGGTCGCCTCGATCGGCTTCTTGTCCAAACCGGCCAGGCGAAGCAGGGGCTTGTGTACACTGATGAAGCTCACCAGAGAGTCGAGAAAGGTAGACACGTAGTTATTAGTGGTGCTCGTGCCTCGGACAGTAAAATCCTCCCATATAACGCCGATGTGCTTGTCATGGATCCCGACTTGCTGTCTGGCGTCAAGCTGGCCGCGCAAGATGCCCTCCAGGTCGAAAACCTCAATGTCAGAATCTGTTTTGGTCTTGGAATCTTCGTCACCTTTCGGCCTAGACTCTCTTCTTGAGGCATTGGTGAGCTCCCGTTGCAGTCGAGAAAATTCGGCCTCGGCTCGCTCAATCGAGATACCGCCGCTGGCACGCCTCGAGGGTGGACGCTCCTCATCTTCGGTCGAGGAGGGATCAGGATATACCCGGTGGTCATTTATTCCGTCAGTACTTTGTCTGGGAACAGTAACCGGTTCCGGATCGGCAAGCGTGTGCTCGGACATGGTTGGCGCGTGCGATGGACGGGGAGGGCACGTCTAAAAGAAAAGTAAAGGTGAACAAAGAGGCGTGTAGTGAATGTAATAAAAAAGGATCGATAAGAACTCAAAGACTGGGAAGTGTTGTCGTTTTAAAAATATAGGAAATCTGAGCGAGAGTTATGACAATAAGGAGAGAAATCCTATTGAAGTCGAAGACTCAAGCTTATTTATATCTCTTTTCCAATGATCACCGGAGTTGTCGGATGTTCATCTATCGGTATTAGAACACCACACTTAAGACACAGTAATAGCGACGGCTTATCTAGTAAGTCCGTGGAAGAAAAGGCTTAAGCCATTCTAGTAGCAAGCGGTACGCTCGTGAAGACCAACTATCCACGGAATTAAACCACTGCCTATAAAGTGGGCCTTTCCGTGTTCCCACTCTGTCGGTAGTGTACAAGCCTCCACCCTTCTTTCTCACACTTCGGTGCAGGCGAAAAGGTATGTACGCAAGTCGGAACTGCGTGGGAGGTAATTACGAAGCTCATCGGCGCATCACAGCCGGCCCAGTCGGGAACTATAGTTTGGGAAGGCAAGGAAAGGCGGCGGCCGACCTTCTGCGACCTGTCGGCGCATCCAGTAATTCGGAGACTTGGTACAGCCACAACTTGTCGATTCTAATGTTTACTCTACGGTAGATCAGGTTAATGACATACGAATAGATAACGAAGGCAATTATATTTTTCTTTTCTTTTCTGTTCTCGTTTTGATTCGTAGCTTAGTTTACGGTAGACGTGCTCCGGATCCAACGGCTATTTAGTCACTTATGCCTTGATTGACAAGAGATGCCGTTAGTGCTGCAGACACTATGCTCGAATCCTAATGCGATTGCTTACCGTCGTAGCTCTGGGTCTCCTGTCTTGTCTAAGATAGCTAGTACAAGAGACCGACCGAGTGGGTTGGCAAGCGGGACATGCGGCAAGAATTCTGACTCCACACGGAATTATAGAAAAAGACTTAACGGGAGTACGGAGTACGGAGTATAGTGGCGCTTGGCGGACGGAGTAGGGAAATGCTGCAGTCACTATGCTCAAATCCTAATGCGATTGCTTACCGTCATAGCTCTGGGTCTCCTGTCTTGTCCAAGATAGCTAGTACAAGAGACCGACCGAGTAGGCTAGAAAGCGGGATATGCAATGCCGCTGGGAATATTGCGAACGTACCTTACCCAATGATTCCCCGGGGCTAACTCCGCCAACGTTAGCTCATATATATATCAAGGGCCGCCTTCTCCCGGCTAGTAATATTTTCTTAGATTACCCTTTCCTCTTATCCGACCAGCTTGCATCGGCTTTTCTCTCCTGTCTTAAATATTCTAAATTGGCACGCCCTCCCGATACGATTGTTATTGTCGACAACAAGGAATTTTAGAGCCTCGAACCAGGTGGTTCACGCTATCGAAGGGCCTACGCCGTGATTATAGATACTAGGACTTTAAGAGCGTGATCGTTGAATCAAATGCCGATAAAGCGGATACGATACCCTTATGCAAACGTAGAAAAACCGAAACAAAGGAGCTCTCAATAGTACCCGCTAACATGGCATCCTCTTCTTCTAAGACTAACAATAGCTAGGATAACCCCTTTAAAGGGCCCTAAAAGGCAGTTGACCATTAAATTCAACTATTACAAGAGAAGAAATGAATGCTTCGAGATAAATGCCACCCCGAAGGGGAGACGTATAAAACAGACATGAGGGATGCTTTCCCTGGAAAAGGGAAGGCTTGGCTTGAACTATAAGATCTACTATATGCAGCCAGACTACTAGGTTACTATCCATAGTAGGCATATGATTTACAAGTCATGCGTAGGAAACTTTAGGACGCCGAAGAGGTTCTCTATTTATGGAGTATAATTCACAGAAATATTAGTTACTACCCTTTTACACCTAAAATCTGAGGACCTGTGAAATTGACGCCGAAAATCACCGGCTACCGATCCCATTATAATCTTAGCTCCTAACAGCTTTGCCGCTGCAGCCCAAATACCTACTTCGAAGGTCCTTTACTTGAGTGCAGTGATATTATTCCATGCTAACGGCTCACCCCATATATGTCACTGATTCTACAAAGAACGGCTTTGTGAGAGAAAGATTCAGAGACTTGAGGATAATTACAGATGTGTTTCAGGAGCAACGATGTGGTTTCATGGATTATGTTTACTGGGGGGATTTGTTGATGCTTATGAGACGCGTAAAATTCTTCTTTCTGGGGATAAGAATCAGTGTCCGACAAAACTGGCTAGAATACTGGGATGGGAACCTTGAACTGTCGTGAGATGTATATACCAGCCACATATGCATTGTGCATGTATTAAATCGTGCTTCTATATCTAACATGGAGTGGAGCTCCTTCCTTCTCTATCCCGAGTCAATGATTGCTGTGTAATAGAACAAGGCTGTAGTTCCGAATCTGGAAGGTTCCCTACTTTCCCGAAAAGGTAATCTCCGAGGGACTTTAGATCTTCGCTCGGATGCATTTACGAATTGTATGCCAGCACAGGCAAGGCGGGGGTATGTCTGATATGGCCCGCAACCACGCTGAACGATCCTATGTTGCCTGCGAGCCTTGGATGCCCCGGTCATTCGTGGGGGGGCACTGATTCTCCGATTGCACCTAGCCATGTCCGACAAAGATTAGTTTTAAGTTATTCGTTTAACTGCTTAGAATAGGCTAATTTAAAGAGAGAAATGGAGTTTTGTATAGTACGGATCAAAATAGGTTCTTGATTAATGTCATTACAGGATAAATGAGATCTATAAGGGGGATTTTAGCTGCATAGGTGCCTAAGGCACATAGCCCCATATAGGATAGATCTATCTATCTGCTCGTTTCTCTATCTGAATCATATCGTAGATTCTACGTGACAATTGTGTGTTTGTAATGGAGTGGTTTATATAAGATCGAAGGTGGGGGGGGATAAAATCAAGAGTGGACTTCGTGACGAGCTAGCAGAAGCGAGGAACTCCCACGAGGCAGTTGCAGGAGGGAAGAAGCTTCTCAGTAGGGTCGGTGTGGTCATCACATGACCCAATCCCAATAGAGCTCCCTTTCTATTTTTCCTTTTCCTGACAGAAACACAAAAACCATGAGATAACAAGCCTCAAGTCTGATGCATGTGCCACTCAATTGTTTTCTGAAGACCAACATCCAATGGCACCACAGGCGCCCAACCAAGCTTCGCCTTCGCTAACGTGATCTGCGGTTTCCGGACGGAGGGATCATCCACAGGCCGCGGCTGATGGGTGATATTCACTTTTTTCTTGCCTGTTGAACTGGCGACAAGATCCACGACTCTCTCGGCTAATGCCTGAATTGATGTCTCGACATCATTGCCGATATTGACCGGTCCTTCGCGGTAATCACTATTCATAAGTGTATATAACCCTTCGATACAGTCGGTTACATATTGAAATGACCGAGTTGCACTCCCATCCCCTGTAATGCAAGCATCTCTTCCAGCGAGGGCGGCAGCAATAAAGCTTGACACCACACGGCCATCGCCCGCACCCATGCGTGGCCCATAGGTGTTGAATATTCGAGCTATCCTGATGTCCACTCCGAACTGCTCACGATATGCGTAGCATAACGATTCGGCGACGCGTTTTCCCTCGTCATAGCATGCACGAGGACCGAATGAATTCACATTGCCCCAATAGGTTTCGGGCTGCGGGTGGACTTGGGGTTCACCGTAAACCTCTGTATTGATATATCATTCAAGTCAGCGAACTAGAATAATCTCATTTTATTGCAAAGTTGCAAAGTTACTACAGACCTGATGTGCTGGTGTGTAGAATCCGAATGCCCCTGGATTTTGCGATTTCCAATACATTCTCTGTTCCAAGAAAGCAGGTTCTGAGCGTCCTAACTGGACTTTTTTGATAATGGGGTGGACTAGCCGGGCATGCAAGATTGTAGATCTGATCAATTTCCTCTAGTTCTTGGAAAGGGTACTGAATGTTATGACTTGAAATAACCGATCAGCAGCAACTTGAAAACATGGGTTCGTAGTGCTCTCTCACTTGACCAGGGTAAACTGGGGATGATTATCAAGGTGTTGTAAATTCTTGGGCGAACCGGTCTCCAAGCTATCCACGCCTATCACACGGTTACCCTTTTGCAGAAGAAAGTCGATCAAGTTGGAGCCTAAAAAGCCTGCACCCTATTCCTTGATGAGCGTTGAATAGAATTTTCAGTGAAACAACTGAGACTTACTCCTGTGACAAGGATGGTTTTAGGCTTGTTTGTGACATCCATTATCTGGAAGGGGTTTGTCGTGCAGCTCTACCACATACATATGTAGAAGACCAAAACTTCTTTCCGACAGATTCGTAAGAAAAGAAGGGAATACCAAGTCGAAGTCGGGGGGTACCTAGGTAAATTGCCGTCTCAAATTTTCATCGCAGATGATCGATCGGTAATCTATACCGAAGTACTCCGTACATAGTATGTCCTCCAATAATCACGCCAAGGCTATTGGTCTTGCAGATCACTATAGTGGGATAGTGGGCCTTGGTGTTCTTCACTTCTTCACCGCCAGTCACGACCCGCAAGGGATTCGGATAGACCTGCTTTTGTTCTTGTTAACGTGGGGACTATCTTTGTGAGATGGGGTAATGAACTACTTCTCTGCTGTTCAATTGGTTGCTCTCACCATAAGCGATTTCTTGGCCGGGATCTGTCGATCGGCTTGATATGCACACAAGGTAGAACTAGTTGGCTGAACATTCTTTTTCCAATTCCACGAATTTCTTGCTCGTGGAGGGTACCATCCTTTGATCCCAACAATTCCCTAACTAGGTCAACACCATGGTTCGAAGGGTTGCCTGTATTGGAGCAGGATTTGTTGGTAAGTCAAGTCCGATAATCTGCTATCCGATCCTAACAACTTCAAGGGGGACCATTGGGCACAGTAATTGCTTCCCGATGCCCGGATATACAGACTGCAGTGGTGGATATCAACCCAGAGATTGTTGACGCATGGAATTCGGACACTCTGCCACTTTACGAACCGGGACTCTCGGAGACACTGCTGGCTGTTCGCGAACGAGGTCACAATTCGGTCCGTGGGGTCTCTTCCAACGAAGGGCATTGTGCAAACGGGGTGACCAATTGCAACTTGACCTTCTCGACAAGCGTTGAAGTCGCGATCGAAGAGGCGGAAATAATCTTTCTTTGTATTGACACGCCCACAAAGTCTACAGGGCCTGGGGAGGGATTAGCGCTGGATATGACCAACCTCGAGGCTGCTGTTAGAACGATTGCACGAGTAGCCAAGACCGATAAGATCATCGTTGAAAAATCTACTGTTCCGTGTGGAACAGCCGGTACCCTTCGGGACTTGGTATGTACATCTCATTTTCCAGTCGTCCTCAGAACCTTTGCACTAGCCGATGTCTCGATGTCTGACTTTGGTTTTGTGTGTAGCTGAAGACAGAAGCTAATGGCACATGTCATTTCGAAGTCCTCTCCAACCCCGAGTTTCTATCTGAGGGAACAATTATATCCGATCTACTTTATCCGTCGAGAATCCTGATTGGAAGTGAAATGACGCCTTCTGGCCGCAAAGCCTCCGATAAACTAGCAGAAATCTACAGAAAATGGGTACCGGATGACTTGATTATTCGCATGGATTTATGGTCATCGGAATTGTCTAAGCTTGCGGCCAATGCACTTTTAGCACAGCGAGTGAGCAGTATCAACTCGCTGGCCTCGATCTGCGAAGAGACTGGTGCAGACATCGACTTTGTTTCGACTGCATGTGGCTTAGATCGCCGCATTACCAAAGCAATGCTTCAACCGTCACTTGGATGGGGCGGTGGATGCTTCAAAAAAGACATCTTTTGTCTTGTTTACCTAGCTCGGGGCCTAGGGTTGGAAGAGGTGGCCAATTACTGGGCATCGGTGGTGGAGATGAATGAGTACCAAAAAGCGCGCTTTCTTCAGCGCATCATTTCTCACATGCATGGATGCGTCGCCAAGAAATCCATTGCAGTTCTGGGATATGCGTTCAAAAAGAATACATCCGATACCAAGAATTCGGCCGCCATCACTTTGGTCCGTGGTCTTTTGACAGAAGGTGCTTTCGTGTCTGTATATGATCCTCTAGTACCGGAAAGCCAAATACTGGCTGACTCGACCATGAGATTATCAAAACCCGAGCCGGGACAACTCCAGATTTGCAAAACGGCATACCAAGCGTGTACTGGTGCAGAGGCGGTTGTGGTTGCGACAGACTGTGATGATTTCCAGACACCATCACGGGCAATACCCCGGGACTCATTAAATCTGAACTTACCACCGACGCTCAATTACCCCCACATGGATGAAAGGAACCCTGACGTAAATGTTCATAGTCGCATTCACGAGTCCCTGGATTGGAGATCTGTCGTTGATAGCATGCAAGGGCCAAGGCTAATTTTTGATGGGCGAAACATGTTGGATGGAGAATACCTACGAGGCTTAGGTTGTAAGTATGTTGGCATTGGGAAACGAGTCGCATAAACCACCGTGTCGGATTATATCCAGTGGCCTTATAGAGCTATAATTCAAGGTCATAAACTGATCCTCTTTGTGCAGTAGATAGTCTCTCTCTTCTTCTCTCCTTCTCCTCTCCGTCCAACTGCAAGCAGACGAATCCTACAGTGTTATTTCTCCAATCTCAACCACGTAGGTTCTCTGTTATCTCATGATGCAAACCTTTGTTGATTTAGCTTATTCGTGTCATTTGTTTTCTATTACATTATCCAGTTGAGACCGGATTGTGACCGCCACGCTTGCCCGACAGCCACATTGATAACTGAATAGATAAACTTATATATCGATTGACCCATGTATACCTTGTAGACAAATCTAGAAGTTTATTATATTAAGTTGTGAATTTCAAGTATCTATAGAGAATCCTAGCCCGATTATCCGATAAAACATTAGGATTTCCCATTTACTAATAACTATTCTCTAGGGTTCTAATGGTAGGTTAGGCAACCCGTCGATTCCCAATATGGCTGTAGGGAAAACAAGCTTAACATCACATATCCTTCAGCTGGTCGAGTACGGTTGCTAGGTTCCGTCCAGTAGCGCTTGCGTGCTCCGCGAAAATTGCTAGGTAGGCAGTATAGATCAGTATACGTAATATGGGAAAGATTTATGGCGATATTATACCATCAGGTGTTCCATCCAGAACTATCTCGTGCATTTTTCCGTCTAAGAACAAAGTTGCCGGGCTTGTATTTAACTCTGTCTGGCGAGGGATTTGGCTTGGGATATAGAGGCGGGGATAACTCGATGATCCTAGCAATGAAAACAAACTGTTAGCCTCGGCTGAATAAATATCTCGCACACTGACAACGTACCAAAACCAAAGTGTTGCGAATCGTGGAAAAACGTAAGTTTACATCTATCTTCAGTACTAGCTGCAGAAGTTGATATAAAGGGACTAGCAGCACGGAGTGCACTGCCAACCCCTATCTCAATCAAAACGTAAGTTTCTCCCGGATTGCCAATAATGATAGGCACCTTCCTAGTAACTAGATTTCCTCTCGCATTATAGGTAATGAAATCTGTTGTGACACGATGAAAATATCGTGCGGTACGAGCACCTCTGGTGTAGCGTAAGGAAGAGAAGGGCCGAAAAGCACTGCGAAACATGTTGGGTCGGACTAATTAAGACTCAAGTCAGTGAAGTGGTAGGCAATTCCTTCAGCATTTAAGAGATACAATGGGTGGCACGGGTTGCAGAATACGTGAGGTTAGCAAATGTCTGTGACGTATTCAACTGGGAGCAGTGCTCTTAAATACCTCCGAAGCAACTTGGTCTCGGAGTGGAAAAATATATCAGCGGGTCAGTTGCGTTCAGAGAATCCCAGCTAATGCAGAATATTGATCTTACTGATGAAGGCTTTATGGAAAAAACCAAGCAGTGGGATTCGTAATGATAAAAGTGGACAGGAGAGAGGAGAGAAGGAGAGAAAGTGAGAAACTATCTACAGGTATGAATCTGTCTCATAATAACTAGGGGTATCTGGAGCCGACCACCCAAAAAGCGGTAAAGTAGGTGTTCACCGCCTACTGCTTTCCCCCACAACTTATGGATTGGTAAATGGGTCGGTCGATCATCAACGATCCTTTCCCGCCCCAGTCCGATTCAATAGGAGGTATCCGCCCGAGCGGGTCGACCCCGCCCTTCCGGATGTTTATTTTTATACTAAGAGATAAGACATCTACTAATTTGGCTACGCTGTAGTCTATGCTAGCCCCTAAAATTGTAAGACGCAATGCATTGAGAGGGTATGGGTTACCCCGGAGTTGAAACCTATTCAATATCCACAGTGCAAAAACGAATATACGGCGGGCTGGCTTATCAACGACCCCAGAAGAAAATATCACGGCTTGCAAAACCGTGGTTAACCACGGTTTTATGTTTCTCGTATAACAGTTATTTAAAGCTGACTGCTATTCTGTCAAAAATAGGGCGTGTCAATATACTAAAAATGTCCAAAAGCCTCCCTATAAACTTCGGCCAAATGTTAGCCGGTCTCTATCAGAGTCAGGTTCGGAACTTCGATGAAAAAGCTAAAGTTTACGAAGGTAAGACGTCACTACACTATGGCGATGCAACCCCTTTTAAGATATACAGCCGAGGAACGCGTCTGACATAAGCGCTAATGCTGGCTTTAACTATATAATAGGTCACCCACAGAGACTTGATAAACCAAAACTATCTCAATATTATCTAGAGGCACACTATAAAGCGACTCCATATCTATGTACTCTGTACCTCAATCTGGTTGATAATCCATTTGTTGGCTTTTACAACCCGATCATAGAAAACCAAATCCCACCTAAAGCAGCAAGAGACGCTATCAGGGAGCTCGATAGAATGAATAGCCGCCTAATGGGCAGAAACATTTCCAACGGTTTACAAATTGGTCTCGGTTAAATTAGTGGTAGTCCTTTCTTAAAAAGTGGAAAACGATCATTTTTATGTTAAATAACGCTCGCTAACCCGGAGAACCGGAAATAAAACCACTTATACTCGCCCTTTTAGATATACGACTATCCAAGCGCATAGACTGGTCTGCCTCCTAGGGGGCCAGCAGAGAATTATGGAGTTAATAAGTTTAAAACCGAGTAAGGATTGGTCAGCTTCTACCTGACTCACTTGCAAGCTCGTGTAGTCTCACGGCCTTAGTGTAGATAAGATATCGAAATATTTGGATTTATTATCTCGTGATGGATATGCTATACCGCTTAAAGTAATATATGTAGTCTTTATACGATAGAAAATATAGTGCTTCGCAATACTCGAGACAACGCCTAAAAAATTAGAGAAGAGAATATTAGCTTGAAACGAACCAAGCACATACATACGTAGTGTCGGCAACTTCTATCTGACCTCGCATACATGTTTTATCCTGTAAACCGAGGACTTGTGAATGGCCTTTTACGGTTAGTTTTACCCTTTTGGGCTTAGAGCTCCAATACACTCGTGTAATTAACGGATCGATGTGGCGCATACATATGTACTTACAGACACGTGGTTCCCCACCCGAGCTATTCCTTCTTGATAGAGATCCTACAGGATTGCAATATGGAGAAACAACACTGTGGGATTCCTAATGATTGAGATGGACGGAGAGGAGAAGGAGAGAAGGAGAGAGATAGAGACTGGATCTGTCCCATGTGGGGCCATGGTCCTCAGGCACCCAGGCACCCAACACTTCTTCTCTATCTCCTTTCAGATATCTTCAAAATGCCTACTCTTACATCTCTTCCAACCGAGTGTCTCCTCCTCGTTCTCCAAAGCTGCAATGGTGTATCTCAGGCAGTCGCCTTAGCTTCAACATGCAAACGAGTTCAGTCCGTCTATTCATCCCACATGTACGCAGTCTTAGGACGGTGCGGACGGCGTGATATCCCCGCCTTCAACGAGGCCATGATGGCAGTAAGTGACATATTTATGCACCTTGCTATATGTCGCAGCAACATGGGTTCACTAACGCAGACCACGCTCAGGTACGCGCGACAAACATCGTGGTAGAACACTTCCATAGAGGACAGTTTCCGCCGAACCCTTTCCCGCTCTCATTAGGTGTAGAAGCACAGGAACCATCTTCTGAAGAAGTGCGACAAATCCTTGATTGGGAGCACTTGATCAGGTGCATTGAAGACATCTGTTTGCACAATACCGAATGGGGTCGAGATTGTTATTACAACATCAAAAAGGCTAATTCCGAAACGCCGCCTTCAGAATGATTCATTTGGAAGCACAATTTCCGTCGCTCAATGTATCAATCATTAATGATGGGTGCGGTCTTGTGTTCGGCCTACCAGGAGGCTTTAGCTCCACCGAATAAAGATGAACTTCCTGAGGCCTTTCTGGAAAACTGCGATATGCGGCTTGATGATCCAGACGAACCACTGATGAAAAGTGAAGAAATGGCCTATCTACTCAAATACCCGGTTTTTAACTTTGAGGCCTACCATGACCACAGCCCTATATACGGGTGGCTGGCCGACTTCTTGAGGCAACAAACCGAACACCACCCACAGTTTGAACCAGGTGAAACAAAGATTCTAGATATGTATCCAGAAGACGCAACTCCAGACCAAATCGACCGGGATCATGCCAAAGTACTTCACGCTGTGATGGTGCAATGCCTTTTGTCCTCCATGACTCTTTTAAATCACCAGGGAGGTTCCCGAATCTTCGAAAAAGAGCATAGTAACGCGGGAGAATTCTCTCGAGGAGTGACGATTGTACCATTAGGGTCATTCTACCCTGAACGTATCACTATGCCGGCCAATCCCCGGAATGCATATCCTGATCAATTTTCCATTCTGGAAAAGGGTGCCTTCAATATCTCCCTTCGGATGAAGTATGAAAATGGCAGCTCCGCCGTCAAACGATTTCCACAACCTGGTGCCACAATGTTTCCTGAAGAAAAAGTCCGCAACGAGATCGCTATAATGCGATTCATCCATGATAAGACGTCAATTCCAGTTCCTTTTATTCTTCATTGGGGCACTAGAAAAGAAAGCCCTTTGGAATTGAGTCCATTCATTATCATGCAATATATAGACCATGATACAAATATGTATGATGCTCTAAACTCGCCCGAATGCCCAAAAACAGACCGTGGAGCTCTCGACTCGAATATCAATGAGGATAAGCTATAATTTCTCTATGGAGAGCTAGTAAGTATCCTCCTCCAGCTTTCTGTGCTCTGACTACCCCAGATAGGGTCTTTAGACCAGGTCGATGATTTTACTTGGGAGGTGGCATATAGGCCTTTGTCAATGCCCATGAATGAACTGATTCGATTGGGATCGTTACCCCAAACGAAATTACCGTGCACTACTTTCGACACAGCGTCATCTTATTTTGAGTACCTGGCAAAATTACATATTTCCCATTTGGCGAATCAAAGAAATGATGCTATTGACTCTGCCAATGATTGCCGGCGCAAATTCGTTGCTCGAAAACTCTTCCTTAAATTGGCTCAGGGCCAGAGGCTCACTGGGAAGTCATCACGATTTGAAAATGGTCCATTCAAACTATGGTGTGATGATTTCCGACCTGGCAATGTACTTTTGGATGAATCTTTGAAGATTGTCGGTGTCGTGGACTGGGAGTTCACGTATGCAGCCCCGGTTGAATTCTCCTACGCACCACCTTGGTGGCTTCTAATCAAAAAGCCTGAATACTGACAAAAGAGCTTGAGGACTGGTGTTGGGAGTATGAGCGACGACTTCAGACCTTTCTTAGGGCGATTATGCATCGTAAGGACAAGGAGATTGAGCAAGGACAACTGAAGGAATATCAGCGGCTTTCCAGGCCAATGCGCGATAGTTGGGAGAGTGGTGATTTTTGGATTGCTTACGCAGCAAGGAATAAATTTGCGTTTGATGCGATATACTGGGAAAAGATCGACCGTCGGTTCTTCGGTGCTGTTGACTGTTCCGTCGACGACGTATGGAAACATAGGCTTGGCCTGTTCAATGGCGAGGAAAAGGATGAGATGGAGAACCTTGTGGCTCTAAAACTCAGAGAGATGAAAACCAGGATACTAGCGTGGGATCCGGACGATTATACTCTGGCCAGGCTGAAAGTGCAAGAAGAAATGGTTATTTCGAAGGAAGATCCCGGATTGACAGATCATCTGCATCGGACAACTTCCAGTGAGAGTCCCATCGTGTAGGCTGTGGCTGGTGAGACTGGTTTGTAATTTTAAGCCCAAACTGACGATCTCATACTTGCCTCTGGGGCGTTGATGTGAAGATATATGTAAGAACTCCACATACAAATCAGTTCTGGCTCGTGATTGGTTACGTCGCGGTTCATACACACAGCCCAATCAGAAATGGAATAATAAAAGAGACCGGACCCACTCACGCGATGTATAGAACCACGTGACTACACGGCGACTTTACTTTAATAATTTCTTTTTCCATTCAATCTCTTCACAGACCTAAGAATTGAAAGAATGCACCGATATAACAGACAGATGGGTCACAGCTCAAATGAGAGCAGGGCTGAGCTTGAGGCTGCTCTTGAGAACCCTGCGGATGGCGACGTCAACTTGGCCTTTCCGGAAGGCGGCAGGGACGCATGGGTCTGTTTGCTAGGATCATGTCTCATGATGTTCCCCTCATTCGGCTTTCAGACTGCAGGTAAGGATGGACCATACTCCTTTTGACCATTGTTGCCGAGGACACGATGACTGACACTATTCATAGTTGGATCCGTCCAGGATTATATCAGCACCCACCAGTTAGCCGAATATGGAGAGAGAGATGTCGGCTGGGTCACTGCAGTGCTTGTATTCCTAACCTTGTTCCTCGGGGTTCAAGTTGGGCCACTCTTTGATCGTTATGGACCCAGAGTCTTGTTGATCAGTGGATCACTTGGGAGTTTCGCTTCCTACATACTGCTCGCAGAATGCAAGAAGTATTGGCACTTTATGCTCTGCCTGGGTGTCCTTGGTGGAATATCTGCAGCAATTGTTACGACAGTCTCCATCGCAGTTCTCAGTCACTGGTTTAGCCGAAGACGCGCCCTTGCCTCCGGAATTTGTATGGGAGGATCATCTGCGGGTGGTGCGATCATCCCCTTGATGTTACGAACTCTGTTTGAAAAATATGGGTGGACATGGGCTATACGGATCGTAGCCTTTATGGCTTTGGGGTGCTACATGGTGGGAGTGCTACTCGTTAGAGGACGCCTACCCCCTGGCAGCAAGAACAGAGTGACGATCGACCTTGCAGCTTTCAAGTCACCGCGTCTATGTTTTCTTGCCATGGCAGTCTTTTGTTTTGAGTTCATCATTTTTGGATGTGCTGCGCTTCTTCCATCCTATGTCCGTTACAGCGGGTTCCCCGTGGATGTGCAATTTTATTCCCTCACTGTCTTGAATAGCATGAGCCTTCTCGGGAGGGTCCTTCCTGGCTTTGCTGCTGATTTATTTGGGCGATTCAACATTTTATTATCCTTGGTTGTGATAACTATCATAATCATGGCGGGTGTTTGGCTACCATATGGGTCTCACGATGAAGCCACCCTTTACGCGGTTGTGGCGATCTTTGGATTTGGCTCTGGTGGGTGGCTTTCGCTTGCTCCAGTTTGTGCAGGTCAGCTATGTGACACGAAAGACTATGGTCGATTCTATGGCACTGTTTACTGTGTGGCTTCTTTTGGAGTTTTGCTCACTGTGCCGATCGGAGGCCAGTTGCTGCAATCGACTACACCACAGGTTCTCATTGGGTTCTACTCTGCCATTGTGCTCGTTGGACTTCTCAGCGTCATCTTGTCTCGATGGGCTCTGTTGGACTGGAGCTGGAAATGGAAAGCCAAAGTCTAGACCAGAAAGCTAGAGCTAGCAGGAAGTTTACACTAGTTTAGAAGATTCACACAAAAGCAAGCACTGAGTTGTGCCTTCCCCAAATGAATGAGATATTGATTGATACTTTAGTTGGGAATTTGGTAACCGTTCTTTGTTATAGGGACGTGTAACGAACATTTCGCGGCTCACGTTGAAATAAATAACCAAATAATTGAGTGACTTTTGTTCTTCTTCATTTGATTGTAGAGTAGCTGTTGCTCGACCTTCGGCATCAACGACAGATGGCATCCATGCACCGGCGGCAAGAATAACCAAGTTCGCAATGACATGGGAACCGTCATCCAACTCGACTCCAGTGCAGGGTAGGAATCCAATCGTGGACTCAGCAGAGTGACCATAAAGAAATTCCGCACTCTGTGGTTTGGCTTTCTTAATGCGGTGTTCTCCATTCTCCATGACGCCTAAACATCCTGACGGCGTATCTGACACATTTCCCGGCGTTTACCCAGCCGCATCTTTCGCTCATATACCCAAAACTCTCCACTCACCCAGCGGAGACGATTGAATTCCGATCGCCAAACGAATACTTATCCGAATTTGCTAGCTCCTTAACATTGTCTAAGCATTCTTCCACATAGCCATCCACGTGGCCATCTGTGCCTGTCTGCGCTACCAGCACGAGTTTTGATTCGTGGTATCTCCTTCACCACCTCATCCATCAGCGAATATATCAATCCAAAGTCGCACCATCAAATATTCTCGGTCCCCAGCGGAATGAGAGTGGACATTATCTCCGATTCCGGCATATAAGGCCATCGGACAAAATGCATAATGATTTGACCTTTCTCCTCCTGGATATCGGCAGATACTTTCCTAATACGTCGGTGCTCTGGGATGTATACAGACTCTCCAATTCTCTCAAGTCCATGTTCTTCAAGCTCCACGGATGCGCTGAGCACAAAGCCCGGAGTATTGATCACGCCAAACACCGTGGTATAAAGTCGAATGGAACATCAAGTTGACGGCTTTCCATCTAATCCGAGTATCACGGCAGCGTGACGCAACAAGGAACATTGGCGGTGTGATCCCTAGATCAAAGCTGAACAATAGACTGAATTGTTGCGAAGCCACTTTCCAGATCTCGAGGATCTCTTCGGTGAGGTTGACAATAAATCGAAATGTCTCAAGATAGTCGTCAAAAATTATCTCTTCTTCTGTATCATACGTCCCAGTAATGATGACCGAGGTATGGTAGTAAAGCTCCAGCAGCTTGCGTATGCAGCCCTGAAGCTCAGGAGGTTCTGTTGTAAAATCGGAAGCATCCAGTGCATATTTCCAACGCCGTAAAATGGCCATTGGGCTCATGTTGGGCTGCTGGCAATTCGTGATCTGCCGTTTTTCGAGCGTGGAGAAAGCATAGTTCATGCTACGATCGAAGTCCCTTCGAGCAACATCCAATGACGCATATGACGATGGGATAGTCGGAGCAGGCAGACATAGTTTGATGTCAATATTGCTGAGAGCGTGACGGGAGTCCATACACAGGGAGAATTGGACGCGCAAACGTTGCAAGATAGGCGTTATCTTCTCATTCATCAGCTCCAATGTTGGCCGAGAATATTCTTTCAGTTTGTTGTAGTTGTTGGTATATGATCTCCACCAATAGAGTAACTTAAATCCTGCAGTCAAATGGACCAGACACGCAGCATCGCCACTTCGAAATTGCTCAAAGCAGATAAAAATAATGCACAAGACCATCGTGAGATCGGGTTTCGAAGACATATTGAGAGATTCGGACCGCAAAGACTTAATGGCTTCAGTGTAATGTCTTAGGGCCAAGATTTCCGCAGTCTTGCTGGCATGCTTCGGAGATTTTCGTATCCATGTTGACGTATCATTAGGCTCAAAACTTTCGTGCAAGGACGCCAGCGCTGTAATGGCATGTTTCACTGATACTTCATTATGCCCAAGATAAAGAAAGACAGAGATCCAATCGCCCGCATCCTGCTGTCCAAAGACTCTGTGTGCTGTGCGCGATCGAAAGAATGCAAATGCTCGGCGTTCTGTATCGCTAAGTCCATTCTCGGATGATATGGACTGCGGTACAACGAGATAGCCCTCGCATATTCGTTTCGTGCTGATACAGTGCAAGCAAGCAGGCTTCTGCTCGTCGCATTTGACATGTCTGATACTAATGTTAGCCATCGGAAAGAAATGCATCCCTTTTTTCCCATCATACCGAGACCTGGAGAGTTTTTAGCGTGCTAGTGATGTAATAACTCCTGAAAACTTACTTGCAGGTGAGACAGCCAGTCCGAGCTTTGCGCTGGGTTATTGTTTTGCCTGTCTTCATTGTCAAATAACGTTAAGACTCAGTGTGTGAGGGACGGCTTGTAGGTGAAAAATACGTTTTTCGCGCCGTGCTTGGGAATAGAGTACATCGGCTAGTCATAGGGCGCGCGGGTTGACCCACCCTACGAAGGGGCATAGCGCTCACGGGTCCCATGTCGTAATTGATGCCTGAATTTCTGGGTTTGGCCTTAAAGTCATACCGCTTTTGACACCGCTCTAGTTATACAGTGTACTGTAAATGATGGCGGCACGGATTAACTACTGGGCCCGATACCGAAACTTTTCATGCAATGTAAACCACCCCATAAAGTGAGGATGCATGATTTTGTATGATATGAAAAGCTTCATTTTTTTGGACTGCCTAGGCCAATAGTTAGAACGAACTGTCCAGGTGTGGTCAATTCAGGTATTTTTATTTTTCTCCGATGCCAAATCCAGGCATCAAGGCATCAATGACGACATGCGTCCCCTACCCCCACCCATCATTAATTGGTTGAGACTTAGAGAGGCTTATCCCGCCAGCGCTTTCTATGGTCAAACATTGATACTGATTCAGCCAGTCAGAAAAAAATCCGATATCTTGTATCAGTCGGATAGCCCAAAGAAATTATTCTAAAGACTTTAACCTCGTACAATAAGGAGTCAAGTAGGTAGTGAAGTCTTTATGCTGTAGGCTTTCCTTCAGCTAAAATATCCACCTGGTCCTGTAGAAATTGCGAAGTCGCACTGGTTTCCTTCCCTTTCTCTAGAACGTACTTTGAACAACCGGCGCTGAATTCAATTCTTCCAACCTGAGGCGCTAATGTGATACGCCAAGCCAACAAAAACCCCGCCATGTTCCAAGCCACCTCCTCGGAGGCGGTTAGAAAAACATCAGCGTAGTAGTTTTCGGTTTTTTCGCGTCTTTCGCTGAAGTTATCGGTGTACGTGTCTACCCACGTATTGTATAATTTCAAGACCGATGAAGGGAATGTAGAAAGCACTTCTTCAGCCTCTAACATACAGTCTCCTTCCTCAGGCCTAAAGTCATCGGGATCTCGCCAGATAAAATCCGTGCCATAATCGGCAAAGATACGATAGTGCCGCGGAGTGTCTGTTGGCGTAGATGGCCCGGTTGACGGAGAGGTTGCAGATGGCTTAGTCGGTAGAGATAATTCAGGAGAAACGTTCAACAGAGATATGGATGGCTCGTGAGCTGACATTTCGACAATGGTTGATTGTGACTGGCGTTGCCCTTCCAGTATATTGGTGATTTTCAAAACAAAGTCAAAGTTGGTTTCCACCAGAGTAGAGTCTTCTTCAGACTTAGACAGAGGCTTTTCAGCAAGGCTACGCCATGCATCGCCGAGGTTCCTGACAGCTTTTATGTATCGTTGAGACTGCGATTGACTGCAAAATACTGCTAGAGGTTTGAGAAGACCAGAAGCCATGGTTGTAGCAGAGCTGTGGCAAGATAGAACAAGATATGAAGCGGAAAAAAATAATGATGCAGAAGAGGGAGTCGAGTGATAGAACGTGGTATAGAAACGGGAGATGGTCGAGTTGTAAGACGCTTCGCAGAAGTTGATACATATATAGTATGTTTTGTAGAGCGGGCGGCAAAATGATTTGCGTAGATTCTTCGTTAAGCATCTACCAGCGTCAATTGTTTCAATCTTACATTTTACAACGCTTGTCATTAGTCCCCATTTTTGGTCCACGTATATGGTGCATTTCACTTGTAGATGGTCTACCACATACAAATACGATAAGATTGTCTAATATACCTTGCGGAAACAGGCAGATTTCAAAAAAAAAAGACGTTTCTCACACAGCAAAAAGCTTAAAATAGGCCGGTAGTTTAGGGGTGGGTGAATCTTTATATGGTAGACTGTTGTATGGAGGTAAGAACTTCTCAAATACAAATACGGTTTAAGACTTCACTCCAACTAATGACAAAAAGAGGGGCGGTTACGCAGGTGTATGGCCAGGGGTCGGATGAGGTTTGTAATGGTATTGGTGCCTGAATATGCGAAGTACTTTGCTTACTAAGGGCTGTGTTATGGTAATTTAGGTACTTTTATTTTCTGCCAGTTTTAATTTAAATGTCTGCCGAAACTTTCAAGCACCAATACCATACATAACCGCATCCGACCCCTGGCCGCCATACACCTGCGTAGGCGGCCAGAAATGGCATAATCTAAGATCGCCATGTCTAGATCGGATGTGATCCAGATAATGCATGGATAGTACTTTTTCCTTTTCCTTTTCCTCTATAGGATTTACCACCAAATCTTTCTCTAATACTTTTTATCCGTCTTTCGCTGCCCGGATCGCATGGATGGCCTACACATTTCAAGACATCTCGGAATTACTGACAGGCCATACTCCGAGCAATATGGCTCAGAACCGACTACTCTCTGGTCTTCTCCGGTATCTTCCTACCTCGTTGATATCCTATATTAGGAACAAATCAGGTCATCAGCCCATCGCTCTCAAGCCAAACTCATTGAACGGTCTTCCTATTGAACCCATCGCTCTCAAGCCAAACTCATTGAACGGTCTTCCTATTGAACTCATACTGTCAATATCGGATCTGCTACCACCTACCGATATTATTTGTCTTTCAATGTGCGATCACCGACTCTTTATGGCCCTCCACCGTCAGAGAAAATCTCTTCCACGGCCAATAGAAAGCAACAAGGTAGCATTGCTGAACCGGATCGAACGTGACCTTCCACATCATTTTCTGTGTCACTGTTGCCTTATTCTCCACAAATTTGACGGACCAGAGCAGTTTGGGCTGACAGGTATGTGGTTAATGAACAAATGTCGGCTTCCATGTGTCGTCAACTGTTGGTGGGAGGCAAGTGGACTACAGATGCAGATACATGATCTCAATCTTCATACGCACTACTCCCTTTACTTCCTTCATCTTCAACTTGCAATGAGACGATTTTATCATGGCCCTCAGTGTGGCATTACCACTGAATCGCTATCCCATATTCAAATCGAAGAGCACGCCAAGTCAACCACTCTGTTTTCCATTGAAGCACAGATATGCACTGAGCCAGTGGGTCTATATCTGCGGATCCAAGATATCATGCTGGCCAAGGACGGAAGGGTAGATCTGTTCAAACTCCCCCAAAACTGGGAACCTCCACGAGCCTTTAGGATATGCTCGCACCTGCGATCCTCTCATATTATAAGTCTGGTCGAGCCTTTGCTTCCAGCTCATATCCAGGGCGCATACTTTTCCCAATTGGACGGCAACTGCGATAAATGCAACACAGACTTTCTTCTTGAAATTCGGGAGTATTGTGGTCATTTGGCGCTCATCATCACGCGCTGGATCAACTTGGGCTCTGGGTTGAGTCCTGATGATTGGTTTTGGAAGATTCGATCACGCGAATCATACTACGGGGACGGGCTTGCTCTGGAACAGGACATGACCTGGAGCCCCCGAGTCTCATACGAAAACATCTCTGGCGATTGGCCACGAGAAGCCCTGCTTTCACGCAACCTCTCGTATTTCAAAAACAAATCATACAAACGTGTGATGGAAACAACTTCCTGGCGCCCAAGTAGCTGGTTCCTACAATCTCCAGAAAGTCGACCTAAGAACCGACGGTTTACCTAATTCAATTGCACAGGCGGGTCTTCTAGGTTGTCACAATCTGTGCTCGAATGTAGTTTTTGTTGAACAATCTCCCATGTATGCATACATGTTGTTTGCTGCAGACTGAGCCTTTTACCTTTGTTTGCTATGTTCAGATGGTTTTGTAGGGTATATAAACCCCTGTATTATTAGTTTTACCAATTAACAATTCTTCTCCTGCTTTCTCCCACACACTGTAGTATTCACTACAACAGGTTATGAAGCCCTCTTTTTACCTCTTGAGTTATCTATTCTATCATTACTTCATCAATATCCATCGATGATAGTGCTCCATAGTACTAGGCCTTGCTTTGAAACCCTTTTTGAAAGAGTAGTGGTAGACACTATATCTTACTGATTTGAAATCATTCTTTTGAAATTTCTTTTGGAGGATAGTGTTAAGCACTATATCTCATTTCTTTGCTAAGATGGCAACACCTGACAACAACAACAGGCATGATGAAGAAGACGTTCTGCTTATTGACCAGGCCGTCGGCCGATGTTGGAATATTCAATCTCAATCAAGCTTCTCACATTCACCATGCACTTCGACGTAGTCCTCTCCTAACAAGTAATCCTTTTAATGGTGCGATATTGGTGTATTCTGATATAGAGAATTATCATGTTTTAAGCTATATGCACTGCCGCACGTTCCAGGGGGTCTAGTATTGGGCGCTTGGCACGGTTATCAAGCAAAAGCTGGCTCCCAGAAGAGAAGACGGCCCGTGAACTGACGGAGCACCCGTTCCTCCAAAGCACAATCTCAACCCTCTGTTTCACATAAAAGCTATTTATCATGAGAGGAAGTTGTTTACTTTTTCGATGAGAGTCTTGACTAAAACATTTATAGGTACCCCCGGCCAGCCTCGAGTTTCTCTTCTAGGGCCGCCATCTGCTCCTTCAGAGCCCTCAGCTCCTCCACCCTGTCAACCTCTAGTTCTTCCACTCTCTGGGAGAGTGTATCGACCTCCTCCTGGAGTCTATCGACCTCCTCCTAGAGTCTACAATTGGACTCACCCTTTAAAGAGGGGACAACGTCCGAGAATTTGGGATTCGAGGGTCCACGTGAGTCAGCCATTGTATCATCGAGAGAACGAACCGGAGGAGAGTGGACGATCGAAGGGACGATTTGTCGAAGAAGCCGTCGAACGATGGGGGTAGTCAACGATGACTAACCAGGTTCGGAACCAAGCTGGGTTCCAGGCACCGAAGGCCTAAGAAGATGAGACCAAGTTAATGGTCCAAAGGTGGAAGCTGTCGAAAAGCTTCAAGTGCAGTGTCGAAAACTGCAGATGATGGACCTCCCAAAGTTGGTTGCTCCAGCCAGCAGGTGTTGATTACCTAAACTGGACTTAATGAGGCTATTCCCAGGTGATCGGGAGATAGCGGGATCGATAGAAATCGATGGTTGGATGATCAAAGGTGATGCAAATCCAGAGAGGTGCAGAGGTGTAGAGAAGACAGCAGCTCTGCGTGGGGTAGCTAAGAAAAGTAGCAAACAATGACAAAACCGTCTGATTGTTGTTTACCCCAAGGTGGTGTAGAACGGCAAAAAAATTTCTGCACACACACAGACAGATCGAAGACGCGATCTGATGTTATTCGCAAGTCCCAAAAGGGAAATTCTTGACGCGTTGCAAGATGCGAATTTGCCGAGGATATTGATTGATTGTGAGATCAGATCAATAGCGAGTCCCCGGGCTCATAACCTGTTAGAAGCTACAGGCAGGTGGACGTGATCATGTAAGCACAATAGATGATATTGTGGTATGTATTGATGATGATGGAGGAGAGGGAGAGAGAGAGAAGCTAATCTATCTACTACTGTGGGGACACATGGTCACGTGATTGGTTTCAACAGGAATATAGATGGAGAGGATGAAAGAGGGTGAGGGTGGAAAGATTGTAGAGATGGAATGAGTCTACTTGGGAAAGTTGCATTAACAACTTCATCAGTCTGACTATGACCTGACTATGACCTGATTCTGATATGAATTTCACTTGATATTGACCTCACTTGATATTGACCTCACTTGATATTGACCTCACTTGATATTGACCTCACTTGCTATTGACCTCACTTGATATTGATCTCACTTGATATTGACCTCACTTGATATTGACCTCACTTGATATTGACCTTACTTGATATTGACCTCACTTGATATTGTTCTTTGCATGATGCCTCTGCTAGCCCTTTCACTATTTTTCCAGAATATGTGTTGTAACCCGGTCATTTTTTAATTATGAACGTCTTTCTTAACAAGACATCAACTTTACTACTCCGTAGTATGACCAAACTTCACATCAAGTTCATACGGGCCTAAGAAACCACAGTGTCTGGCAGCAAAAAAGGCCTATCCACAAACATTCCTCTTGTTTCGTCTTAAGCGCAAGAAAAATGGCGGAGGCGTTTGCAAGTCCGCGTAAGCGGCGACGCCTCCTCCGAGAGTCAGAGGATAATGAAGGGGATAACTATGTAAATCGAACATTACATCCATTGCACTGACCCATTCCGAAGCATTAGCTTCTATCAAATCCCGATCCGACAGCCCTTAATGTCACCATCATGACCGCTGAGGAAGATCCTACACAGCATTTGCACCGTGAGATCTTCAACACCCTCCACCAGTATGGTATGCCAGAGGATTCACTTTTTCATATGTTGAATGCAACCATCCTTGGTGCTAGCTTTCCTCTGCGCTGTTGCGGGTAATCATTCGGCTCTAGTGCCCCTAGGATCCATCAAAGACGATATCACTACCCTTCTCGGCAACTATAGCCTTTCACAGATACAGGTGGAGGTGATCAATGGGGACCACTTTTATGTCCCTACTTTGTTCCCGATTCGCTCAACAACTGAGCTTGCCATTGCGTTTCATCATCTTAAGGATGAGATCGGCTTCTCGACAAGACTCTTGGAACAAAATGGCAACGGGTTTGTCTGTTCAATATTGGCAGGGATTCCCGTTCCGCGCACCCAGCCCTTGTTGTTGGTGTTCTACCCTCAACAACTGCCAACTGGTTTCAGCTACAAGCCCACCTGACCTATTGTTGGGTGCCTGGGTGCCTGAGGCTTAGGACCCACATGGGACAGATCAACTTCAGATTCAATTTACTTTAGAAGTCCCTATGCCTATTTTAGAAGACATTAATTTTATGTGTAGGTATTCAGACATCTTTAAGCATCGACAGGCTTCAATTAATAACTACAACATACAACCTTGGAACACTAGTTTTTGTAGAGTGAATCGTACTACTGGCAATATGAACCAATGAGAGAGTTATGTGTCGGTCGTCGCCCGTACACATCCATACAATCGGCAAGTCATCCCCTATCAGCCAAGCTCTAACCTCCCCCTACGTGGGACCACCGATACATAACCCTCTTATTGGCTTATAAAAACTAAGTATAGCAAATTAAAGCATGTCAAATTGAAGCCTTATATACAAAATATTATAATATATACCGCGAGAACATATTATTGTGTATCTAACTACAAGGTGTATGCTAGAAAGTGGGGAGGGAGAGAGTTAATTGCTAGGATCTGCCACCTAATCGTGGCACGGCCCACCACCACCTACCCGGTGTTGGTGGGCCTCACCAGATAGCAAATTTTCAGCGGATAGCAAATTTCCAAATTAAGTATCTTTTGTATGACAACTTCATACAAAGGGTACATAAACACGATATAGTCATAACCCCAATTTTCTTAACCCTCAAAATAGTTAGGAAAAATATAGGAGGATATACATAGTGTAAATAAGGCCTCAGTCACCTAGTAATAATTCTAGTAAATTTTATAATATATGTGTGGAGTAAGAGAATGGTTCATCTTTTATATACAAATTCTTATATATGGTGATTTCTGAAAAGTTTCCTATACTTCCATACTATATATTTAGAATTAATTATAGTAGTAGATCCGTTAAGCCCGATTTATTTTAATAACCTGTCTATTTAATTTTTCTTAAACTAGTCTGCTCGTTTAGAGAGTTGAGGTTATGACTATATCGCGTTTATGTACCCTTTGTATGAAGTTGTCATACAAAAGATACTTAATTTGGAAATTTGTTATCCGCTGAAAATTTGCTATCTGGCCGCCAACACCGGGTAGGTGGTGGTGGGCCGTGCCACGATTACTAAGGGTTCTATGCCTCTAAGGCACCAAGTAAGGCTTAAGGCCACCATAATAACAGCAATATATCGACGAAGATGCTGGTGAAGAACACCCGCCTATAGTCTTTAATATCACCAATCTCAATACCTTCTTGTAGGATCCGGTTGATTAATGGAGCTAAGCCTCTTGCTTTTCCTTTAAATTGACACGACGACGAATACCAAGCTTGAGCTGGAGTCTTTTCATAGTACGGGTACTAATATTAAAGCCTTCGGTCTAAATAGTAGTTATAATTTGCCGATTAGAAAGGCCAACTTAGAAGATAGGCGTCCTTATTCGTTCATATAGAAATAAAAGAAATTAGTATGTTGCATACAAATTGAAATCAGTGTATATGCTTTAAGAAGGCGGTGATGAAATAGGCGGTAAGGCAGAGAAAGAAGAAAGGTTGATTGCGATCTGTGGAGAGAGTTACTTATGTGTGGTGACTAATAATTATGCCTGAAGTATCAGGTGTCTACAACAGTATCCAATGAGAGGGTTTTGTATCGGTGGTCCCAGTAGCCGCCCGTACTCCTCCCCCTTTCCCCTCTCCATTTCCCCTCTCGCATATCCGAGTAATGTTGGAATTTTATGAGCGTTCAATTACTCTTCAACTCCGATACATCCCGTGCTGGCATTAATTACCTTCAAAGCACACCACTTGAAAATGATAAAGACGGCACAGTCAATTTGTCTATAACTAATTAATCATTCTTTCGTATATCCATGCATCCACCCAAAAGAACAAGCATCCAACCTTTTTGAAAATGCGTCTGCAAACTCTTTTAGGCGTTTTGCTATATTGGCCTGCTCTTACGGCTACCGGGCCCTCTATTTAAGCAAGGATCCTCCCAAAAATTGCCTCTCTCAGCTGGGCGTTGAGACTTGGCAAACGTAAGGACGCAGCGGGGAAGTCGAGAGATGAGGGGATGCGGAAGGAAACAAGTAGAGTTTGATAGGATTTATTACAAATTCCGGAAACAGAACAGCAATCTAACCGACGGCCGCGGTTGGCGTGGGGGGATATATAGGAGATGAAGGATCTGCTCTGAAGCGTTCAAATCTGTCCCTCCCTCTTTTGTCAGGTCATACTTGTATCGCGCGAAAACCTCTGCAGAAAGGGTCAAACGTTAAGATGAGAACAACTACCTCTACAGGCCTCTTGCTCGGCCTCGCCTCTGTGGCGAGCGCCGTTAAGTATGGATATAATCATGTTCCTGTCATCAAAGAGACTGAAATAGTTGCCGGTGCTTTTGAGGACGTCGACGATATTGAGCTCTTATCCCCAGCTTTCCTGACACCCAATGTCCGGCTTCCTGGGTTCACTAATGGCACCCAAGGGTCGTCTTCTCAAGATGACATGGGTGAGTCTACCATTGAAGATGCGCATTAGGAAATTGAGACTGACATATGATCAGAGGCCTTCCTCGAGAAAGTTGCTGACCGAAACCATTACATGACATATCGCACCGCTAACTTCACCTCGGAGGAGTACCGCTCTCTCCCCTACGTCCACCTTTCTACCGGCCGCGGTAGCTCCCTCCGTCGCGATGACTCCACCTCCAAGGTGCGCGTGTGGATCCAGGGCGCTGTTCATGGCAACGAGCCCGCAGGCGATGAGACCACACAGGCCCTCCTAGGCAAGTTCAACGACGACCGGGAGTGGGCTGACTCAATTCTCGACAAGCTCGAGCTCGTCATCCTGCCGAGGTATAATCCCGATGGCGTTTTCTACTTCCAGCGCACTCTAGCGACCAACTATGACCCCAACCGCGACCATATCAAGCTTGATCGCCAGCAGACGCGTGATATAAAACAGCTCATGAACGACTTCAACCCCCATGTCATAGTCGACATGCACGAGTATACTGCTGGGACGCCTTTTGGCGAGGGGCAGTACGTCCACGGCTCCGACGGTCTGTACTCGGCCGCAAAGAACCTCAATATCAACGAGAGCATCCGCAAACTCTCTGAGGAACTCTTCGCCAAAAATATTGCCGACGATATGGAAGCTGCTGGTCTCCGCGCTGAGCCATACGTTACGGGCTCCTCTGCTTCTGATTCCAAATTCGTCGCCGACTTCGCCGAGGCGGGCACTGACGGCAAGATTGGTCGTAATGCTATGGGCCTAACCCAAGCTGTCGTCTTCCTTCTTGAGATGCGCGGCATTGGCATCGCCGACCAGGAGTTCCAGCGCCGAACTGCTGCCGGTCTGACCATGCTGAGCAGTATTGTCCAAACCGCTGCCGATAATGCCGATAAGGTTTTTAAGACCGTCGAGAACGGCGTTGAAGAGTTTATAGAGTCAGACAGCGATATTATCATCACTGACTACAGCAATACTGTAATTCGTCCCTTCACTATGGTCGACGTTCAGAACGGAAGCGTGGTCCACCCCCCTGTACGCTTCGCATCAACGACCCCCTCCTTTGCCAACCTCACTCGATCCCGCCCCGAAGCCTACCTTATCCCCGTCGCATGGGCCGGCCTCGCCGAGCGTCTGAAAGTCTCCGGTTTGGAAGTACAGACGCTGGACAAGCCGTTTGAAGGTACCGTTCAGGTGCTAACCATCTCATCGACCGAGGTGGACAAATCCTACTACGAGGGTGCATTTCGTGTGACCGCCACAACAAAGACCAGCGAGCGCGAACTAAGGCTACCGGAAGGTAGCTTTCTCGTGAGCACTAGACAGAAGAATGCGGCGCTGGCGATGGTGGCACTGGAGCCGGAGAACATTGACTCGTATGTTTCGTTCAATATTGTGCCAGCGAAGAAGTTAGATGAGTACCCAATCTTTAGGGTAATGTCCTAAATATTTTCTTTTTTTGGTAAATGGTGATACATGGTGAAAACGGCATTTCAACATCGACCCTCGTCTCGGAACTCAGTTGAGAAGGTGTATCAAAACTGTTGTTGTGGTGGCCTTAGGTCGCTATATTGGAGCCTCAGGCATAACCCCCTTGTTAGGTAGTTAGGTTAGTCGGCAGATCCTGCCATTGTTAGGTTGTAATCAACTCTCTCAGGGGCCTCCACACTTTCTGGTCCCTACATTTCCGTAGCTGGCCATAACAAACCATTGAAAAGGTTCATTCGTATTTACTACGGGCGACTAATGGGACGTCGTGCGGAGTAAAATTATATTTGAGCGCCAGAATCCAGTACTCACCTAAGCCTGTAGAGATCATTGACCGCACCATCACCTAAAAACTGCAGAGCATGAATAGAAAGAACGCTACCTTAGATAAAGGTAAATGAGTTTATGTAGCAAATCCAAATAAAATATGCGGTTACTGTAACAGCCAAACGAAGTGGGAGCAACCGTAGGGATTCAATTGTCTATCCAGCGAGTGATTCTTAGAACCAGCTGCCTTTGTTCTTGCTCCATTGTATGAGAAGATCAGCTCCATTTTCAGATTGATGGATAGTGTCAAGGGGAACCTGGAAAATCTTTGTGGGGGATTTGACCTCGTCTCGGGAAGATTCCCTTTCAACTTCATAGATCATACGTCCATTAGAGACCTTCTGATCAATGATTCTGTGTTGTAAACTAAAAGTCTCGTCCCGAAGATGTTGCTTCCCGTGCCATCTTTGAAGTAGCTGTATACCAGCGTCATCACAGACAAGTTTGTCTAGAGGCAGCTTCAGTTGAAAAAGCTCGGTCGAGCTCTTCCCGTTCGTAAGAAAACTGACTGTCTGTCGTTCAATTATGTAAATCAATGCGTCTCCTTCCGATTTTGCTGTCCCAACAATCTTGTGTTTAAGTTGGACCTTTTTGTTGATGAGGTCCTCTGGGTGCACATCATCTATAGAGTCAGCCTGTAACTTAGGGCTGGAGCCGGAATATACTGACCCACCGAGAGGGTCGGGGAAATCTGGATTGAGGGGATAGATCTAGAAGACCTTGATGATATGCAGAAAAAGGGCCACATCGTGAGCTGGCTTAAGACTGTCAAATAGTTGTTTTGCTTTAGGTAGTGGCTTCCTGTGAGGTCCGTTGGGGGGTTGTTATGGAGTTCTTATACTGGCACAATCAACAATGGTGTGGGAAGATGGTGCAATCAACGGAAAGCTATATTTCAACTAGCAGGGTCGACGTCTAGCTAACTAAGCACTTAGGTATTTTTCTAGATCGATGTGATGATCTATTAACTTATTGGGCGACAAAGTGGATATACTATTCTGCCATAATATAATTTCGAGAAGAATTGTGCATAAAAAGGACTTATGCGTAGGTACTTGGGTCTATGGTTTTTGGGGGCTATACTGAGTCAAGTTTCCTTATTAAACATCCATTTAAGTTGGTTCAGCTAACAACTGAATGCGGGAACATAAAGAGAAGTGATGAGATATACGTACATCGGAGAAATATGGATTACATTGATAATAGAAGAGATGGGCAGAGAAGGAACAAAAAGAGAAAGAGGTGCACTATAGGGCCATGGCCATCTGTGGGATCACCTAGCTCTCCCCACACTCATCCTCCGAGGCCATATCATATGTGTGTATATTCTTCGCTATAGGATCTCAATCAAAGCATGACATAACAGTTTCAATGAGATACTAGGATTGTATGGTTTTCATTGGATGCTTACTGCATCTTGCCTACCTACATATGTACCTACCTACCTAGGTAGGTAGGTACATATCTGTCCTTACATCATCACTTGCCAACCTTGGAACTTTTGGAAGGAGACTCAGGTCGTAGTGCGTAACTGCCTGAGGCATCAAACGAGGTCTCTGTAGCTGACTAACTATCCTGCTGACTACAGGGGATCACTCAATTACCCCTTGCTTCTAGGTTTGCCAGTGTATTTATTCCGCCCAAGGCTCCTGGTCGTACCTTCATTTTCCACCCAGGCTTTCCTTTGTATTCATTTTTATTCTCCTTTCCCATGGAGAACCAGCCAACTTTGCTTCTACCTCCTGGGGCAAGATTCATCGCCTTAGGTGCAGCAGGGGCTGTATTTGAAAATGGCAATGGAATCGTCACCAAGATCCCCATTGCCAACGATTTAAAAGGATGTGATGAAGCAACCATCAAACATATACGACATATCGAATACATATCAGATCAATGTATCGCCCGGGAGAAGCTGATATATCAAACGCTACCCAAGAATCCAAATATCCTTGACTGCCTTGAAATCACCGACAAAGGACTCTCTTTTCCATATCATCAGTTTGGAGACCTTCGCACCTATTTGTCTGATCATCAAGCCTCGCAACATATTCGAGAACGTTGGATCAACAATGCTATCGATGCTATCGCTTTTATCCATAGCCATGGCGTTGTCCATGCTGATATCGGCCCACGAAACTTTCTTGTGGCTGATGACTTATCCCTTAAACTATGCGATTTTGCTGGTTCAATAATCATCGGAGATAATATGGAGCACTATGTGGAGGAAGAGGACAGATATCGGTTAACACCAGGATCGCCTCGGTCTTTTAAGACTGATTTGTTTGCTTTAGGGTGTCTGATTTATGAGATATCAGGTGGTGTCCGCCCATACGACGATATTGACGCTAAAGAGGTTGCTAGGTTATATGCTGGCAGAAGTTTCCCAAACCTGAATGGCTTCAGATACCACGAGCTGATTTATAAGTCCTGGAATTCTGCATACACAACAACGAGTCAGCTTCGAGAGGATTTTCTTCGTCAGAAAGAGTCTAATGCTAAATGGATCCCTGTCTCACGCCCCTTTGGGCGTCCTTTCATGATGTCAATTCTTTATACGATCTGTTTTGGCTCTGTTGTCTTTTTGGCTTTTCAGAAGCGGAATTTCAAATGATCGACTTCCACAGCACTACTGAGAGCCGGATTGTTGTGGCTGTTGGTGCTGTCGGTCCAGTGGAACTCATCTTGGCTGGAAAATCCTTTTCTCCAAGCTCTGGAGCCTGCGGTCATCTTTTCAGCTGGCTTTCTGTGTGTTGTTGCATGGATCGATGCCTCTTTTCTCTCTTTTTCTTACCTCCTTGTGTTTCCCCTAGGTTGTTTCTTGATCCAACACGATGTATTTTTGTTGGGTGCCTGAGGCACATGGCCCCACATGGGACAGATCCAGTCTCTCTCTCCTTCTTTCCTTCTCCTCTCCATCCAACCGCACATAGTCGAATCCTCCCAGTGTTGTTTCTCCATATTGCAACTCCGTAGGAACTCTGTCAATTTTTCCCCTATAATTTCCTCGGTTTGCAAAAGCATTTGCCAATTGATTTGTAGGCAATCCAAGGGACTCTACAGGAATACAGTTGGAACTGGAAAATGTCTATTGCACTTGAGAGGAAAGGGAGAGAGAGAGAGAACTATCTACAAGTGGGGACTAATGACTAGGAGCAAGCAGGGAGATCACGTGATCTCGCAACAATCCACGTGACAAGTCACGTGATGGTAACAATATCAGTCATTTTGCCCATACATTTCAATACGTCAGATTTCTGTCATAATCAACTCTCTCCCTCCACACTTTTTGGTCCCTACATTTCCGTAGCTGACCATAACAAACCATTGAAAAAGTTCATTCGTACTTACTAAGAAATTAAATGTCAGAGACCGACTATTGCTATTACTTAACGATGTTTACACACTGCCGTTTTCCACTGGTAAAAAGGAAGCATCATTGAACTATGTGTAACACATATGGTGATCTTTATATGGAATTCTGGGTATTTGGTCTCCTCGTGGAGCTATCTAAGATTCGTCGGGTGCGACGCATTTAATGAAGTCCTCAATTGTTGCCGTCTCATTGTGACTCTGTTCATCTACTCTTAATAAACACAATATAACTATGTATTAAAAAAGTCGATAATAACCACCCGGATGCTCTTATTCAGTATTATTTTCTTGATTTTAGTCACACTACAAAGCCACTCTTAAGATTAAAATATTCTGCGAAGTATAGCCTAATTTTCACCGACCCACCTTTACCCCTGAGATTTGGATCGCGATTGGTCGCTAGAAGCACCCTGATTGGCCTATTCGCTTGCGATTGTCTGCCGGAAGCGATAACTATATATCTAGGTTACACCAGAATATTTTCATGGTATACTGTAGGGTATACTATTCAACATCCAACTCACAGGCTCCATGTCAGCGAAGTCGAAGTTCACATCAGTCATCTTGAGACGTATTAAATCAGCACGACATACAGAAGAAGAGGGAAATCAAAGCTTACCATGGAGTCCCAATCATCACTAATATCAGGAAGTGCTGTTGTAGAATCAGGCTCAGTGACATCTCCGATGTTTTTATTCTGACCCTTGGCCGCCATGGGCTCGAGAATTGACAGACACTTCTCTTCAGCATCTTCGGCAGCCTTGATTAACAACTTTGGAAGTTCATCTTCCGACACGCCTTGCATCAAAGCATCCAGCTGAGTGGAAACAAGTGACATGAACAAATAGCCCTTGATATTGGTTCCACCGATCTTGATACATTGCAAGCTTAAAGCTTTGGCGTCTTGTATCACAGACAAAAGATCGGGTCTTATAGAGACAGGTCCCAATCCCTCTTCCTCGAGAATTTGGCTTTTTAATTCAATGGCTATTATGAAGCTAGAATGCAAGAATGGCGTGTGAAGGAATCCCGACCCACACATTGTCAGTCGCCCAAAATCGATTTGATCTGGTGACGTGCTTTGGTTCGATGATGGCCCTGCTGTTGAAGGTAATGATATACGAGAGCAGTCGAACAATTTCACTGCAGTATCGATGACAACATTTCTGGAGAAGGCATAGGTCGTCCCGAGAAACGACGGTCCAAAAAATGGGATGTGGATTGAAAGGAGGTAGCGACGGATGACAAAATCGAGCATGAGGACCTCGAATTGAGAAGGGTGTGTGGAATATCCCTGAATGATCCGACGCATTTCTTTATAAGAAGCTCTCAGTCTTGCATCTAGGTGGACAGCTTCTTCATACGAGCCTTGACAGCCGAGGTCATTTAAAAATTTGGCAATGGCAAGTCGGATTGGAAACGTCTTCCGGAAAGCAATCGCTATTGACGATGAAGTCAACTGATTTTCTGGATGGGGTATAGGGTGCTCGGCATCGATATCATGGTCATCGAAATTCCTTGGGGGCTCTGTGTCAAATTCTTCGACCGAGATGAGTGCAGGTCCTCCGGACTCCATACTAGATTGCAGGCAAACCTCCAAAATCGTATTCCACAACCTGCGACGCATCTCCGATGCAAATCCGGATAGATTTGGTATCTGAACTGGATCTCGGTGTAGTCCCATGTATACAGCTGTTCGGATTAATGTGCCTGCTGCGATCCAATTCATTCCTCCGTCCACACCCAGCAATTCCCTGGCCAGAAATAACAGGATGTGCGCTTGCAAGAATGGTATCCCAAGACGTGCCTTATATTCAGGCTCAGCAAACCATATTTGAGCTTCGTAGATCAATCGCACTGCCACGGAACGTAGTGACAACTCATCATCATAAATTGTGCACCCAATGGCGAGCACCAATTTCAACTGCACCAGAAATATGGGATCATATCGGGTTCCAGGTTCCCAGAATGTGGCATAATCTCTTTTGAATGATGGAATGTGCAATACCCTATAGACCCTTTCCGATGTTCGAAGATAACAATCAACGAGCGCGTCACAGATATCCTTAGAGGGCAAGTCGGTGGTCATCGGTACCGGCCATTGAGGTGTCCGTTGTGCTTTGATCTTCTTCCCGAGGAGTTTGCACTTTTGAAGACCCAGAATAGCCTTGGACCCTTCGGCCATGATATATGGCTCTATTATTTCGACAATATCACGAAACTGATGGTTACTCAGTATTTTAAGTCTGAGCACGATATATGTGGTGGGAATTCTTACCAATGACATGCTACTAATCCAATGACTTTGGCCAAAAAATCGTCTCTTGTGAATGAAGCTTCGTCTAACCATTTGGCCTTGATTTGAAGGAAGGCTTGCGTTGTGGATATGAAATGTCCCAGCCAAGTGAGAATGTGTGGTCTCAATGTCAGAAACCGGAGTTGGGGCGCAAGTGTCAGGAATACTTTTCGTTGATTTAGCCAGTTGATGCTCGAGTTGTCTTATCTTGCTCTTCAGCATCTCAATTTCGTGCGTGGATGAGTGACTATTCGGTGTTGAAGGGGAAGTGGAACTGGTAGCTGCCGTTTGTGGCCCACTTGAGATCGCTGGTCTGTAATTAATAGGTGAAGGATCCGCAGAATTATCCAAGCTTCGATTGACCTGTTGAGGTGCATGAATCCATCCAAGCTCACGTGTTTGTCCTTCTTCGTGTCCATTGCCATGCTGCGGAGGCGTCTGTGAGGACCGATAAACGCAATTCCGATTCTTGGTCCGAATACAGTTATTGCAAGGGGTCTGTCTATTGCATCGAATTTTGCGCTGACGGCAAAGAGAACAAGAACTATCCTCTCACTTAGAACGCGTGAATCAAATCGGATTTTGTTACTTACAGGGGCGGTCTTCTGCGGCGAGGGTTCAACCCGGATACTGATAAGGCGCCCGACGAAGTATTTGTTTCCGTGATATCCATCGCTATCGTTAGTCACAAATCTCCGAGCTCGATGGAATGGCGAATCTACTTTCGGGGCGGGAAATTGGAAGATGATGTTGAATCCTTGATATCGTGAGTTAACTCCGTCGGACCTGCGCTTTTGGTCCGTCTCGTCTGCAATTCTCCGTCTCCGTCTCCGATTCCGCTCCGATTGTATAGACCGTAAAACAAAATAGCTTCTCTTTTGAAAATATATAAGAACAGGCAGATTCTAGTAGGCTCGGTCTTGATACGGTATATATCCTCCTTTCCAATTCCTCAATTGGTGCGCTAAACTACCTTTCTCCTAATTTTTAAACGTTCTTATCCTCTATATATTTCTACCATGGACAATCCACAACTCACATCTTTGGGATCAGAAAAGCTGACAGATGATGCTTCCCAAACCAGTGAAAACAACGAGGAAAATGTCTATCATCCCGACAAAGCACCGGATGGAGGTCTTCAAGCATGGCTTACAACAGCCGGAACTGCTTGTACTTTCTTTGCAGCTCTAGGTTTTGCAAACTCATTCGGTGTCTTCGAGGAATACTATCTTTCACACCAACTGAAAAATGAACCCGCGGATAAAATTGCATGGATTGGATCGCTATCAGCATTCCTTCAATTCGCAACAGGCGCCGTTGGGGGACCATTATTTGATCGTTATGGGGCCTGGGTATGCTCTCCGACAATCCATCTTACCTCAAACACTAGCTAACAAGAACTCAAGGTTATCCGACCCGCGGCGATACTATATGTATTTTCCTTGATGATGACAAGTTTATGCGAGAAATATTGGCAGTTCATGCTTGCACAAGGCATTCTACTAGGCATCTCTATGGGTCTCTTGCAATTCCCATCAATGGCGGCAGTGATGCAGTATTTTGACAAAAATATTGCGGCAGCTTTGGGCTTAGCGGTCGCTGGATCATCTATTGGCGGTGTGGTGATTCCCATCGCTCTATCGAAAATGTTGAACAGCACATCGCTAGGATTTGGCTGGTCCGTCCGAATCATTGCATTCGTTGTGATCCCACTTCTGGCCTTTTCATGCCTCACAGTCAAAGCCCGATTACCACCCCGAAAAACGACATTTTACATTCCTTCTGCTTTTACAAAAGTTGATTTTTGCCTCCTTGTGTCAGCAATGTTCTTCATGTTCTTTGGACTTTTCACGCCTTTGTTCTATATTCCGACGTATGCCGTTTCTCGGGGCATGGATGCCACTCTTGCCTCATATCTACTTGCGATTCTCAACGCTGCTTCGACTTTTGGCCGTGTGATTCCAGGTGTTTTGGCCGACAGATTCGGTCGATTGAATGTTTTGGCATTAGGTGGAACCATCACTGGTATCATCATATTTTGTATGAACAAAGCAGAGTCCAATCCAGCTTTGATAGTGTATTCGATTGCCTTCGGGTTCTGGTCTGGGACAATCATTTCTGGTGCATCTGCTGCACTTTCCATCTTGATTCCAGATCCCAGAGTAGGTGGGACCTATTTGGGAATGGCATTGGGTGTTTCTTCAATGGCTGCTCTGATTGGACCCCCGGTTAATGGTGCACTTGTTAACAAGTACCACGGATTTTCTGAGGTTTCAATATTGAGCGGCACGACATGTGTGTTCGGTGCGCTTCTTGCCCTTGTTATAAAGACTCAAACCCCTCAAGGTCTTTTGGGACGGGTGTGAAAGTGGATAAAATATAGAGGCGTTGATGGCCGTTTTTGCATGCGCGTGAAAATCTGTGTGTTGGTGTGCGGCAGACATATGTATATTATCAAAATAAACTAACCACTCCATTCCACCAGGTAAGAGTTGTGAAATCACGTAGTACGTTCATTAGTCAGTGAGCACAGAACAGTGCGAGATAAGGTGAGTCTCATGACTAAAATAAAGAATGAAATAATCCATACCACAATGCGGACTGTTCTTGAAGCATACATTGTGGTTATGTATAACTATATTGGCGGCATGTGAGCGGCCATGGCTAATCGATCTTTGAGTACTAACATAATCGTATCGAAGTCATCATCCGCCACCCAAAGACCACCATTCATCGTATACAAAAGCAAGACACCATCGATGTAACATGGATGTCCTATCGCTTCCAATATAGTCTAGATCAAAATCTTCACGATGTCCTACATTGTGCATAGCCGAAGCTTAGCAGCCCGACGACAATCCAGTCAATGCTCAGACAGACAAGGAGGTATGTATCACACAATCTGGTGGCAAACTTTGCCATTCCAAAGCATCCCCACGAACGAGCCTTCCAGTTTAAGACTCAGTTATTGGTCACGATGCCAGTTGTCTGCTTACCCTCTTCGCCCAAGGAGATCTCGGGTAGTAACGGCTGGGATTCAACATCTCCAGTATACAAACCCCGAAAGCTATCTGTCGAGACAGAGGATCTTCCCTGTTCCCCTGCAGTCATGGTAATCTCCTGACTCTGTTCCACAGGAGCATCCACGGATTGGTCACAGGCTGGGCAAAGGGTGTAGTTAACACAGCCGGCCTTGAGCATAGGCTTGATGCATCGGTGTAAGTACCCTTGAGCAAAGCAGCGCAAATATAACGGACTAGCGGGATCAGCATACTGAAAGAGTAGGTGAGATTCAATTTCAGGACCGACTTACCAAAGGAGGATACATGAGAGGTTGGAGTAGATCTGCGGAATACCGAGAGCAAGCCGATAGTCCCAGGGAGAATCCCATTTGCTAATCTCCTGGGTAGCAAGGAGGGCTATTCCAGCAATGTATACCGCGAGTAAGAATAAAGCCATCAATGCATCAACGGCGATTTCGATAAGCGAATAGGATTGACTTCCGGATACGCGATACCTAAAGAGTATGAATATAGGCATGGTGCTAGAAATCGTGATCTTCGAATTGTTAGACGGTCTTCTATTATAGTAGGAGAGGAAGACTCACTGTAATTAACTGGATCCATGCGTGAGGGCTATAACGAGTCGTAAAGATAGTGGCGAGAGCGAACGGCCACGAAATCAGCGAGATAAGAGCCTGTACCTTGCGAGCTCTAGAGAACGGGTGTCTGTTGGTGGAACCCATTCTTTGGCACATTTTCACTTTGATGTTTCTTTTCTTGGCTTTCCAGTAGACTAAGAAAATATGAAATATGAGGTTTGTGGAGATGTAGAAACTGACTTCTTTTATTTATTACAACATACAACATAAGCAATCGGCCCCCGACCGTGCCAAGCACGAAATTGGGGGGGGAACAACACTGCTGCCTTGTTTAATTAGTCTGCCTGGAGAGATTTAGTACATATGTTGTACGGAGTACCTATCGATATTTAATAGGCTGGTTTCAATCAACCAGGCCCGTTTCGGTAACCCAGGGAGACAATCTTTAGACCAAAGAGAAAAACATGATAGATCAGCAACGAACATAAACGAAGCCTCTCAACACTCGTCATCCATCAACTCCCTTCAGCGAATGGATCTAGATGTTTTTTTTTTTTCTCGCAGAGAATCCACCAAGTTCTCAGGACCAAACTCATCATGTTTCTTCAAAACCCTCAACGTTGTTTTTGGTGCCAAGTAGGCGTGTAGTGAGAACCTTTATCTCCTGATCATAATGAGCTACTGAGGACCAGATAGAGGGAGAGAGAGAGAGAGAGAGAGAGAGAGAGAGAGGAAGAAAGGTTGATTCCTACAAACATGCAGAGAGAGCTACTGATGTGGGGTGACGCCTAATAATCATGCCTGATCAATCAGGTGTCCATCACAACAGGAACTAATATTCAGTAACGTTATGAAAGCCTGATATTGCAGGCTGAGGTTAGCTGAGTGATCTATCTGCAAAAACGCCCCGCTCTACCGAGGCATTCAGGTCGGGAAATGTTCGCTCCATACAACATGACACCAGTGACATGATACTAGTACTTGTTGTTGGGTGCCTGATTCTGCCTGAGGCAGCGGCCCCAGATGGCTCTCTCTTCTCTCTCTTCTGACCGTCCCTTTGCTTCATGAGAATCTACATGTCTTGTTTCTCCACATCTGAATCTCTACTTCCTAGTATCTCCATCAGGTTATGAGCGCCTTTTTCTGCTACCTGGACCACAAGCACCCTCTTCCTTTGACGCTTCCTGGACCCACTTCCCGGTGATCAATCACGGCCCACATTCCTTCGAAGCCTCACGAAAATCAGCCCGATTGATCCCGAAAAGATGACCGATTCGGACAGGATGGCAACCCCACACAACAGCCTCAGTTCTTGCCCGCAGTGGCAACAACCCCGGTACGTCCAACCCGACGGACAATAACCACAACGATTAGTCAAACCTCCCTGACGAATACGATGAGAACGATGACTAAATCATACAAGGTGACGACTTGCCTGAAGCAACTCCCACCAAGATGATGAAGATAAAGGAGCTTGAACATGACACAAAGAACCCCCGCGGATGGGATATTCTGGTGGGATACGCTCTCGCCCCTCTATGTCTAGGTATTTTAATTTTTCTGCCGTTCTAAATCAAGGCATTCACGTATCAAGCTCCCCCTAAACCCTAGGCCCCTAACAATACGTCTTCGTACAATGTGGTTGGGGGACCTATGGGAATACGCCGCACCCGGACGGCATCACGATCCGAAATATCGACATTCTCAACCACCACGAGCCTTAAATTAGGTACCAAGGCTGTATTGCTATTAATGCAGGTGATGAGAATTTAATTCAAGATGTCCACATCTAAAATTTTCGTGTGGAAAATTTTCAGCTCGGCCAATTGGTAAATCCCCGTATCATGTATAGCAATCAATAAATGTTTGGTGAAGCATTGTAGAAATTGTAGAAACCTAGCAGCAAGCTGGGAGAATTCCGTATGAACGAGATGTGTGGAAGCCACCTCTTTCACACTTTACATTTATAACTCCAGTAATGTATCATACTGGCCCTGGGTCACTGGCAGAACTGACAGATGCCGCATGAAAGTTAAGTCGTGGATGTTATCCACGGTAAATGCACCGGAAGCCTCATCGGTCGACTGCCACGCGTGATTCCCAGCATCATCACCGACCTTGTCACAGAGGAGGTATACCAATCCATCTTCCACGTTATCCCAGAATGCATACGGCGCCTCATACCCAGTGCTATCCTTGATCATGCCCTTAGCCGTAGTCCAATCACCAAAAAGTCCATTGGTACTGGTCTGTTCCACTGGACCCCCTCCCGTGACATAGAATCGTGTGAGCGTGTTCTCATCTTCGAGGAGGGCCATATCAATTACACTGGTGTCGCCGAGTGACACATATGTCTCTGGTGTGGTGAATGTCTTGAAGTCGCTGGTGTAGGCATACCGCAAACTGGTGTTTAGAGTAGGATCACCGGCGTGATCGATGTCATCCGCAGAATACTGATTCCTTTAATCACATAATACCAGTAGAAGGATTTAGGCCAGCTTACCAGTTGTGCAGCCCAGTGAACAAAGTATTGTCCTTTCGAGGAGTCCCAATATGCATCGGGAGCCCAAGCCATTCCAGCTGTTTTACCCTCAACTGTCACCAGCCGTTCATTTGTCCAAGTGATCAAATCTGTGCTCTCCCAGACAAAGATTCCGCGAGATCCGTTGCGGGTGCTAGCGTCCCAGGTTGTCTAAACCCTATCAATAATGCTGCATGCAAACTTTTAGAGTGGGGCATACCGTATCAATATTCAAATCAGTACCGAGAATGTAGTATTTTCCGGCATCGTCACCTTGTCCGGTAATGATAGAGACGTCCCGAACGGCTTGTGTCCCAAGCGTAGGTGACACAATCGGATTGTTTCCATTGATAGCCTTAAACCCTAGGGCGTCATCGTTGCTGCTAAGGGCGAAATACACACGGTTGGCTGCGGTAGTCCAGTAGACAGCCAGGTAGCCCACTTTGCTTGAGTCTGCCTTTTTTTGGAGGGTTGGTCCCGTTGGGATAGCATCGGCGGACAGAACGGCCAGAAAGGCGGCGGTAAGGTAGCTGATGCCTTTCATTTCAATTTACCTTGGATGAATTGATGTTTTGAGAGTTTCTTGGATAAAAATGGAGGTGTAAAGCTTGCTGTATGGTCCCTTTTATAACTCCTGCGAACAATTCTGTATATTGCTGTTTCACGCTTTATTCATCCTGGGCCGGTACTATGTTCCTATACATAGTGGAAGGTGGGGTCTACAGTCGCGCTCCCCTAAACAGGCCAATTGTTGATGAAAATAACACCCGGCTAACTGTAGTAAGCCCCAGTATAATTCGACTGAATCCAAATCCGCCGGTAAATATCCAAAATAGTCGAACGATACAGAGATGTGCATCAATTCCACCCCATATGGAGAAAATTGTGGGGTAGATCCCCCGCATTCTACGAGACGTACATGTTGCGATTAGCTGAAAGCAGCCCCAGCAGTCCTTTCGTGCCGCAGCAAGGGTAAAGGGAAAGAGCTGTTGGTTTGATTCTTTACATATATGGTATATTGGTTTAAGCATACTACTACCAGGAATGTACCTTCTATCTGGAAAATGTAAAAACTGGGGTTTAGGGGAGGAGCGGAGGATACAGTTGCGTAAAGCCTGGCAATGATTTCCCCTCTTCTCTCCCACTTTCCTCATCGCTTTTCCATACACCTCTGAACAGGATTTCGCTCCTCTACAAGGCCTGAGAGGGCCACCAAAGCCCATGATATCCAAAGCCGACATCCCGACCACTACTCACAGTGGAGCGAACCTGCACAAACCCAGGGGTTTAAGCAAGCACTCCACATGACACATGATCTCGCCATTCGGTCTCGAAAAATCGCCAAAATGGAAAGCACATGGAGACACTACAGCATGGATGATGTGGGATGATACACACCACCGCCCCTACGTCTACTTCCGAAGTGACTGTTGTCTGGTAACCTTCTTTGCGTTTGAGGCAGAAAAAGCTATTTTTATGTGTTGATTCAATTGATTGCCAGAAAGAGAAGTTGTCCCTTTTGAGGTCGGGGGACCTCCACGGGGGTTTCGGGATTGAGTCTTAAGGCTAGGATTCACTTCGCATCGATTGTTATACCTTCAAATATCGTCGCGTTTTCCCGATAAGCGAAAATCTAGAATATAGTAAGTGTAGAATCGGAGCATAAGGAGAGGAGAGTGTAAAATCACCTCAACTGTAAGGTTGACGGTGCTTAAAATGAAACCATGTAAGAGGGCAAGACTTTTCTCATTCTGGGTATTTATCAGTGTATGATCCAATGACCAACGCGAATTGTGGTTTGGAAGTTGTCAATGAAGGAGAAGGCTACGCAGGAAAGGTATTAATACGAGAGAATGTATTATCGACTCTGCAGAGGAAAGAGAGGAGGAAAGAGAGGAGGGAGCAAGCTATACAAACACCGTTATCTCGAAGACCTGGGATTTTTGGATGTTACGTGGAACGTCACGTGATGGCACGTGACGCTCCAAAGAAGCGTCATCGTCATGGAAATCCTGCATTGAGAACTTGGATCGGGCAGGACAGGTGCAATTGTGCTACACGCGGAGAGGGCGGAGCATGTGCCAAGCCGGCAGCGGGGCGGCAGGGGTTATTATTTTTCTAAGAAAAGGAAATTGGGCTGCGAACGGAGTGCTCCCACGTGAGGTGGAAGATGGAGTTGTTTACAAGACAAAGGTACGTTACTTTTGCTGGGCATCATGTCATGCCTTGGTGGGAAAGGAAGGTATCACGAGCTCATAAGAATGTAAGATTATTGTTCTAGTGATACTCTGCTCCATCCACTCTTTCCTTTCACTGGTACACTCAACGGACACAAAAGACTTTGACAAAAGTGATACATTGGAGCCTCGAACTTGTACGATTTGCGAGTAGGAAATTATTGTCTTAATGTTAGCCTTGAGGCTGATGTTGTGGACTTGTCCACAACGGCGACTCGAAGTCTTGTCAACAACATACGTATATAATTGAAAGTCCTATATACAACACTTAGTTATAGCTGCCATGTACGGAGTAGGGCGAGAACGCTTAGATTTAAAGTGGAGATCACGACACGACGAGATATTCAATATGTACGGAGTATATATCTCTATAAAGATGTGGGGCCCAACGTTCACATGGATCTCATGAGGTCTGCATGAGCACCAGGGAATTCTCCAAGCAGCTAAATAGCACACCAAAGGGTCAAAGATATGAAGTCCTTGGAAGAAACTGTGGAGAGAGATCCAAACTTGTAATTTCCCGCTCTCGGAGAGATATTATTGCGCTTGCTCCTATCCCGGACCTGAATATACATCGGCTAATTTGATTAAAGCAAGTTGGGCGACTGCATCTAGTCCTATGTTGTACGTATACGGAGTATCCTATGAACTCTTATCATTGCTTCAGCTAATTAAGGTCATAGTGTACAACCTATCGAGGAAGTCTGGCGATATTTGGGATTCAAATCGAAATACAGTCACCGCGATGGCATTAATTTTATCAAACTCCTATCGTTGTAGATGGTTTACTTCAGGAGTATTGTGGCTGTCCTGGTGTGTTCCTGTCTATAGCTTTATAATTCATTGTCTCTGTATGTTGTATGTTGTATATGTTCGATAACTATTTCTTACCCTTTGTCCTTGATTTGGCCCGTGAGGCATTTTACTCTTCACCCGCATCCCGCATCACTGAGCGCCACTTTCGTCATTCTTGGCGCGGCTAGTCCGACCCAAAGACGCACCCGTTGACTAAGGAAAGTCTACCGAGTTCCAATGTGATTGGTACCTAGTTAGGTAATTAATGGATATATTATGTAAGCTCGGCTTGTTCCTGAAAGCGGAATATTCCACATTCCAAGGTTGCTTGTTCTAGTTTAACCGTTTTCATCCACCAAGGCTTTCCTTATGGCAAACAAGTCAGTCCATGGCACCAAGAAGTTTGTGGACCCTCGGGTGGAATTCGGCTGTTTACATATTGAAACCACACTAAACCACATTAAACCACGTCATAACCCTACCAATATCCATGGGTAGCAACTACGCGAGATTAAAAGGGGGCCGGATTGAGATTTTCTATCCTTGGCGTGGTGAGAAGACAAAGCCGAGGCTGAAAATTTATAGGCACTACCAGGAAGTCACGGTAGTATATATCATGGATATATGCAGCCCCCCCCTGGGAAAGCACTGGCCCTGGGATGGCCCCCCTGGTACCCCGGGAACCATGATCGAACGACAGTTCCCCAGAAACACGTTTGTTGAATATAAAATTCATACAAATCATGATACTAACACATTCTACCTTCCCATGTGATAGGACAGGGCGATACCGAGTCGACCCCGATCACACGTGTTACTTACTCCCACAGCGTGGTCGGAAAGCCGGCTTGAAACAAAGGAAAGTGAACCAGATTGCACCGGTCCGTGTACCTTGTCCCGCGCCGCAATGGATGCGAGTGTCGTTGGCCCGGAGCTTGATCTAACCTGGACAAACCTTGTCTAGCGTCGAAAAGTTTTCGAAATCATGTGGGGCCAAGAGTTTTCCGACGTCATGTGGGGGCGAAATGGCCTTGGCGGTTGAAGGTATACCATAACAGTAGAAGGCAATTATGCATAATATGTATATCATATGGAAGAGAGGAGTCTAAAATGAACCATTTAAATTAAAGTATGGTAGGATTAATAACGGAGACACACCCCTAGGCTGTATCTCTACTGGATACTGAAAATCGGTTGTTTAGGGTTTCCGAATTAGTCATTTGCAACCGGACGTGTCCACTGGACCCGCCAAGCCCCACCGCCAAGGTCCACCCGTAGGTGCTCCAGCCATGTGCCCCATGTAACCCTGCCAAGTCCCCCCCGCCAAGTGCCAAGTGAAAGGATTCCCGCGTCTCTCCGCTTCGGGAACCACATTGCCTTCGGTGGACTTGCCAGTTTCGGGTCTGACCCATGGTTGAGTACAAGTCCGAAAATTCTAGTTGCTCTTAATTTGCCATGGAGGTGCTTACTATAAGACGGCCAATTCCTCTACCCCGAGCCCAACCTTGTTATCTCTCCATACTTGTTCTTCCCCAACTTTTTTTTACCCCCGCCTCCCCACACTGACGGTTCGTACTTTGCTTGTACCGCCAACATGTGGACGACCACCAGCGGCTTGAATGGTCGGTCGCTCCGCCTGAGCATCACCATCGCCGCTGTCATGGGTTTCTCGCTCTTTGGCTACAACCAGGGCATGATGGCCGGCCTGCTCAACGGCGAGGAGTTCGTAAACTCTTTCCCGATCATTAGAATGCCCGACCCTGCGACTCCGGCACAAACACACTACATCAACGTCATCCGCGGTGCGATCACAGCTTGCTATGAGCTGGGCTGTTTCTTCGGCGCCTTGTTCTCCATGTTCTTCGGCGACAGACTCGGCCGCACTACCCTGATCTTTATGGGTGCTAATATCCTGATCGTTGGTGCTTTGATTACAACGGTGTGCTTTACTGGCCATTGGGAGGTCGGTCAGTTCGTCATCGGCCGTGTTGTATCAGGCATTGGAAATGGAATGAACACGGCCACGATCCCTGTGTGGCAATCGGAATGCTCAGGTGCCCACAACCGTGGCTTCCTGGTTTGTTTCGAAGGTGCCATGATCGCCGGTGGTACTTTTATTGCCTACTGGGTGGTCTTTGGCCTCTCGCACGCTGCTGATACTGTTCAGTGGCGATTCCCTATCGCGCTTCAGATCTTGTTTGCTATGACGGTGGCAACCGGTGCCTTGTTGCTCCCAGATTCCCCCTCATGGTTTGTGAGCAGAGGACATGACAAGGAAGCTTGTGAAGTCCTCGCTAAGCTCAATGGCACCACGCCCGATTCCGAGAAGGTCCTTCACGACTTCAACTTCTTGAAGACGGACGTGGAATCCTCGAAGAGCTCACAGTCAAGCTGGAAGGCGGTATTCACATTCGGCAAGACCCAGGAATTCCAGCGTCTTCTTATTGGTTGCTCCGGCCAGTTCTTCCAGCAGTTCACCGGCTGTAACGCCGCTATCTACTACTCAACCCTACTTTTCGAGGAAAACCTGCAAATGGAGAAATACCTATCTCTCATCATGGGTGGTATTTTCGCTACCGTTTACGCCATTGCGACTATCCCATCCTTCTTCATGATTGAGAGAGTTGGCCGCCGTAACCTATACTTGATTGGTTTCTTGGGTCAGGGTCTCAGTTTTGTTATCACATTCGCTTGCTTGATCAAGGAGAGCGAGAACAACGCTAAGGGTGCTGCCGTTGGTATCTTCCTTTTCATCGTTTTCTTCGCATTCACTCTCCTGCCGCTGCCCTGGATCTACCCCCCCCGAGATCAACCCCCTCCGTACCCGTACTGTGGGTGCGGCGGCGTCGACTTGCACCAACTGGATCTGCAACTTCGCCGTCGTCATGTTCACGCCGCTCTTCGCTGGCCAGAGCCCATGGGGTGTTTACCTCTTCTTCGCACTTTTCAACTTCCTCGGCTTGATCTTCGGCTTCTTCTTCTACGTTGAAACTGCCGGTCGTGAGCTTGAAGAGATCGACATCATCTACGCCAAGGCCCACGTCGAAGGCAAGATGCCGTTCAGGGTTGCCGGCTCCATGCCCAAGCTCAATTTCGAGGAGATTGTGCAGCAGTCCCGCGACCTTGGCTTGGATACCAACGACCATGGTGCACCTGAGAAGACCGAGCTCGGTCTCAGCAGTGACAGTGGCCAGGAGATCGAGGAGGTCCGCGAGAAATAGTCGCGCTCTTTTGGTCGATGTGCCATGGCTATAGCTGTGGCTGAAGGTGGTGATGATATTTGAAACTTGATGTTGTCTAATTTTTGTTTTTTAATGTTCTGTTCATGTTAATGTCTTTTGATGTCAATATGTCAATATTCCCGTGATAGAACTGATCGCACTGCTTCTGGCGTGTATATATATCCAAGACAAGGAATGCTCTTTTATATTTAAATCTGTTATTCAATTTTCTTGGCTTGAACTTGTTCAAAGATAAATTATAACAGCCTTTACTAGTAAAAGCTCCAACAGTGACCTTCAGTAATGAACATCGATGGAAACCTCAAGAATATCATCGCTAAGAACACATGAGGCTTAAACAAGGACGCTAGGGAAATTCAGCTGATAGAGGAACGGCTGAGCACCCAAAAATATCTCGAAATATATACAGTTATCAATCCATATTGGTCAGGTTTTTACTTCGAGCAACGTACGCGAAGAGTCACTACTTAGTTGATGACGGTTTGTAGGAGTATAAAATAGCCTTATTAAAACAGCTATAAAGCCATAGAGTCATCTTAAGATACTACTAGACCGAATTATAACTAAGTTAAAGATAAGTATATTATAGAACTTATTACATTATAAGAATAGTAGGAGACAACTCGATATTATATATATATATATGTATTCGAAGGCCAGAATTCATGTAGCCGAGGCAAGCTAGGGGCCATCTAAGTATATCGCTTTGACTATTGTCAAGAGATGTAACCAATGTCAATTTTGCCAATACCGGTCATAGGGGCTCGCCTTTGGTAGGGCATTCTATGCAAGACGGAGGCTCGCAATATCAACCTTCGTCGGAATTCAAAGATAGTTATCGCCGAGTGCGAAGGGGCAGAGCGGCCAAAGACCAAATGCTTGATTTTTCAGGGTTGATGCCTGAATATGCCTGAATTCTGCCTTATTTTAGACTGGTGGAAATCCAAAACCTGAGCTTAATAAGCAAAGTATCCAACCTTGGAAGGTTCAAAAGAATGAAGCTATTCCCGACATACAAATCTCCGTATGCACCCATTTCTCGGCGTTGAAGCTGTTGCGACCGACCAAATCTCTTGTGCTGAAAAGATGAAGGTATAAAAATCTCCATATATATTCGTGCCAAGGGCCCAATATGCCTACTGGATATTGGTGTGCCCCACCAAACGCAAAATCTTCGTATCCCTTAGCCATGACTGATCTTGCGACCTCTGTATGCCCTTTTTTAGAGCCAACAAATTGGAAAAATACTCTCTTCTGTAACCACGTCCTCAAAGACATTGCGGCGTTCATTTTCCCGCCTTATCGTAGGACTGAGCTGTTCCTCTGCGGACGAATATTGGTCTCCGTTGCTCATGGTTCGTGGAATATTTGAGGGAAGATTCGGCCCAAGGAAAAGAAAGGTGGCGAATCAACTCAGACGGTTAGCATCATTATGCCGATCTTTACTTCCTTATTTGCCAACTCGGACATCAATTGAGCAGCACTTGCTCGTCTTGTCCTATCTTGCCTTGTACCTTGTAAAGGCAGTTGACATTGTAAAGTTCCAAGGTTAGTCTTTGCGATGTGACACAACAGGCAACCGTTCCCAGTACCTTAGCGTGGCATCCGGAAGCGCCGCAACTCTTGGGCCAGCTTATGAAGTTCAAGGTGCACTCTCTTGCCCTCAGTGAATATAGCTCCAGCAGGAATTGTAGCCGTTAGTATATAAATTAGGAGAAACAGAACAGCCCCAAACGATGCCACAGGAAACTGCCCAGGTGTGTGCTGTGAACGATTAAGACATGTCTGTCCTCTTGAACAAGGTTCCTACCGCACGGAACGGTCCGGCTCGAGCAGGAACCTTGGAAATTTAAAACATCTCGCACTTTAAACTGACTGCGCCGTAATTCGCCGTAATACGTATCATGATCTTACTCGTGGACAGATGCCGTGATTCATCTCAGAAAAATTGTATCTTCGGTGTGGAGAACACTGTAGCAGCAGGATGCTCAATTCCACATCCGTAGGGTCTACAAGAAAAGCAACTTGAATGTACAGTGTAAATCGTTCCTGGCGATCATTCCCCCGCGGTATGCACAGTTCAAAGGGCTTTAAACATATACATATATGTCGTATTTCAGTTTGGTTGCTTCAATGCTACATAGTAGAATCCACACTAGAAACATAAGAAACATTCCATCTATTCTCAATCTAACCCGGTATATCCATATCCCCGCGTCTATATGCAAAACTCAAAGACCTAAGCCTTGAGCGTATACACAACACGACCACGAGAGTCTGTACCCTTAAGCACGATATCATCACCAGTACTCGAGACAACACGGCGCTGATCTCCATTGTGCAAAATGATGTCCAAATCCTTCCAAGCAGGCACAAAGCCAGCCTCGTCACGCTCAAACTTAACAAGCACCTTCTCCTCAGTAGAGCTGTAGCTAATCGTGTACGCAGCAGTTCCAGGCTGAACTGAGATACCATCATCTTCATACCAAGTCGTAGCAAAGACCTTACCGTGCGACGTTCCCTTGGGCGGGAAAACTTCCACACCACGGTAATCATCGATATCCTGGACGGCCACTGACGCAGCGGTCTCATCGCCAGGAACACGGGTGTGCACGCTCTTGCCGATGGCAATGGCACCACCAACACGCGCAATGAGGGCAATGCTCTTCTGCCATTCTGATGAGATCTCGGCCCACTGCCCAGAGGCAAGGTACTGGTAGGGAGCGTTCATGTTGACGTAGCCATAGTCGAAGGCACCGGATTTGCGGGGAAGGTAGACGTTCGCGACGTCGATGCCTGTTTTGTAGACTCCACCAACGAGCACGGTCTCTCCGAACCAGAACTGGTCCTCCCCTGCCTTGAGGGTTTTGGTCCACACCTCGGGATCGGACTCGTAGCCCCAGCCGGTCCAGCGCTGCGGCGGCGTTGCGAACTTGTGGCTCTCCAGACCAAGGGAGTAGATGTAGGGCAGCATTTCGTAGCGACGCTTAATGGTGTCCCGGACCTGAGGCGTGATTTCGGGGTACATGAAAGGTTCGATGACGTCACCGACAGTAGAGTCCTTAGGAGAGGTCTTGAAGCAGTTGATTGCGAAGCGAGGAGCGTGGCAGCCGAGTTGGATCCAGCGGAGGAGGAGCTCTGGGGAGGGCTGGGGGCCTTCGAATCCCCCAATGTCGTGGCCTTCGCATTGTAGAAGGGACATGCCGGCGTTGAGAGATAGGGCGTTGGCGCCCTTCATGTTTTCCCAGCTGGTCACATTGTCGCCACTCCAGGAGGATGCAGCGTAGCGCAGAGTTCCAGCGGTAGCGCTGCGGGTCAGGACGAAGGGACGCAGCTTGGGTTCCATGTCTTGCAGGGCATCGTGGGAAGATTTGCCCATCAACTCGGTGTGGAGCGCACGACCCCAGAGACCGACAGAGTTCTTGACCTTCTTCGCAGCGGCGTCGGATACGGTGGGCTCATTGAGAGACATGGTCCAGTCATCGTCGGGTAGGGTGTATTCATTGTTGTCATTCCACATACCATCAATGCCAACCTTTTTCAGACTCTGGACACCGTCGTACCACCACTTGAAGGCCTCCGCTGAGGTGAAGTCAATGTGCGCACCGTCGCCGCCAGTAGCACCACCGGAACTCCACAAACGCATGTAACCAGGCTCCGTTTCGGCATCCTTGAAGAAGCCACCGGCATCAACGAGCTTCTGAAAGTCCGGGTGAGAAGCCAATAGGAAAGGCTTGATGTTGGTGAGAAGTCGGATACCGTATTGGTGCATCTTGGTAATCCAGTCCTGGGGATCTGGGAAGCGCTCCCGGTTCCATGTGAAGACATTCCGAACCTTGGGCTCGGTCGCAGCAATGGAATACCCCGAGCTCATTTGGTGTGCTGAGCAGGGAATCCCGTGCTCCTTTAGCTTCTCCGCAAATTCCAGCAGGGCCAAATGGGCCTTTTGCGGCTCATCTAGCATGGTGTACTTGTACCCACCGGAGATATAACCGTAAGCCCAGCGGGGCACCAGAATGGGGAAGCCCACCAACTCGGCATACGAGCGGACAACGTCCTTGATGGTCTTGCCAACAATGTAGTATTGCTCAATACCACCATAGTCCTGGCGGTAGACCTTGTAATGTCCCCACAAGCCATCAATCTCGGCTCCTACAGACCACAGACCGCGGCCATGGGTCGTCGAGAAGATAGCCACGCATCCTTCTGCAGAAGCCTTGATCAGGAGTGGGATGTGTTTGTAAAGGGGATCAGTGTTGTATACATCATATCCAAAAGAGTCGGTGGCGGAGAGTTGGAATTGACGGCCAGTCAAATCCATGGGAGCCGCCTTCTCACCCAGCCCAACATGGAGACATTCGCGGTCATGGACGGAGTAGCTGGCGACACCCTCGCCGTCTGCGACATAAGACCGCAGCGGCAAATCCTCGTGTAGAGGCTTCTCAGAGCCGGCCCATGACAATTTCACCACCGGGGTGTGTTCCCAGTCCACGGAAGCAGTGACACCGGCGACATCGATTGTTTTGGAGGAGGCATCTTCCTTGGTGAAGACATTGGCGCCTTGGAGGTTGGTCTCGGGCTTGGTAACACTAGGATAGGGAGGGATAGGGTGCTCGGTGGAGGAGAAAGTGGTTCGGAATAGGTTGGGGCGAACAGCCTCGAAGGTGAAATCAAAGGCACTCTTGCTCTTTGTGCTGCTTCGAACGTGGACAGAAGCTTCTTGACTGGTGGGCTGGGGCACTTGCGAGTAGCCCTTGGGGCAGCTTTCCTTCTGAGGCATGATGAATGTGAAAGACAATGCAATTGATTCAGGGGAACTGGAGAGAATACCTGGATATTCCCTGATGTGGTGGCATATTTGAATGCTTGTCGAGCTCCCCTCTGTCCCATCTCATCGTGTACCCCGCGCTGTTCCGATGATGCATTGTTCCTGTATAGAATCGGAGATCGGGGATAATCACCGAGAAGCGGAGACACGAAGGTTGTGCAAGGCCCAGTCCCGACTTGGTTCTGCCGCAACTCTCCGAATTGCCGTGTTTTTCCCCACAAAAAGACATTCCGGGGCCCCAGATGTCGATCCGACGATAATCTTTCTCTCGGTTTTGCTCACCGAAACCCGATACTAACGATTCTCGGCATTTCTCATAACTCATATTCTTCTCATCGCCCCTCTCATGGTAGTTGTATTAGTGAAGTGATTGGATAAAAACATCCGACCACGGCCACGGGTGGCAACGTGTCTTGCCATTTGTTTCCATATCAACTGACCGCATGGATTGTACAAAGTTTCATCGGAAACTATGTTAATGGCTAAAAAAGGATAAATCCGTACCGCTTGTTTTGTGACACTTCGGGTTTGATTGTCTTGTCCGGGGAATTTATTATAGTTCCTTCCCCACGGGGTTTCCGCATATGTACAACCTACACTATATATATCTTAGCTATATTTGTCCTTTGCCTTTCAGCTCGACTGATTCTCCTCCTATAGACACTCGGTCTGTTATTCTTTCTTATTGTGCCTGTGTGAGTGATTAGCAATGTCACAGCCAAAGGGCCAGCAGGAGGAGTTCGTGGAGACGATTGAGCCCGAGCTGTCAGGGGCAGCACCTCCTCGCCATAATACCACAGGAAGTCCGCCCAAAGGGGATCAGGCTCTGCAGCTCATTGAAGAGGCAGGGCATTCGAATATTCTGACCCCTGAGAACAACGCCAAAGTTCTTCGAAAGATCGATCTGCGTCTTCTTCCTCTTCTCCTCGGAATCTACTTCCTCCAGCAACTCGACAAGTCGACCATCTCATACGCCTCAGTTTTTGGAATCGTCGAGAAAGCTCATCTCCATGGCCAACAGTACTCCTGGTTGGGAGGTTCGATATACCTCGCTCAATTGGTTTTCCAGCCCCTGGTCGCCTATCTTTTGGTCAAAGTACCCCTAGCAAAATTTCTGGCTGTGTCTTGCCTCTTATGGGGTATTGCTTTAACGTGCATGACAGCAGCTACAAACTTTGGAGAGCTGCTTGCTTGCCGGATCTTTCTAGGTGTCTTTGAGGCTGGAATTGGTTCGTTGTCTCCTGATTATACTTCACTGTCCCTACTAACGATGCGCTTTATTAGCACCGGCCTTCATTGCAGTCACTCAAATGTGGTACCGCCGTCGGGAGCAGCCTGTGAGGTTGAGTTCTTGGTATGCGATGAACGGAGTCGTGAATATGGTGGGTTGTTTCCCATGTTGCTTTCTTGCCATCTAAGTTGACACTGAAGGAAAGTTTGGAAGCTTGATTGCCTTTGGACTGGGTCACATCAGTTCGTCTATATTTGCACCCTATCAGGTGAGTTACAACATGAGATTGCCTGTCGAGGTAAGCAACACCTAACACCGACCAGATAATCTTCCTATTTTTCGGTCTAGTTACTGTTGGGTTCTCTGCTGTTATTGTGTAAGATTCACCCTGTCCCTTTTGTCTGTATATACTAACACAGTATTACGCAGTGTTTTCATGCCTGATTCCCCCGTGTCCGCCAAGTTTCTTGGAGAGGAGGACAAACTGTTATCTATTGAAAGACAGCGAATGAACCAACAGGGTGTCGAGAGCCAAGAGTGGAAATGGGACCACGCAAAAGAAGCCTTGCTCGACCCCAAATCATGGTTCTGGTTTGCGTTAATGTTCTCAATTTCGTGAGTTGGCCCAGGTAAAAGGAGTATAGTAGATTGAAATTACTAACTGAACTTCAGTGTTCCAAGTGGCGGCATCACTACTTTCGGACCTTTGATTATTAAGTCCTTTGGCCTCAGTGAGTACGATACCATGCTTTTCAACATTCCCTTCGGTGCAGTCCAACTTGTCGCCACAATGGGAGGAGCTTGGCTAGCGACCGTCTGGAAAATGAAGGCTCCAGTCTTAGGATTGCTCTGTCTCCCACCCATCGCAGGTTGTGTGATGCTGTTGCAGATTACGCATGACAATGCCCACAAGGGGGCTCTACTTGCAGGATACTACATTGTAAGTGTTGAATCTAAACGGAAATGCGACCTTGGAAACAATACTAATTAGTCCTACCCAGATCTCTGTGTACCCAGCTATCAGTAAGCGTTTACTTCGTTTCAGAAGTTGGACCCAACTGACCATATCTAGCCCCACTGATCTACTCCTGGTCTGCAGGAAACACAGCTGGAGAGACAAAAAAGAAGGTTACTACCGCTATCCTGTATGTCGGACAGTGCGCTGGTAATGTATGTAGCATATCGAGTCTCTACATTGGGTTTCCTACTGACATTCCTCTTATCCAGGTGCTTGGACCGAACCTTTATACCACAAATGAAGCGCCGCTTTATCGTCGTGGCCTTCTTTCAAAGTAAGTTTATGAGCACACAAGTTTTGAGCATCAATAACTAATGCTGGACTAGCCTTGCGATGTTTTGCGTCTTGATAGGTCTAACAGGGTGGGTTTCACCAACTTTGAAGTAGTCAAATATTTTGCTAATTGTGACTCCTTAGGGCAAACGCTGCATATCTGCACTTCCTGAACAAGAAGCATGAGAAGAGACGGGTGGCTCTCGGAAAGGACGCTAAAATTGTAGACCAGTCGATGCAGGCCATTCAAGCTGTCTCCGATGACGCCAAAGAAGATTTACCTCAACACTCAGCAGATGACAATGCGTGGAAAGATCTGACTGACCTGCAAAATGAGGACTTTGTCTATGTCTTCTAAGAATTGGCTAATTTAGTGAGTCCGTGTTATAGTGGTTAGGACTTGTGATTTTGCTTTGTTTGAATTGCCTTAACTTGGGACTTATTGTATTTACAGTGTAATATCAATTAATTTTATCAAAGCAACACCAGCAAACTACCTAAGACCTAGCTTTTCCTTTACTGCACTAGTTCATCGTCGGGCCAAGTTGATTGTATAGCCGCCTCGGAGAAAATGCCGAACCCCGCGTTTCTCCAGGTTTCTCCTTTCCCGTCAACCCCGACAATCATCGGTGCAAACAGAAAGCGTCTGATTCTCCATGGCCGACCAACCTGGAAATAGTCCGTATAACCCTGCGATAGAGGATAGGACCCTCCACTCTATCCCACCAACAACTGGGAAAAAGCGGATTCCGGTACGTCGATATTGAACCGATTGAGACACTACAACAGCGGACAAGCGCTAACGATATATGACGTTTTTGATTTATAGAAAGCCTGTGGTGCTTGTCGACAATCGAAGGTCTGTGCTCAGGTCATCGGACCCTCAACGTGGCGGGGGCTTTGGCTGATCGTTTGAAGGTAAAATGCGATGGTGAGAGGCCATGCACAAGGTGGGTTACATTCCTAGACAGCAGATATAAACGAAGCCTAAACATTGAGAGTGATAAACCAGGTGTCAAAAATTGGAAAAACAATGTGTCTTCTTCGAAATACCGAAAGACCCCGTCTCAGAGTACGAACGTGTCTTACGCAATTCTCAGCCAATACTGACATCCTCTAGGCGGATAGAGGGCGTCGAATCCGAGGTTCAATATCTCCAAAAACAGCTGGATGAAATTCGCGAGTTGCTTCAACATAGCCGCTCGCAACCCACTCCGAAATCACAGCTAACACAATCTCCCACCCACGTCGGTGATCAGCAGCACATACGCCACGAGGGCGATGGTGGTTCCTCGGGCTTTCATCATCCTCATCAGCAGGATCTCCCTCAAGGCGAATTTACGAATATACCTGTGACAAACTCCGCTGGCTATGCAAATAGTCACCGATACCAAAGGTCCATGCCGCCGTCCATACCAACCCTTTCTCCAAATGACACTTCGGCTCAACCTCTCTACGCATCTAATCAGATAATTAATAGACCGCCCAAGAGAAAGCGATCTGGGTTTGAGATTCGAGAGGAGCCCATTGCGGACTTTATTGATAAAGGACTCATCTCGCTTGAATGTGCTGTATCATACTTCAATACGTATGTATGGGCAGAGATTTAAATTATTTAGCGATTAAGAATTATGGCTGACTGGAACGACTTCAGCTTCTTCGCGGGATGTGTATGTATCATCTCCCCTTACTAGACGCGTTCTTGAAGTACTGATGTTTGGCGAATCGTAAAGGACAGATATATCCCAATCTTCGACCCTCAATACGATTCTTTCGATTCCGTTCGATCTCGAAGTAGCATCCTTCTAAACGCAATATGTACCATTGGATGCATGGTCGAGACCAGTGAATCCCCTCTCCTGGTACATTATTTTATACACAGTGGCCTTGTGCTAACTGATCTTCTCCAGGATCCGGAGGTTCAATGTCCGACCTTCTCCACGCCGAACTCAAGAAATGGATCAATGTCATAATCCAGAACAAGGACCTAAACTGTCTAGAATCAGTCCAAGCAATGCTCGTAGTTGCTTGTTATTCCACAGAACGCTCGCTGATCTTATCATTTGCCACTCGCATGGCCCTGGACCTGGAATTGCAAGAGGCCTTTGATGAATTGATCCAGCGGCTTGCCCTTCAGAATGAAGATATGGCTTATGCCTTGCCACATCAGATGCTTGAAGAGGAGAGGACTCTTATGTGGAACGCTCGGACTTGGTTCGGGCTTTTGGTTCTCGAGCATATGTAAGATGACCTTTACATTTTGTATTGGGATTACTAGACTAATCTGATGCAATGTAGATTTCGCGTTGATGGTGGGAAGCCGCCTGGTATTCGGCTCAAAGGGAATGCTCGCCGCTGTCGGGTTTTACTTAGCCATCCATCATCGACAGTTTTGGATTTACGGTTGTTCTCTCAGGTTGAGGTATGTCAATTACCTGAAATGTATTTGAAGGTGTACTACTGATCGTTACCGTTAGTTAAATATTCTCCGAGGTACGATCTACCCCATGAATTGAGATACAATGCTAATTTACGTTCTCTAGCCAATGTCGGCGATGCCCTAGGAGGAAACACATCGCTTGATGGGCAAAGCATCGCGGATTACGTGCATGATATGAAAATTGAGCTAGATTTGTGGTTCGAGTAAAATTTCCACCTCTATCGTATCTTACCGAACTTGCTAACAGTGGGTAGTGACTGGCTGCGCATCATTGGTATGATACTAATTGGTATCATTCTCTAAAACTTGCTAACAATTTGCAGAAAGTTGTGTTGCCGCCGCCGGAGAGAAGCCATCTCTACTAGTCGCCCTACGGGTGCAGAAATGCTGGGCAGAAATGATGCTCAACTGTAAAGCATTACGATCCATGGGCGTTGAGAACGTAGCGTGAGTACTCCTCCGCCTAATTTCTTCCATATAAGTTAACACAATTATCAAGCGCCATGTCCACCACTGAAAGAACAATACTCCTCACAGCCAAAGCAAGTGCCCGCCGCCATCTCCGGCTCATAATCGTCGATCCAGACTTCTATCTCGCCAAACTGAAATACGCAATGGATTTCGTGTGGGCAAAGTGCGCATTCTCCTTCCTATTGCTTCTCAAATTATCCCGCCTCACCCCTGAGCGCGACGAGGAGCATCAAGAACTTCTGGAACAAGGTAATCGACTGGTCAATGAGTTGAGTAAAGCCGGAGCTAGTGGGACTCAGTCCGGAGGTGGGAATATTTATCTCCAGATCTTGAAGGTCAGTATTGAGAAGTATGGGCGTGCACTGATGGAAACACAGCAACCCAGCTCGGATGGCCCTACGGCTACGTCACCGTTTTGGGAGTTGTTTGATGCTCAGGCGGATCTTCAGTGGTTTGTCCCTGAGCAGTTTGTCTCCGAGTGGGACTTTCCGGGGCTTAATCTGTTTTATTTTCCTACTGCCTGGCAGGATTTCTTTGGAGATTTTTCGTTGGCTATGTAATTTCATAGACTAGTACTCAAATTTTTATGGAAAACTGGGTGATATAGGCGACAAGCTATAACCATCGACACCGCTAGTCTCGATTCCGAAGGAGTCCTAAATTCTTAGTACTACATATATAGCGGACAACAGGGTATTAGGACGGTGTATTTGATCCGAAGCAAAAAGATCTATGAATGCCCAACAGAGACAGAATATTCCACATCCTTCCGAATAATCATTTTCGTACTCCCATCACTGCCACTGCGCATACTGCCTCTATCCCCTTCGGACCTTCCCTCCCCCGAACGCGACGGCCCCGCAACCTCACAAACAACCGTCCCATTCTCCACCCCATCGCCCAAATGCGGCCTCTGTTTGAACAAGCCACTCTGTCGGCGCCCGGACCGTCCTTTCACAGTCCCCATCTCATAATCCTGCGACCGCCCCGACGTGTAGGGGTCTGTATTGCCCCGTCTCCTCGACCCATACCCGTACCCGTACCCGCCACTACTACTACCCAGATTGGAGTCACCGGCTGTGCCGTAATGGGTTGTGAGGGCGTTCATGAAGGGGCGCAGACAGAAGACTGTGCATGCTATCAGGGCATAGTTGAGGTGGAGCTGGGTGAAGACCGTGTGGCGGATTGCGGTGAAAGTGGGGTTTTTGATGGTTGTGTATTCTTTGAGGTTGGAGAGGCGGAGGCCGGAAAATATTATCAATCTATGGGTTAGAAATGTATTAGTTCCATGCAATAGGGGTTGGGATGGGCATTTGGGAAGTGGAAGAGGGAAGAGGGACGTACGGTAATCTCGCGGCGAACGATATCATGATCACCATTTTATGTGTAATGTGCATCTGTAGACCCCATATGAGGGCAATGCAGAAAATGAATAGTAAGAGCTCGGTCGAGATGTCGAGCGCGGCGATTGCTTGCCAACGGGGGAACTTTTTGCAGTTAGTATATCCCATTTCATACCCGTATATTTTGTCTCTGGTGGCTCTTCTGCAATTGTAGACATACCAGGTGATGACATTGCTCGCCGGGTACAATCCACGGTTTGTTCGCTTCGCAGTTTACTGCAATAGCTAGCACCGACGCGATAATCCACGCTGTGCTGAGCCCGAACGTCGCCCAGAGGATGCTCTTGTGGCGCTTGCGGGGCGTCAAGCGCAAGTAGATGGCAATGATGCAGCATTTCGAGAGGTAGAGAGTCAAAAGGTAGAGAATGTCGACACCAAGGAGGGACTATGTTTGTTAGTTATTTATATGCAACTGGGCGTGGTGTTGGGTAATGAATACATTTTGTATGCGATCAACGGCCGTCTCAGTGAGTAGCGATATGTCTGTCCCGAAGCCGATGCTCGCGGCATGAAAAATGATGATTGACTCAACAATAGCAGATATCTAACTATGCCATTAGCACCATTTATATGAGAGGTCAATTTCTCTTGATTGCGTACCGTCGCGCCTAATAGGATGATATCGTCTGGTCCCCATGGTGGATTGAGGAATATCCGCACGTACACCCGGATCAGGAGACAGACCAGCGAGATCACCAGACAGATAGCGGCGGTGATGATAATAATACCGCCATGATGCTTGTCGTCTACCGTCTCGAAAGGCGGCGACTGGCCGGGGGGGCACTTTGATGGCCATTGCCGCACCGAAACTCGATGATGGTCTGTGTGTTGGAAATCTAAAGCAAGAAATGTTCTAATATGAAATGGAAAAGAACAATAATCGACAATCATGATGTCAATTCCATGGATCGTGACCAGGCAGCTCCGGCAACTGAAATTCAGGGACCTAAGAGCTAGCAAGGATCATATATTTAGGGTTAGCAATTCGGGTACTCCGTAGACTCGACACACTTGATCTCTGGGAGACCCCCAATTTCAATCTCATTAAATAGAATTAGAATCTATATATTCCCTCAATCTCTAATTCTTTTATTCTAATAAACCTCCGATAGAGAATATATGGCTGTAGAGCTGATATAAAACAGGTCCACGTGTGCTACTTCCCGATTGAGCATGTTGTATGTCGATTTTTTTCGAGTCTTCCAGAGCTGGACCACAATCCAACGCCGCAGGATAAATTAAGTTAAATTGAGCTATTTATTAGCTGAGTGTGATCGTTCTGGTAGCCAGCCAATGTCAACGTGTGTGGGTATATAGGGCCGAACGGGGGCCGAAAGTTTTCCGCTTACGGTAGCTCCACCGAGAAGCCCCTCTACCACATGAAGATAACCGGCCCTAACTAGCACTAGCATCCAATCAGAGAGAGTGGCCAGGTCGACTGGACCACCTTGCGAGACCACCTTGCGAGTTTTATTAACACATGATCGGCGGCAGAGAGTTCAGTCTATGGGGCTCTTATATGGGGCTACTACCTAACTATACCTAATTAGGTATATGGGGCTATAGGGGACCTGAAACCTTGGGACACTTCCACTTAAAGTATAACCGTCGAGCTTACGCTTCACCACCTTAATACCTACCTGGGTACCTACCTAGGTACCTAGGTACCTATAATAAATTAAAATATTACCAGCTTATGCCCACGACCTTATAATTCTGATTTAATAGATCCAGTGCCTAACTCAGCCATGCCAAGTCGGAAAGATCCGGTGCACGAGGCTAAATGTATGTAATGCATACTACCATGTTTCAGTTATGAATCTCTTTGGCTTATGCTCGTTATGTAATATCTAGACTTTACAACCTTGGAACATATTAACTCCTGAATTAACTTTGTCGAAGATATCTAAAGAGAATTTTAAAGAATTTTCGAAGCTACGAATGTTCACCGACCGGTCGGGACACTTGTGATATTCATGCCAATCGCTCCACCATGTCTTGAACTTAACGATAGTTGTACCAAACACTGTGACCCTGCATTATTATCGTCCGAATATGTCATTCTTCTTTCTAACTATAGGTATATCGAATTACTTTTTATCTATCTATAACGTAACAATTATACAAGTGGATAGAGGTTACATCTCTCGCTTCACCAGCGCCACAGGTGGGATGTAATGGTGCCGTCCTCGCAACACATAATACACCACCGCAATGATCAGAATTCCACCGTACATCACTGCGCACCAATTCATAGTGTCTGGCTCCACTGTCGATGTGAGCGGGAAGAAGGCGAACACAAACACCGGGCACAGGAAGCACAGCGCCCCAATATTGATCGCCATGCCAAAACGGCCAAGCGTCCATTTGTGTGGGGGAAGGGGTTGGCCTCTGATACGCTTGAGTAGCACGCAGGCAATCGTGATGATATACGAGGACATCATTGCGCCGATGGTCAGGGTCACGATGGCGAGAAGCGCGGTTGTGGAGCCGATGTTGATGAGCGACAAGAGAATTGTCACTACCAGGGAGACCATCACGGCATTCAAGGGGATGTTCCAGCTGGGGTTTACCTAGTCCTGTTAGTGTGGTCAAACTAGGGGGAAGAAGGGAGGACGTACATATCCAAAGAATTCGGAGAAAGGAAGGCCACGATCACGCGCGAAGGACCACAACTGGCGTGATGCTGTTGCGACTTCTGTGATTGTGCTGGCCGTTAGGGTCAGCACTATAATGGCGGTCATGGTATTCGTCCCCGGCAGACTTTCCGTCGCGTTGTAGAACACCTGCATGAACGGGTACCCTGTTGGAGTGGCCAGGATGTCCTCAATGTCGCCTAGCGTGAAGCAAACCGTCACCAGCATCACGAAACCGGAGGCGGCATTCACACAGACAGATGTGATCATGGCCTTTGGCAGAGTCTCAGACGCATCTTTGATTTCCTCGGCTACATACTATTAGCCAAGTTCATCAATTTTAGAGAGGGTCACGTACACATGTGCACTGCACAATCATATCCAATCAGCGCCGTGATGGTGGTCGAGAATCCAACGAGTGTGGCAGTCCCGGAGCTGTTCCAGTCTCCGCCGTTGTTGAATTCGGTAAACACTTGCTTCGCGCTGCGGCGAGGACCAAGGACCCACAGCGGAATTATGATGGCGAACAGGCCGCACACATGCAGAATCAGAATCAGCACCTCCACGAAGGGAAGTCGCTTTGCCAGGAAGGTGTTGAATATGATCGAAAACAAGGTGATGGCGATCACCAGTAGGGTGCCGTGCCAGCGCTGGAAGTCGTAGTCCGGGTTGTTCAACACCAGCAGGCCTTGAATAATAGTTCCAGCCAGATAGGCAATGGACACGATGGCGCATTGCCAGCCCATGGCACACAGCCAGCCTACATAATTAGCTTAGTTATGGGGCGGGAGGGGTAGGGGAATTTACCGGTGATATAGCTGAGGAATTTCTGGCAGCTAGGAGGAGCAAACTCGGATACCCAATGGTATTGTCCGCCAGATGTGGGAGCCCTGCCCAGTCAGCATGGATACGAGTATTAAATGGGAAATGGGTAGACTCACATAGATGCCATCTCGGCGAGACTCAGGAACACCAGAAGGAATCCAAAAGCGACGACCACGAACCCCCAAATAAGACCGGCAGTTCCTCCATCGGTCAGGCCTTGCGCAAGCAAACTAGACAGTCAGCCATTGAACCAAGAACTAAGAATGGATGGCATACGTCAAAACAACCTCCCACGTGGCGATCAGCGTGCAGCCAAATCCTACGATCGAGATGTATCGGAAGTTACGCTGCAGGGTCAGCACAGATCCATTAGCCACAATAATGCTTAGGGGACATACCCGCAAGACCTGCTCTCTTCCTAGAGCGCTCATATCGGCCTGGTCGGCATGAGTGCCTCGCCATTTCGCCGCGACGCGGCCTTTAGATGGGGCTTCGTCTGCTAGAGTCATGGTGACCGTTGAAGGGTCCTTATCCCAGGGCATACTGACATGCAGATAGCAAGAACAGGGAATAATCAGTACAAAAGACAGGGGTAATAGTAGGTCGGGTCGGTACTTTGTATAAAAGAAGGGTGTCAATGGTTAGAATATTCTCCGGCGCTGGTGGAATCCACCCGGCGCATCTAGTCGACAGTGGAGCAGGTCCGGGTTCCAGCTGGCCTCGAACAGAATCTGCGGTCTTGCCGAAGGAAGGTGTGGAACTCTGGAGCAGGACACGAGTATGGTTTCAGCATCGTGTAGGTTAGTGTGAACTAGGGATGTCTCGTGTTGATAGTGGCTCCACTGTTTGTTGGTATTGCCACGCCAGAGGCCTACAACATATATATGGTGTGGTACAATAAATCCAGTTGATTTGGACATTTGATCTCCTTAATACTATTGGACTATCTTGACTCGATAGTCCAATTTTGCTCGCCAAAATTAATTAACTTATGCCCATTGCATAAGTTTATAACTAGCACGTTGTATATAATTTTGGGTGCCAAGCCCCTTTATTACCACTTAGCCCCCCTGGGCCTAACACAATCTAATTATACACAGCCAATATTTATTTTTCTTAACAAAAATCCGACAACAAATTACCTTTTCTTCCAAGGTTCATTCGGCAATTCAAATTAGCGGCGTTTGACTGTACGTTACCACCTGTGGAACGCTAATCTGTTGATTCAGCGACAAACGGACAGTCCGGTACATCGGGAGCACCTACCTATCGACCTGCTCGGAATATCACGTTGGTCTCTGTATGTTGTATGGAGTACTCCCTTTTTTTTGCTTAATCAATTCAGAAATCAATGATTGGCTTCCTCAATACTAGCCCATATGTTGTACGGTACTACGGATATTCTGCTATCCAAATTGCTTTGGTGGGGACGAGACTCCTTGCATGAGAACACAGGCTGGGACTATCAATTGAAATAATCGTCGCCTGATTGGCATTTTGTCTTCTTTCTCTTTACCCTCACTCATCACCATGATCCCCCTCATTCCCCTCGCCCTCCTCATCCTCACCTCCTACCTCATATACCACTATGTTATAAACCCTTACTTCCTCTCTCCCCTATCTTCTATCCCCAATGCCCATTTCACCTCCCCACTATCCGGCCGCTGGATCGACCGCAAGCGCAGCACAGGGACGGAAGTGCTCACCATCTACGCCCTGCATCAAAAGCACGGCCCTATCGTTCGTCTCGGACCGAAAGAGCTGAGCGTCAATTCTCTCCATGGCTTGAGGGTAATATATACGGGCGCATTTGAAAAACACGCCTTCTACAACGATGTCTTTGTCAATTTCAACACCGAAAACTTGGTCGGCATGACGCACAATGCGCCGCACGCGCACCAGAAGCGCATGCTGAGTAAGATCTACTCCAAGTCATTCCTCCAGGAATCTGGTGATCTGCGCACGATCTCGAAAGTTATTCTGCGGGACAGGCTTATGCCTATCCTCAAGACCGCTGGAGAGGGTGGAGAGGTGTTGAATGTGCTGCCGCTCTTTCAGGCAGTTGGGATGGACTTTACCTCCTCTTTCCTCTTTGGATTGAGGGAAGGAACGAGGTATTTGTTTAATATCCCCGAGTGGAAGATATGGTTAGAGGAGTATGAGCAGTTCAAGTATTTGAGTCGGGATGACCGGTATATGGGTTTTATTGAGGCGTGGTGCCTAGAATTTTGTACCCGGATAGAGGCGTCGAAAACACAGAAGATCTTCAGTGATGAGGGGAAACTACCATCCACGAACCCGGTCGTCTATTACCAGCTGCGCCAGAGCCTCCTCGCTCAGAAAGAACACGATCAGCGTCCGCTTAACCTAGCAATCGCCTCTGAACTGCTTGACCACCTGGTCGCAGGTCACGAAACCTCAGGTATCACCTTCACCTACATGATGTGGGAGCTGTCGCAACATCCGGCGCTTCAGGCCAAGCTGCGAAAGGAACTACTCACCTTGTCTCCGTCTCTCCGAGACCTAGAGATGGACGGAGAGAATCCTCTCCCCTCACCTTCCGCTATCGACGCTCTCCCCCTGTTGGACGCTATGGTCCGGGAGACCCTCCGTCTTCACTCCCCAGCCCCAGCTCAACTCCCCCGCGTCACCCCCACTACAGAAAAAGGGACTTCCCTACACGGGTATGACAATATCCCAGGCGGCGTGAGGGTTAGTTCAACGTCCTACTCCCTCCATCGCATCAGCGATGTGTACCCTCGCCCGTTAGAATGGCTACCACAACGGTGGATCGACCCAGGCGACAAGATTCACGATATGAGGCGGTTGTTCTGGCCGTTCGGGAGCGGTGGACGCATGTGTCTGGGGAGTAATTTCGCATTGCAAGGTATGTCTCCCATGTATGGGTTTTGGAGAAGAGACTAATGGTGCAGAAATCAAATTGGTAATGGCGGCTGTGTACTCAAATTACACGACATCCATCGTGGATGACGAGGGCATCGAGCAGGACTACGCGTTTATTTCGCTGCCGCGCGGGCGGAAGCTGATGCTGAAGTTTACCCCGGTCGAGGAATGATGCGATGCCGTCATGATAGTATCAAAAGTAATGAAAAGCATTTCCTGTGACTATTTGGTTATCTCATATCTTACCAAGGGTCTTGGCCACAATATCGACTTCTCCCTCTGCAACTTCCGATTGTCAGAGCAGTAAAGATAGATGCTGGCATAGGGTGCCGGGTCGAACCGATGTTACAGCAGTCTCCCAGAAACGAATAACCAACATACTGCGCAATGCAATTAGTTAACTAGTTGCTCACCATCAACCCTGTAGATTATGTAAGGGAAGTCACCAATTGCTGTGCATCGGCCCAATAATTCACCCGACTCTCTGCTCTTCGGAGACATCCTTGTTGCATTTGTCACGAACCGAAAAGGTGATTATATATAAACTCAAGTATAGGGGTTCTCACGTTTTTAAAATTGAACTCAATTTAGTCACATCAAGAAGTACTCCCTTGATCCTCTAACTGTAGATATTCGGCATGCAGCCGGAAGAGCAGCCTCGAACGATTGTCGTCCTAGGATCTACAGGTCATCAAGGCAGAGGCGTAGTCGAATGTCTTCTTCGCGAGCCGGGTTTGGAAACATGTCTCGTCCGTGCTGTTACACGAGACACCAAATCTCCTGCTGCTAGACAATTGCTGCAAGACTACCAAACCCCGGATGAGCGTCTCAGTCTCATCACGGGCGACGTTTATGACCTCGATAGCCTCAACAATGCTTTTTCGGAGGCATATGGCGTGTTTGCAGTTACTAGCGAACACAGTCCCCAGAGAATTGAGACGGAAGAGGATATGAAGCATGAACTTCAAGCTGGTTTGAACATCATATCTGCTGCGAAACTCTGCGAAATACAACACTTCGTTTTTAGCAGCTTGCCTAATATGAAGCAAGTTACAGGCGGCCGCTTCGAGAAACTCTTTCACATGGATAATAAATATATAATTGAACAATGGGCCAAGCTTGACTTAGCTGCTGTTACTTGTCTCCTTCCAGGTTTGTCTATTCCAAGACAAAGCAGCTTCGAACATACAACTAATGTTTATGTGAATTACCTGACAGGATTCTTTCTTACAAACCTAAACTGGCCCCAGTACTGTCGTCGCGGAAATGGGGTCGTCCGTTTTTGTCCGCCGATTCCCGGTGACAAGTTTGTGCAGTGGCTAGATCCGGTACATGACATGGGTATATTTGCAGCCAGTAAGTTGTTATTTTCTCTAACCCAACCGCCTTTCTATCACCTCGCCATCGACTTTGTAGCTCAAAGTATCGGAATATATATAGCTTGGCAAACTAGTGACCGAAAGCTGACAGCGCTCTAGGGGTCTTTGCACTCGGAGTTTCGAAAACAAAGAATAAAAACTACGTTGTAGCAGCGCCCAAGATGCGCATGCAAGATTTTGCAACTATTTTTACGCGCGTCACGGGTCATCAGGCGATTTATTCGCCGAGTACCTTGGATGAGTGGGCTGATATGGCGTCGGAAGTAGTCGGGCCTGGATTCAAAGAAGACATTCGGCAAATGATGGAATGGGCCTCAATCATGCCTGATGACAAGATTTGCTATGGGGCCCTTGATCCGACCGAGGATCCTTCTTGGGAGGATCTTGGTCTTACTGCCAGTAGCTTTGAAGACTGGCTAAAGCGTACTGGATGGACTGGGCCTTAAGAGTATTTGTCAAGCTTGATCAGTAGGTCTCTTCGAATTATATCACTTTGTCCGTGAGTAGTCTTCCTTGTCATTTTCCATCCGGGAGAGGAGACTTGTGTATACGAGGGACTTGCATGAAACTTTCCTCCACGTAGGACATGTAGTATGTGTTATATATATATATATAGTAGAGTATAATGGCCTCGGGTTGAATTGGCTAGCATTCAATTGAATCCATCACCCACTAGGGATATGAAAAGTACCAAAGTATTACAATACATTGACAGTAATAGGTGCGGGTGTGTATGGTAACCCGATATAACATGAAAATTCCCAACAGCAGGGGGATTTCGAACATGGACCAAACTTAAGCTGAATCTTAGCCAGCTAGCGCATATGTCACCCTGCGGAAAAGTGCCTTTACCACAGAGCCCGTAGGACAGGCTGGATCGCCAATTGACAGTCTCATGATCTTCTGGGTAATATACCCCGTATCTGATATAGAACTGGGTTGTACCCAATGGATCTCTCAAGATACCAAGGCAAGTTTTGATTCCAAAGACCTTAACAAACTCCGAGCTACCAAAAAGGCCATGTCGGACTTTCTTCCAAGATACTGAAGCGCACGGATCAAGAACTCGCAATTCTGCCGTACGCACTCAGTATACACATTTTGATCTCCCGAAATATCCAAACTCTCCAGTAAGATATACCCCGCCTTGGCAAAGCAATGGATCAACACGGCCGTCCACGGTTCAACTAGGAAGGCCACTTCACTGAGAGAATCATGGAAATGACGGTTCATGAAGGAATCTTGCCCTTGTATTGAAGCCCGGGCAAGTCCGCCGACTGCCAAGGCATTATTTGTTCGAAGCGTGGCAACCAAGTCTGTAGCTTGTCGAGCCTCACGTGCAACATCGGAGCCGAGCATGCATTTGTCAATGCTCTCTAGCACGTCTGCCAAAAGCATCACAGCGAGATGCCAGTGGCCGTCGAGGATGACGTACCACGACTGAATGCGAGAAGGAAGCAATTCGTGATTATTGACGCAATCGACCATGAAGTTCTGGTATATGGAATCCCAGTGTTGGCATACTGACAGCGTTTTCTGCACGACCTTTTCAATATGATCGGGACTTGCGCCTCGGTAAACCAGAGTTTGGAGCTGTGTTACTCGACGATACAGCAGCACTTTCACGGGAGTCGCTTCTGAAAGTATGGATGCGGCTTCTTCGTAGGAGCATGGCCACCTCGGCTGGTCTTCGTTCGATCCCTGACGTTCTATCGCAGAACGAAGGAATAAATCACCCCACACATCATTTTTCCCACGTACCTTGCTTGCTGTAATATCCCAGTGATCAAGGTCAATTTGATCTCCGCGATCAGCTATTGACGGTGAGGCCGATGTAACTTGACTATCTTCATCTGATACCACTAATGGACGCTGATACATCGCAGAACTTAGGGTATCAAACATAACGCCTAGCCAAAACATGAGATCTAGCGTTGTGCGGTGTTCTTGGCTAGTCAGGAGTGGATCGAATTGTGGAGGTTCTGAAATCTGTGGAACGCTTCCCGTTGTCGAGTCTATCGAACCTCTCCCAAGCTCTCTCACTTTGGGAGCAGCCTCTCGCTGCAGTCTTGTGAACTTGCGCCGAAAAGTGAAAATTTGGCGGTTGGCCGTTTCTAGGAATATTGGCGCACGATCATTCTCCAGAAGCTCGCCCAAGGTTGCGTCCTGTCCTTTGTCCAGAGGACTTTGCGTTAAAGAGAAAATAATGTTTGCGAAGGCGATACGAAAAGAGGGAATGTGGCTCGAATGCTCCAAAGCCTGGCGTGCTTCGTTCCACACTTTTTCTCGGATTGATCTCTCATCATGGTCGATTGCCGATGGAATCGTCGCACCAGTGCCCTTCTGCGCATGTTGAGTCCACTGCGATGCAAACGACATAATGGCCAGATGAAGTGCTCGAGCCGCCTTCGTATCTTCCTCCGCGCTTAAAGCTCTGCCCCGTATTGATGATGACACACGATCCAACTGACAAACCCGAATACACATCCTGTTTGACCAACTCGGTCCCCAGGCTTTCATCTCCCGGTGAGGAACCACCTGGCTGATTGAGTCGCTGTAAGGGCAGTTGTGCTCTGTCAACCAACATGACAAAGCATTCTCCATGCTGTCGTGGTATATGCGGACCAGGTTGCGTGACATTGTTGCACGAGCGCTTTGCTTGGCTGTATTTTCGGAAGCGATACAGAAGCTCCATTGAAACTCTGGGTTTGAATTACGATCAGACGCAGACTCTGGTGTTTGTTTGTCTTGACCCTGTTTCCACGCTGGAACCGTTGGTATGAGATGAGAGCTGGGTGCATATTCATGTTGCGGTGACAAGTCGTAGGTGCTCTCGGCAAAGCTTGGTGCCAGATTCAGAACCTCACACTGTGCGTCCGATTCCACGGAAGAGTCTGGAGATGCAAGTGGATTTGAACTACTTAGTTGCAAATCATATGGGATATCCATCGTCCAAGGAGATAACTGAGGCTGATCGCTACTTGGATTATTGGGTTGGAATGACTCGAGAAAGTGATGTTCCGGGTGCGAAGAGGATGACGAGGGATAATCTGAGATTTCGGGAGGGCTTAGCAATCCTCCGAGATTGGCCGGATGCGTTTGCACAGAGCGCAGTATCTCATCAAGAGCGTCGTTGTCAGAGCGTATGATCGTTGGGCTTGTGGTGTTGGTCTTGATTCGTTTCCGACTCCCTCTCGAGTCCACGTGTTTTGAAGAGATCCAATTGAATGTGCACTCCTTTTTCCATCGCGTGCAGTTGGAGCAAGCACTGAATTCGCTTTCTTGTCTTTCTTTCTGATTAGCGAAGTCAGCATTCACTGTTGATGATGCGGGAACATATTAACGAACAGGTGCGTCGCAGCCTCTTTTGCCCTTGCGACAAGGATCACAGCTATGAAGCTGACGTCGACGAGAGTCTTCCATACTAAGATATTGATTGTATTACTGGTGGTCAGCTGTATCTGTCAAAAATAATAAATGTGTGTCACCCCAATATGTAGAAAAGTACGAAAAGAGTGTTCAGGAATATGATATTTCAAATTTCCCCAGGGGAACACGTGAACTGCGGAGTGCGGAGTGAGTTTTTTGGGGTGGGGGAAAAAGTGGGGGAGCTAGCATCATCCGTCCATAGGGCGACACTTGATACATATCATTCATTTTCGGTCCAGTGGAACTATAATTCGAGTCTACTTCAGCCATTGTGTTTGATGAGATACTACCCTCAGACAGATACTACAAGGTGTGTGGTATTTTAAAATAATTTTATTGAAGGATAAACAATCCCAGAGTATGTATACGGCTAATGTTACACGACAGCTCAGGATTATGCGGAGTCATGGAAGCAGACCGGAGAATTGTCTTACCGAGACCGAGCCAATCGTATGAAACCCCCAATGCATGTCTCGGGTCCATCCGCCGCAGTGTTACCCTACAAGCTCACGGCAGGCAGATCCGTCTTCAATATGATCGCCCAGCTGAATACGTCAGGCAGCCAAGGGATTCTGATCGACATTAAGGGGTAGTCTGTACAATTGCCCCTCACAAGACTGCCGATTCAATTTCTCTTTATCCCGATCTAATGAACAAGCCCTCCAACTAATTGATGGGTATATGTTTTGCCGATTGGTCGAGTCACTGTCGACGATGACTTCTTCTTCTACCACGGACAAAATCGCCTACAGATTGAAACCTACACATTTTGTGCACTGGGTATGTTTGTAGAGTTGAGTTTCCATGATATGTACAAATGGGAAACGTAAAACAGCAGTTGAAAATCCTTTCCGAGATCTGATGCTCATGACTTGGAAAGCTGGATGCGGACGGTCTTTATCTCGGTGTAGTTCTCTAGGGCGTACGATCCAAGCTCTCGGCCTATTCCCGATTCTTTGAAACCACCGAACGGCATCTGGTAGTGAAGGGTGTTGTAGTTGTTAACCCACACGGTTCTGTTGGAAGAGAGATGTCAGTAAATTCATGCAGCCTGGAGAACCACTCTTCAATTTAATTGACTCACCCGGCCTTGACGGCGTTGGACACTCTGATGGCAGTGTTGATGTTCGTGGTGTGGACAGCTGCGGCCAAGCCTATTTTTTTTTATTAATCGTTAGACCGTGGGAACCAGATTGAATGTGGGAAATCGGGTAGTACTTACCGTAGTTTGTGTCATTGGCGACTTGAATAGCCTCCTCCTCGCTCTGGACCTTCTGCACTGTGCATACGGGTCCGAAGATCTCTTCTTTCACAATGGTCATGTTCTCAGTGACATCGGCAAAGACAGTGGGTTGAATGTAGTATCCTTCCTTGCCATGGCGACCGCCACCCGTGACCACCGTGGCACCAGCACTCTTTCCATCATTAATATAACCCATAATCCGGTCATATTGGATCTGAGAAACCTGTGGTCCCTGGAATGTCTCAGAATTGAATGGGTCTCCGACCTTGTTTTGCTCTGTGCGCTTCTTGAAAAGCTGGAGGAACTCGTCATAGATAGCTTCGTGAACAAGAATGCGAGAGCCTGCACAGCAACACTGTCCATGGTTGAAGAAAATTCCCAGATTGACCCATTCAACTGCTTCCTCTAGGTTTGCGTCAGGAAGAACGATATTCGGCGACTTGCCACCCAGTTCGAGGGTCACTTTCTTCAAGTTGCTGTCGGCCGCAGATTTCATGATCTGACGTCCAACCAGAGTCGATCCAGTGAAAGCGACCTTGTCGATATCCATGTGAGAGGCAATCGCCGCACCGGCAGTTCTTCCATATCCTGAGATAACGTTCACCACTCCGGGAGGGAATCCCGCTTCTTTGATGAGCTTAGCCACGTAGAGCCCAGACAGGGGTGTTTGCTCGGCGGTTTTCATGACAATTGTATTTCCAGTGGCCAGAGCAGGGCCGATCTTCCAAGCAAACATCAAGAGCGGGAAGTTCCATGGAATAATTTGGCCACACACGCCCACTGGTTCGTGGCGCGTATATGTCAAGCTATTGGGATCGGTGTCAATCGTTTGACCGTAAATCTTGTCGGCCCAGCCACCGTAGTAGCGCAGACACCCGGCAGCGCCGGTAACGTCGCCTTTGGCCATTGTCACTGCCTTGCCATTGTCGAGGGCTTCAATAGCAGCCAACGTTTCGATGTCGCGTTCCATGAAGTCTGCGAGACGAGTAAGAAGACGACCACGTTCGGACGGAGTGACTAGTTTCCATTCTCCGTTCAGTGCAGTGCGAGCAGCTTTCACAGCAATGTTGACATCATCTTCTGTGGCTTCATGGACGGCCACAATAGGTTTCTCATTGTGAGGGTTGATTGTCTGGAAGGTTTTGCCATCCACACCCTTGACAAATTCGTTGTTGATGAATCTGATAAGTTATGTTAGATCGTCGAAAGACGAAGTGAGCTTTCTTGTGGTCTGGGCTAACTTACAGTCCCAAAGGCTGCTCATATGCGAGCGCCGGAGTTTTGACAGTTTGAGAAAGTGACATGATTGAAGAATAAGAGTCAGATAAGAGGTGTTTAATAGAATGTAAGATATCTGAGATATAGGAGAATGCTAGAAAGTGAGATACCAGGTACTCTTATATGGCTAATGAGAAGGACCCTGGTGGCGAGAATTCTCGGGGCCGCACAGCGCGGGGAAGTAGCATTGAGTTCGATAAACGCCGGCCCGACATTTCTCGCTGTGTGGGGGGGTGCGGCTCCGCTCCAGTACCCCAGCTTTCCCTTTAATTTACATCGGTGCACTCCCCTTCGTCCGGACCAATAACATAGTCAGGACCTAAAAGCGGGGAATCCATCAACCCCGTGTTTTGGAAGTGTCCTGTGACGAAAGTGAATGTGGGGTACTGGCTGCAGAGAAAGTGAGACGTCCTATTCAATCCTCTTGATTTCATATCACCAGTTGACTATAACAATTTGCTCTCAACTATTCCCTCATACCCAAATACATAGAAATTTAACCTTTATTTTAGTAGACTGCAGATATTTATTTCGTATCAGTATTATGCTTCTTTATCCAGTATTACCCGCAATCTAGCGAGCTCATCCACCGCAATTTGGTTATATCCCCTAATCTAACACATGGTAGGTACGACGTATTCTCTCCTTGGACCCGGACCCCAAATACTGGGCCCACGGCTGGGTCGGCAGGGTGCAATGACTAACTCGATGACAACCTTGCTTGCAGTTCCCGAGTGTGTGTGGAGACCAAGGAAATGCAGAAAATAGCTCTAAAAACTTAAAGTCAACGTCTGCCAGATCTGGAATGGCAGAGCAAGATGATACGGTGTCTTAAATGGTTTCTTGTGTATCAATCGTTCAAAGTGAGTTAATTTCAGTATCTCAATTTATATTCACATAAACTCGCACGCAAGTTTCCACACCTATATACAACACACCTATATACAACATACTCGTGCAAAATCCGTGCTCGTATCACGTGTAATCAATCATGAATCCCCATTTACTCTGGCAACTCAAGCACATAGCGGCCAGCAATCTTTCCTTGTTCTATTTGAAGTTAGTTTGAGTCCCATATATAAGTGGGAGAACTTGACATACCCATAAGCTCAAAGATCTTAGGAAGGTCCTTCAAAGGTGCCAGCTTGAATGGAGCTTTGATCAAGCCCCGGGCGAAGAAGTCGAGAGCTTCAACGCCATCCTGTTGATTTCCAACGTAGCTTCCCTTAATAGTGATCATACGAACGACGGTATTAACCACAGGGGCCTTGAGGAATGCATCGGGGGGTAATCCAATGGCAACAATTGTTCCTCGGGAGCGAACGTATTCCGAGGCTTGCTGGAAAGGCTTCTCTGAAACAGCCAACAAGATAACGGCATGAGCACCAAGACCACCAGGGGTTGCCGCCTTCACGTCGGCAATTAGGTCTTTGGACTTGGTAAAGTCGACATAAGTCTGTTATTGTTTTCATTAGCTTCGACGTTCGCTGTGGAGGAATATCGGGGTATAGTGGTTTTGGAATCATACCTCAGTTCCAAGCTGCTTGCACATCTCCCTTTTCTCGTCACCTCCATCAATAGCAATCACTCTAAGACCCATGGCCTTTGCATACTGCTGGGCAAGTGATCCAAGACCACCGCCTGCTCCAACAATAGCAACTGTCTGGCCAGGGCGAACACCAGATTCCTTCAATCCTTTGTACACAGTGATACCGGCGCAGAGCACTGGAGCCGCTGCATCAAGAGGAACACCCTTAGGGATCTTAGAAGCGTGGGTAGCCTTTCCGACAGCATATTGCTGGAAGGTACCATCGACAGTGTATCCAGAAAGTTGCGCATGAGCGCACAGAGGGGTATCGGATTGTCTGCAGAATTCACACTCAGAGCAGGAGCCGTTGAGCCACTTAATTCCAGCGTGGTCACCGATCTCAAAGGTGTTCACGAGATCACCCTTGCCGACAACAATTCCAGCTCCTTCGTGGCCACCGACCAGAGGCATCTTGACTGGGATGGGCCAGTGACCCATCATCGCATGGTAGTCGGTGTGGCAAACTCCGGTGTAGCGAATCTTGACCAGAATCTGATCAGGGCCTGGCTTAGGAACGGGGATTTGCTTCAGGACAAGTGGTCCTCCGATCTTCTCGGCCACCTGCGCCCATTGAGTCTCGGGGACGGACATGTTGATGAGATGAAAATGAAGTTTGGGATGAGTTGTAAGTGGGTAGAATAAAGAAATGTTCTTTGGTCTGTTGAAGATTGTTTTCTGGGATTCAATTGCAGCTTTATAGCTGAATGTCCCGGGTGGGGATGTCTGGGGTAACAGAAGGCGAGGTGGACCCTGTCGCTTCTATTCCCAGATTTCCTACCATCTTGTGAACTTCGGTCGGCCCACCGGAATGCATCAATGGTTAGGAAGACTCAGGATACGTAGTGGGTACCGAGTAAATTGATTGGGAAGGAGTGATGTTTGACCTTCGCCTCAAACATCATACACGTCAATTTGGAACGCAGTGAGGTTCGAAGGTTAATGCGGGGAAGCTTTGCGGGGATCGCGCACGGCCCTCCATGCGGAGCCGCACGAGTAGCGAATGTGATTGGATGCAATGTTTTGAACCGAAATGATCTTTTGTCCGCATTCAGGACGATCTCCGGGATCACAGATGCGCTTAAGGGTATTCAGGAGCCTGAACAAATGAATGCTGGGGATGGTTTGTGGAGAAATGAACCATCCGAAAGGGGTTCAAATTACTAGAGCAGGGGAAGTTGGCGCTAATACAACAGATAAATTTAAAAATAGTACTTTTGACAAGGCTCAATACTAGCCTCAGCGACCGTGGGTTTTTATACGAATATTGGTATAATTACATTTCTGGGCTTCAAATCGCTAGTTATACAAGTAAAAAAGAAAATGACCAGCGAGGAAATTCTGGCAAAGACAAACGCCCGCAAATCGATCACCAAAGAGCTAACTCTCCTCGCCATAATCAGCAACTATTGGGTTCTTCAACTTCGTGTGGAAAGAATGTGCTCGACCACCCACTGCTGATAGCAAATCCGGAATATGGTTCGTCTCTTGCACGTCTTTGTAACTCCCCCAAGCTGTCTCCCAAGCTGTCGTCTGGAGCTTGGTGTGACCTCCCTTCCTCACTATCTTCAGATACGCTGGAAGATCTCTCTGACCACGTCGCAAATTCAGCATCTGAGAAAAAAGTCAGGAAATTGTCATTCCCTTTAGCGATAGTAAGCTCAGTAGGTTGATTCCGGAATTTGAAACTCGATCTTTCGGTGTAGAAAAAATTTGGATCAATGACTTCATCGAAGACTTCCTCAACTGAGTCGCTTCCGTAGTATTTGATATGTCCCTTATCGCTGGTTTCTTGTTCAATGATCTTGTTGCTACACTCGGTATTAATAGAGTGATGCGATAGACCTTGAGGAGAATTAAACTGACCCATAACTTGTGGTATTGGAAATATCTCGTTGAGACCGGGTTTTCTGCGGAGAGGTCACACCGCGACACCCATCCTTCCGTGATTTCTTCGTTTTTTCATTGAGATACTTGGGCGGTTTCCGGATTCCATCGACACATTGCGATCCCATGTTGCGTTTCACGCATTGCCCACAAGGGCGTTCATTTCCTACCGTATCTTGTAAGTTTATTATTCTCAAAATATGCTTGCTCGAGGCAATACGGCACAATCCTTGAGCTTACCGCATGTTTTATGGGCCTTTTGGCAATACAAGCAAGATCTCCTAGCCTTTTTGCGGGGTTGCGGGATCTGGAATTCGTTGCGGGATGCCATGCTCAAACTCGTAATCTTGAATTTTCGTGGTGTGGGGTCTTCAAGGGAAGCGAGATATAGTGTCAGGGTTATCGTTACCAGGTTGTATATATACTGAGGTGAATGGTTCGTTATGAAAGTCGCTAACACCAAGGGTCCCCAAAAGATACGGTCACCAAGGTGTTCATCAATGTAATATGTATATCTAAGGCCATGTGGAATTTGAGACGTCAATTTGAGCGGCTCCGCATTACGAGCAGCCTAGTTGGGATTCACAATGGTTGGGTCCGTTTCCCAGATCAGGACATCTGAGCTGTCTTCCACTTCAAGGTAATACGGGCATATCACCAACATTGGAAAATGCCAATATTGGAAAATGCTTCAACCAGCTTCCAAGGGTTGATTTTAGCCGTGCGGCTCCGCATGAAATTTCGGATCCGCATGGACCGAACCATACGCGTCGACTCTTGGCAAATAATCCTTCAACTCCATCTAAGATCCCTGATCTACATTCCCCACACAAAAAGAAAGTCAAATATAAAACTCTTTCGCATCTCTGGGGATCCGAAGCCCCGGCGCGAGAGTTTCAATGGCAGCCTTGCCTTGCGAGCGGGAAGAAAATCAATTCAGCCAAGGTAACGATCACCATGGTTAGAAGCCGGTGCATACGGGACACAGCATATCGTTATGCCCCATTGGTCAACCCCGGATTAGTTTCGCCAGTGGATCCACTGTCTACGTTGACCCTTTATTGGGTTCACTTCGTGTTCTGGGCTTATTCGACCTTGCTGCAAATCAATATATCTCACACCGACGGTTTGATTGGATGCGGTGGAAAGGAGTATGATTATGCTTTCCCCCTTTTAACAGTAAAATAAGCGAATATCAAATACCCCACAGTTCATACCAGCCAGAAAGTCTGGGGAAGGGTTAAAAAGTCCCACCATCCCCAGATGTTGAAGAACTACAAGGCCCGTTTCTCAGAGCTTCCATTCTCATTACCTACTTTAACATATTCTTCTGCATTTTGGTAGTAGAGATACATCTCAGCGAAAACAAAATGGACAGCGACATGAGTCAAACTGACGAGTCGAAGGGGGCTTTTCAAAACAGGGAGCACAATGGTCTCGCCACAGTACCAACATCGGTGACACTGTCAGCTGAACAATTTGAAAGGCTTTATTTGACTCCCATGAGGGTTCGCCAATCACCAATAGCCAGGAAAGTTGGAAATCCGACACCTTTGTGAGTTTCCCAACATTATCATCTTAAGCATGGCATTTTAATCTAACTTCATTGTTCAATATCCAGAGCGCTTGGAGGTTTCGTCATCACGACCACCCCCCTTTCATGTTGTCTGATGGCCTGGAGAGGAGCCAGTGGAAACGGAGTTGCTTTTATGTGAGACATCCAAGAAATCGGCCTGGGAGCTTCATCTAATGAACTGAATAGCGGTCCTATCATCTTCCTTGGTGGTCTTTTGTTGCTCATTACGAGTGTTCTTGAATTCATCATCGGAAACACCTTCCCCTGTGTTGTATTTGGAACTATTGGTATGTTTTTCTATCTTATTGAGAGAAGCCCCGATCGCCCGTTCATATTGCTGATACTTTATCAAGGCGGTTTTTGGTTTGCGTTCGCAGCCACAATGGTTCCCGCTTTCAATGCAGCCGGTCAGTTTGAATACACCATTCCATCCAAGTGGAGCTATCAGTTTGCTTATATTCTGTAGCCCCGTATTCCACGTCAACCACCGATACAGCTGCCGGACTAGCCAGTGAAGGCTTCATGAATACATATGGTAAGTGGAAAAAAAGCCCCTCGAATTCGATGAATGTCTCTAACAACACCAGCATTTCTATTCATAACTATGGCTGTTCTCATGTTAATTTTCATGATATGTGCAACGCGCATTAATGTGGTATTCACACTCATTTTCCTCTCCCTGCTCATGGTTTTCCTTCTTCTGTCGGGGGCCTATTGGGAACTAGGCCAGGGGAATGCAGCAGTTGGTGATCGATGTGTAAAAGTGAGTATCAATCCGAATCTTTATGATTTACTTTCTATTTTGACTGGATTCTGACTTGGCCTTTTTCCTCAGGGTGCTGGAGCTTCGCTCTTTGTTGCTAGTTTACTCGGCTTCTACCTGTTAATTGTTCAACTGTTTGAGTCCATAGGATTCCCATGCTCTTTGCCAGTTGGAGACTTGGCGGCATTCTGGACTCGCAATCAGAACAAGTGAGTCTCCTAACAGCTATCGAGTGCTTCCCGATTCTAACATAGTACAAGAGGAGAGGGAGATGATGTTGAACAGCCAGCCTCCCTTCACTAGGGTCCAATCTCATACGATGAATCCAGTGTTACTTGTTGATATATCTGGCCGTCTGGGATGTGCGGAATAGCTTCTGGCTCGCTTCCGTGGGCCAGATCTGCTTCCTACCGGCCGCCCCGCTTTCTGTTGATTCCATGTTATTTTACTAGTTTTTTTTTTACTGTGGAGCGTGATCTAGGCAATGATACAAGCCTAAGGGATATCCATCTTTACTGTGGGGTCCCAGGTCAGCTTCCCAAACCTGCGCACATTACTTGTGCAAACATGCGACCACTAAAATTAATATATTCTTTCTTGAATGTTTGACCTATGAATTGACCTAAGAATGTAGAAAATCTAGGTACTTAGATACACTGCCCGAGCTATAAAACTGAAGAATAGAATGACAGCTATAGGCAGAGCAACAGTTCTTCCTGTGTGTGGAAATACTGCAGTCTAACACCTCCCGCCAAGTCCGGGAATTGCCTATTCGGGCCGTATGAATAACATCAGCCTCGCGACTTATTCTCGCAATTGGACCTGAGATCTAGGTATCTCTCCGCGTAGATGATTTCGCCAGGGACCAAAACGATAATGAGGTGGCCTATAAACTTGCATTTTCTGACTATCTGCTACGATTTGAGACCACACCGGAGCCATGCATCCTTCAACCCGTCTACATATCCTAAGTCTTTTACATACCTCATTCGCTTGTCTATTTTATCGCTGTGTTCATCATCATCGCCATCATCTCACGATAGCCTCGCCATCGCCATCCGACCTTTTACCAGTATTTTCGTGGTTGCAAGTCGACCGACAGCTATTGCCACGGCTTCACTCTTCTGAGAACAACAACTGTACCTCATCTGCAGGGACACGTGTGACCTGTGCATCGTTCTCTCGTTCCAAGCACCCTGTTGAACAATCTCCCATGCTTGCATGCATGTTTGCTACAGACTGAGCCTTTTGCTATTGTTTGCTACAGATTCAGCAATGTTTAGATGGTTTTAGCAGGTATATAACCCCCTGCATTTCTAGTTTAATCAATTCCCACAAACAGTAGTATTCACTACAACACACCCGACCCCTCCAACTATCAGCATCCAACTTAGGCAGCTACATCGGGACTCTTTCCTTTCTTCCTCAACATGCACATATTGGGTTTCCCAACGGAGATTCTAATATTGATATCCGAATTTCTCGATGATGAGTATTGCATCAACGCACTCATTCAAACATGCAGACGATTTTACCTACTACTAAATCATTCCCTATACCGATTTAACGTGTGCTATTGGGGCGGTTGTGCTCTCGAGTGGGCCGCGACAAAAGGCTCGGAAGCAACTGCGCGATATGCACTGGAAGCTGGAGCTTCTCCACATGCCACTCGCGACCAAGAGTGGGTTCCGATGGCGCTCGCCTGTATGTTTGGACATGTACCTATTGTGCGGCTGTTAGTGGAATACGGGGTCGATCCAAATTCAACTGGAAGCTGGCTTCGATTCCGTGCTAGTGTCTATAGGGATTCTGTAGACTGTCTGTTGATACTAGCGGCTTCTGGTGGCCATGAAGATGTCGTTCGGCTCTTACTTTCTTATGGGGTCCCCCTGGCATCAAATTTGTACACCCTATGGATGGTCGTGATGTCTCATCACTTTTAGTAGCTGCAAAATATGGCCATTTGTCGCTTGTTAAACTCTTCGTCTCCCTTGGCTGTGATGTCCATATTGGGGCGTGGTGGGGCGCGGGTATTCTCGTTAACGCAGCCGCTGAAGGCCATTACGAAGTTGTTCGGTTCTTACTGGAGACGAATCCCAATCTAGAGAAGTCTCCTCTACAAGCTAGTAGTGCGCTACGTATGGCAGCTATGGGAGGTCATATAGAGACAGTTCAGCTTCTCCTAGAGCATGGGACGACTCCGACGCCAACTATGATAGGTTGGCGTCTACGTCCATTGATCGAGGCTGCACAACGCGAATACTATGCAGTAGTTGATACACTTCGGAACGCTATGGATCTTCCGGCCTTCATCGCACACGGTGAGCCTGATGACGATATCCATAGGGAGCTACTGTTAGTTAGCGCGGCGTGTGGCTGGGAAGATATAATTAAGGAGTTGCTTGACCGGGGCTGCTCGTCCAATTGTCCTAACCCTAAGAATCGGGAATGGGCCATGGAAAGAAAGCTCCAGGGATCAAGTTATCTTTCCACTAGGGGATACCCATTGCCTCTGACGTTGGCAGCCCATCGAGGTCATTACGGCGCTTTCAAGCTACTACTCAACCATACAATCGACTCAGACAAATCATTGCTTTATAGAAGAGAACCATACCCGCTCCTAGCAGCAATTGACGGCTCCCAGAGGCGGATTGTCAGTATACTCCTGGACCACGGGGTAGATCCGAATCACCGAATCCCCCCACAAAATACGCCGGTCTTTTTTGAAGCTGTCCAAGTGCCGGAAATACTTGAACTATTGCTCGATCGTGGGGCGGACCCTAGACTAAATTCAGAGTATGGTGTCGAGGAGGTTCACTGCGAATCAGTGTTTATGAGAGCGTTAAGCACTGGAAGTCTGGCCGCAGCGAATATCTTACAACAGAGGGCTTTATTCATAGAGCCCCGCTTAGGTACGGACTTTTACCCATTCTTTGAGGCGGCCACCTATGGTGGAGCAGCGATGATACAATATCTACTTGACAGCGGCTATAAAGTCGTGCCTGGGAGTCCCCAAGTTGGGAGGGCCTTGCACACTATACTGTCTCGGTCAGACACGTCATCCTTGACTATTCTGTTCGAGACAGGACTAGTAGGCAGCTTAACTACAATCGACAACAAAAGCCTGATGGGAGTGGTAGATTCACCAAGTGAAGACTGGGATGCTGTGGCTGCTACTCTGGATACCCTCATTGTACATGGGATTGATGTCGAAGGGGGGTCCTACTCCCCTCTGCACGATGTTCACACGGGAATGTCCAATCTATCCCAGCTATTATTAGATCGAGGAGCTGACCCCCTCAGAACTCATACAAACCTTGGCATCACCCCTTTAGGACAGGTGGCGAGGAGGGGGTGCATAAGCTTAGTGCGAATGATGCTAAAGGCTTTAGAGCGGCGGAGAGTTCCATTTGGGGAATTGAAAGAGAAGCTTATCGAGGCAGAGAAGCAGGCAGAGTTGGCCCAACAAGAACATTTGGGAGACGATGTGCTACCACTTCTACGCCGTTTCTACTGGCGAAAGAAGTACCAAGACTAGGCTGAGAAGACTGAAAAATATCTATTTCGAGATGCAAAGACGCCAATATCATTATTAAATGGATAAACCTCGAACTCAAGCAAAAGTATTATACCAGAATGGATAGTAAATTACAGTATATTACGGAAATTCATTGGACGACAAGCTTTAATACACTGTAATTTACATAATTTACCACTTTCATGCAATATATATAATCGAGAGCCTTCAACTTCTACATATGTATAGTTAGTTTATACTAACTACTATATGTTCGCTAGAAATTTATTTTTATAGATAACGTTAGTGTTGAACCCTCAGGCATGCATGCATGATTGTTTGCTACAGACTGAGCCTTCTTTTGTTTGCTATTTGTTGTTTATGTTCAGATGGTTTGCAGGGTATATAAACCCCTGCATAATTAGTTTTAGCAATTAAGAATCTTTCTTCTACTTTTTCCCTCTCAGTAGTAATCTATCATAGATTGCTCATCAGTTAGTTATCAGAGATGATAGATGGAATAACGGCATCTTCACTAAGAGTTATTTATCCCTCCACTCTGTAATTGCTTCAGGATTCGGGATAAGCGCCTGTGGCGCGTCCTAATGTATCTCTTTTGGCATTAGCTTGTTCAGCCGCAAACCCCACCAAGGGATATTTGATTCGATCATGATCATTCCGCCTTTCCCCCTGTGAAATTTATACGCCTGGGATAGATCTTGATCTTAGTGGATCCTATTGTGGACTCACTATGCGGTGGCTACCAGGTAATTATGCTTGGGCAACACATACTAGTTATGTAGTGAACTCCAGGAGTATTTCAATAACAGTCTTCCTAGTTCTCTCGAGTGTCATAACTCTCTTCGTTCATGGAACTAACGCCAAGCAATTCGAGCACTGGTATCTGTTCTACCGATGGACCGTAACAGGAGAAGGAAAGGCCCCCACCTGCCTCAAAGATTATGTGGACGCTGTCGAGATATTGGGCGCAAAAAGCTCAATGACATGCAAAAATTTGGCTAGCTGCATTTACAACAATACCCAAGAAATCGACAAGGCGGATATGTCATCTGCGCTGGTTCTACTCGGCCTTGCACCAACAGTCCTAGGACAGATGGGCCCAACCCTGAACCACAAAGCTCAAGTATGTTTTCAGCGCCCTCTCCTGGGGCTTTTGTGTGTCCTAGGCGCGCCTTCGATCGCTTTCGGGATGCCGTGGGCAAAGACGAATCCTATGAAGCCTATCGACGCAAACGCCTTTGCTTCTGGGGAGATGTGGTGTTTTAGTTAGATTAGCTGGGCTTTTAATTGCATTTTTTGTCACCGTATGCAGAAGCCTACGCAACAAAGGAAACCGCCGACACAGTCAATATGGATTATTTTACTAAAATATTCGATCGCGGCTGGTGCGGCAGTCAACGTTTTTCTTAACGCTTGGACTCTTAGTCGTCAAACGATTGTCAGCTGGAAATGCACGTCTTCATATCTTGAGTTTTTATGGGTTATCACCACATTGGTTCCAATTTTCTTGGCAGTAGTGGCTACGTCGGTCGAGCGATCTGAGGATATTCGGAGCGGGTTGAAGGGCTGGCCTTTATGGCCCAGAATCTTCTATTCTTTATCAAATATCGCTGGTGCTGTCCATGTTCTTTCGGGACGGTGATGTTTTCTTCGGTCCTTTTCATTGGAACATTAGATGCATTGGGAGTAGTCGGACGGTTAACAGCTTCAACCCTTGTCTGTCAATTTATCACAGCACTGGAGTTGGAGCGTGCAGCGGATACGGAGCAGGAGGTAAAGGACGTGGGGAATTTGGGCGCGGGATCAGGATTGAGCAAGTGAACAGGAGAGAGAGCCAGAGAGAAAAGACGCCATTATTTCAGAGGGAATGCCATGCTAGAGCTACTGAGGGCCCAAGGACTCGATCCTGAGAGGACTGCGAGCGCGAGTGAAATGAGAGATGGTGCGGTAGCGAATGAAACAAAGTGTTTCTTGGTAACTTCAAACTGAAGAGCTCTTCTCGCTCTCCGCAGCCTCGACTTTCCCCTTGCATGACTCTCTGGGCCATCGCGGGTTTCTGTAAAAGCTGTGCGATAGAAAAAATATAAACAATACCAGCATATTTGCAGTGCTCCACGCCGTCGGGTATTGATCCTTGATTTTCATGTAATCATCTATCTCATTGGCGCCGAATAAGATCACAAATGTGCCGATAGCGCTTTCGGCGGCCTTTCTATAAACACTGGCACTGCTGGGCGGCTCCATGATAGCGGAGGATAGTTGGCTTGTTCGATTGAGATAGATCTGTAAATTTTCAACGGAAAGACGGAGAGGAAAATCAGAAACGAAGAGAAGATTCCAAGGTCACAGGACGGAAATTGTAAAATCGACCCGAACACAGCCCTGTAGGGGCTTTTATAGCTTCCGCACTGATCCAACCAAGAATCGAACATCATTCGGGCTATTGCCCTAACCGAATGACGATCCAGTTCCGTCCATCATAACAGGGGTCCGATGCTAGCACGGGGCTGATAATATGAGTGTACTATCCACCAACCCGCCAGTGTCACTGATCATTGGCTGTCAAAAAAAGCGACAATCCTTGCCCCTGAAAACGGGGCCCCAGGGCGCCCGGGGTGGGTTTAGGGGCCGATTTGGCTGTTCAACCCGCAAATCACATGTATTTTGTACATTGTACTTCGATGATGCAGAATCTCAAAACCGAATCTCGTGGTTGTGTGATTTTGGGATACGAGACTCGTACCCCATGGTTCTGTTGGTCCGAATCTTGTACCAAACTGGATAGGGAAGGCGGTGTATTTGTTTCGAGATCCCACTGCTCACCAGCCACCAACTGATGAATATCCTTCCTCCTGGCTTTGATTCAACCCTCGTCCATTTCTTCATAGTAGAACGGCATTCGCCTGAATTGGCCAAATATTTGTACCATTTTCTTAATATATCAGACAAAAGATTTGAGTCACTATGTATGCATGGTGAACATCGTGTTACGTATCCACATACGAGCCACTATTCCCCACATTCCGCATGAGTCTTCATGACTCAACCAGCCCCGCCCCCAGGCCTCCACACCAATTGGTACATATATATATATATCTAACTGATCTTGCAGAGATCAATTAACAACCCAGAACAGTTCGAGCCATTCCACACAGTATATCAAACTCAATCACCCCCTCCAACTCCAATTCCTCTAAAATTCTGGGCACGGTGACACCCACAACCTCAACCACAACAATGTCACCCTCTACGACCCCGATGACCTTCTACGACATCGCCCTTGCACCTCCAGTCACAAAACACGCCTGCTCCCCAAATCCCTGGAAAAGCCGCTTCTCCCTGAACTTTAAAAACATCCCCTACAAAACAACCTGGGTACCCCTGCTCGATATCACCTCCGTCCGCGCTCCTCTCGAAATCCCCGCCTCGCGCAAATTCGCCGACGGATCCCCCTACCACACCCTACCCGTTCTCTCGGACCCTGCAACCGGACGCATAGTCGGTGACTCCTTTGAAATCGCGACATACCTGCAGGAACAATATCCGTCATCGGGGGCGGGGGATTTGTTCCCAGCGCAGGAGCTGGACTTCGTGTTTGCACACGACTTGGGGAATCACCCGCCAATTGCGGAGGCACAGGGAGTGGAGGGACCTGCTGCCGCGTACGTGAAGTTTAATACGAATGTCGATGCTGTGTTCAGTGCGAATGCGCGTGTGATTGCGCAAGGTTTCCCTTTTGATCCTGCTGTTGCGGAGGAGTGCAAGGCGATGTTCTCGAAGAGAGTGGGAGTGCCGTGGGAGGCTTTGGCGGTTGATGGGGAGGAGAAAGTGGAGTTATTGAGGGCGTTTGAGGAGGCCCTAGGTGGGCTTGCGAAGTTGTATAGGACCGATCCGAGTGGGCCGTTTTTGTTGGGGAGTAGGGTGACTTATGCGGATTTTATTGTTGGAGGGTGGTTGCGTATGTGTCGAGGCATGTTGCCGGGGGAGGAGTGGGAAGCGCTGAAGGGGTGGCATAGCGGTATATTCGGAAGGTTAGATGAGGCGCTGGAGGTGTTTTCACAGATGGACTAGTATCATTATATCAAAATAGCACAAAAGGGTTATTCCTCGGGACCGATACACGTATTTGGCCTGATCTAGGGTCATACATTGTGGTATCAAATGCTGCATATACCATCGAGTATACATGGAATATCATGGTAAAATAATGTGGTAGTGGTCGGTCGCATCACGCGCAATTATTAAGATTTTGAAGATATACCTAGGTACATATTCCAAGGTTAGGCAATTTGCTAAAGTAAGCTTGCTGAAGTAGACGCTCCGGAGCCGCTCTAATCTATAAATAGAGTCCCGCGGATAACAAGTAAATCCGAGGCCGAATCTTTCTTGAACCAACAGGCGGTTGGATGTGCCACACCACCACAGTATAGAGTCATTGGAATGGACTTTGTCTTCATCAATGTTAGAAAGCCAAAGGACGCCCTTCAGCTGGCCAAAGAACCCGAGGTCCGGTCTCATGTGACGCGATATCAATGGAAGCGATCTGCGCGTCGAGATAAACGACTCCGGAAGAAGACCTCGTTAAGTCCTCAAGGTGTGAATGGTCTGGAATGTGAAACCAGCCTGGAGTTGTACCCTTTTTCTCTGAAACAAGTCCCGATATCCCCTCAAATAGGAGGACTCAGGGTTGATCCTTTCCAATCATATCCTATCTCGGTTCAATCTTGGACTCCGTTGCTTGTCGATCACTGTAAGTCAATTTCTGAGTTGATCTGACAAGTGTGAGCTTGAATCTGTTAACATGGTAAGACTTGACACACATGGCAGTCGATATCCCCGAGCTTGACTTGCCTGGGAACCACGGCCTCTTGAGGACAGCTTGGTTTCCATTGGTGATGACCGATCCCGCTTTGTTCTCTGTCATTATGCTTCTTGCTGCATCGCATTATGCCTCCCTTCAGGGTTCTCCGGGCAATATGAAAATCGACCTTCTCGGTCTTCGCTACGAAGCTGTACTATCCATCAATCGCAGCCTTGAGCTTCAACGGCCAGAGACTGTACATGATGCTTTGATAGGGGCTATAGCAAAGATGGCAAGCTATGAAGCCATGTTTGGCAGTCTCGAGAATTACTATATTCACATGCAAGGTCTTGCGCGACTCATTGGTTTACGGGGGGGTCTCACATCACTAGGGCTAAATGGCTTGCTCCATCGGATTGTAGTTTGGATTGACCGCAACTCCGCTTTCTTGTATGCATCGCCGATGTATTTCCTAGTGGATACCACTTCGTCGATTCAACCTCCGCCAGATCCTAATCCTGGTCAATTTCTTGCAAGCTCCTGATCGGCAGAACAGTCGATCACTTTCCATTGAGCCAACGAAAATGAATTCCATGTTCCATATCGCTTATATATATGACGTCGGGACATAACGTATTACATAGTCCATGGGGACTTTTTGGTGGGGACTTCCTAAAAAGGTTATCACATCCAATGCGCGACCCACATATCACGACCAATAAAGCGATAGGGTTTGCGATCGCACTCCACATATTTCCTTTTGCGGATAACGCATACTAATGCGGAATGTGGGGACATAATGGGATACTGCAACTATATCACAGCCGATTCAGCTGCTCCTAAATATATAAGTAGGGGGTATATCCCTACCTGAGATTGCAGCTCTGCTACTCAATTGTCACAAACTTTGATTGTCAAACTTCTACGGCTACAGCCTACCTTCAATACCGAAATGGCTTCTTCTACTAAAGTCGCTCTTATCACCGGCGGTGTTAAGAATCTTGGAGCTCAAAGTGCCCTCGAGCTAGCTAGCGTGGGCGTCAATTTGGCCCTTCACTATCATTCACCCGGCAGTGAAAAGGCCGCATTGGCACTAGAAACCACTCTCAAGGAAACCCACCCTTCAATCAAAGTTCGCTTCTACCAAGGCGATTTGACCTCTGCAGCTGCAGTGACGAAACTGTTCCAAGACGTTGTTCGTGACTTCGGCCATGTTGATATTGTGATCAACACCGTCGGCAAAGTTCTGAAGAAGCCTATCACTGAGATTAGCGAAGAGGAGTATGATGCGATGTTCGCGTAAGTGATGGGGAAGTGAATTACGAATTCTTGCTATGGTTGGCTAATTATACATCTAGGGTGAACTCCAAGACTGCGTTCTTCGTTCTTAAGGAGGCCGCTGCTCATGTGACCGATGGCGGAAAGATTATCAGCATTGTGACTGCGCTCCTAGGAGCGTTTACCGGGTACTATACTTCTTATGCTGGTAGTAAGGCACCCGTCGAGCACTTTACTCGGTATGTTGTCATCCTTGGGTGGACCAAAGCCCCAAGCTAATAATACCATAGGGGTGTTTCCAAAGAGCTTCAGGCGCGCAGAATTAGTGTGAACAACATCGCACCGGGACCAATGGATACACGTAAGTCTATCATAAAAAACGATGAAATATTTTGCTCATTCAAATAATCTAACACTATATCCCAACAGCCTTTTTCTACGGAGAGGAATCTCCAGAAGCCGTGGAATTCCACAAAGCAAATGGCATGGGCAACCGGCTTACTATGGTTGAGGACATTGCTCCTATCATTCGCTTCCTTTGCACCGATGGTGCTTGGATTACCGGCCAGACTATTTTTGCCAACGGTGGATACACTACTCGTTAACTGAATTTTTGGTTATTTGTCGAATAGCAGTGGTCGAATACATGAATTTGATGGACGGCTACGGAGTTGTAGGGGTCCAGAAAGAGAGGAGGGAGAGGGTACCGGTGTGGGGCCTAAGACCACCACCACAACATAGGCATAAACCCGAATCCTCCAAATAAGCTCTCAATCTGAAACCCTTTCAATTTATCAATTTAGAACCTTCAATTGATCCCATTCAATCTATTCCTATTGCTATTATTACAGAGCGAATTCTCTCGAATAGCTCCCTACCGAGCGGCTTTATCAGTGTATCAGCGATATTGTCTAGGTACGTGTTGAACTATCTCACGACCCATTATCACATACTTCCACATGCCTCTATGTAGTAGATTAGTTCTCTTCCTTTTCTCCATAACTTATCCATAACATTTCATCACCACAATACAACATATTGTGCATTCATTATCTCATGTACTAGACTGTAGATTCTAACAGGTTATGAGCCAGGGTGTTTCGCTATTGATATATCCTCGGACCTATGGTTGTCTTACACAACCAGATTCGCATCTTGCTAAGCGCCAAGAATTTCCTTTTTCGGAACTGCGAATAGTTTCGGATCACTTCTCAACGATCTGTCAAGGTGTAGAGATTTTTCTGCCAGACGATACAACCTTTGGACATAATCACATGGTATCTAGGGAAACCACAATCAGACGATTTTGTGTTTGTTTGCTATTTTTAGCTACCCCGCTGAGTTTGCTTCCACTCTGTCTCTTTGGTAGCCGATTTAAGAGATCCTTTCCTGAAAATTGGGGCGGAAAGTGTAGCGGGCGGCGACCTTTCTCTACCACTGAGTACCGCCAGTTGCTGTCTCCGCTCCATTTCTTGCCGCAGCTGGCCATTTAGGCCCACGAGCGTTTTGAAGGCCATTTCAATCGAATCCAACAACCAGAACTTGCAACTTGCCGTTGCTCTCTAACAGAGATCCTACGGAGTTGAGATTGGAGAAACAACAAGGTAGGATTTTTCTGTGTACGGATGGACAGATAGGAGAAGGAGAGAAGGAGAGAGAGAGAGAGACTGGATCTGTCCCATATGGGGCCATATGCCTCAGACACCCAGGCACCCAGGCACCCAACACTGAGTCTCACATCATCAAAGTCTGGATAAAGGATCGATAGTTGTAGACATTCACTGATTCCGAGGATAGTCATCGTTGGCGTCCAATCGTCAGTAATAGAGAGCACATCGGGTACCATATGATTTCTCACATGGGACGTAGCGTAATCCATAAAGTCGAAGGGGTCTAAGGGATTATCAATCGGGCGGCTTAGATACTGGTCCCACAATTTACTGGCGGTTTCCTCGTTGAAACCAATGAACTTGTACGTTTCACGACTTTCCCGCTCTTGGGGAACCTCGATCTCGTCCTGTGAAACGTTGACAAAGGTGGCCGAAAAGATAGTGCGATCTATCGAATTCGAGGAAGATGATGATTGGGACGTTACTGGGCTAGATAACGCCGTTACTGATATTGTGCGCTTGCTGCTGGTCCTAGAAGCCCCTCGTCCTGGAAAAGCAACGCCACTTCTGTAGAGATAACAGACATGGTGGCGGTAGGGCAAAGACCCGAGGAAGGACGAAGTGGACAGGTAATGATCAGAATAAACAATCAGGGCAAATAGGAAGGAAGATGGGATACATAAAGGACTTAAAGTAGAGTTGGTGTCAAAGTGCAGGGTTGCATACATGGATTTACATGGTATTATACCATGGAAGGTTATGTAATCAAGCTTAGTCATTACCGCACAGAAACAGCAGTTTCTATTATGTAGAAAATGCAGAGTTCTCCATATCAGCCCTGAGGTGCATACATTTCAATACGTCAGATTTCTGTCAGTTGGTACTAATCTGAGGCATGTGACTTCCAAATATGGTTTAGTAATTCGACGCATGGACCGCACTGACCGCACCGGATTGGGTCTGGTTTCGGGACTAAATATCCCAAACATAACTCTCTCATTGGTTACTACCTCACCGCCTAGTCCGTTACCGCCTTCTTGAAGCATTTACTTTCTCTTTTATTTCTAGCCCACCCCTAAACTAGCGGCCAAGTGATCTGCCAATCTTCTTCAGATTCACTTCAGATTCACTTCAGATTCAATTCAGGCTCAATTCGGATTTAATATGGATCTAAATTATTGCGTGGCAATATGAACCAATGAGAGAGTTATGTGTAGGTGGGCTATGTCAACCACCTACAAGCCTACCGCCAGCAAGGGGAAGCAGGCTGACCAGTGTTTCACCCCGCCGGGCCGCTATGCCTCCCCTGGACTACCTGTTGGCTGGCCGACATTCGTGATTGAAACGGGTGTTTCAGAGTCTCTCCCGCCGCGAAAAAGCCCAGTGGTGGTTTAATAACTCCAATGGAGAAGTTCGGATGGTGTTACTTATTAGCATCAAGAAAACCAAAGTCGAGTTTGAGCTTTGGCAGTTAGCCCCACCAAATTCACCCCGCCCTCTTACAAGACTCTATATCGACTCTCTACGCCAGCGACCTCTACCGCCCCTTGTTCAGCAGGGTGCAGGTACCCAACAGATGTATTCTCACCATGAGGTCGAAGTCACCTCTAGTGGCGTTGCAGGTGCCCCTCGAGTTCACAATGCCCCTATGGTGCTTCCATTCCCGGCTCTTTATAACCGGCCAGGACTCGCGGAGGGTGACTTGGTGCTTAGCGACCAAGACTTCAAAGACATTGTGGGCACCATTTTGTAACCCTTGCTGTGTATTATTGCTACCAAACACTCTCTTGCTAGTATGTCACGACAGCCCAACTTTATGATATCAATATTACCTGGCTTCTAAACTTCCCCAACATTTTTCCCAGGAGACCTTTCTAATTGTAAAGCATCAACTTGGATGCATCCTAGTCACTAGCAAATCTATCGAATGATCTTGCTAGTACCTTGCTGCAGCTATACTGGTATTGATGTCAGTGGAAAACGCGTGCCGCTGCGGCTACAGCCCGTGACGGCCTCTCGGCGTGCTCAGATCAACTCCAGCTACGACGACATTGTGCTGACAAGGGGTGCCGGCACGGGAAATACAGTGGAGCAGTTATCCTTACTAAAGAGGTGTGCACCCTTTTAGCCAAGTGGTAAAGTGTAAGGTGTAAACCATCATAACATTTTCCCATTCAGCAGTTAGAACCTTCAATACAGTCATATTGCCTGCTTTCTTTTTCCTAATTCCTCATCTCAAAGGGAACGAACTGGAGGAGCAATTATGAGTCCTACTTCGAATCATCACCCAAGTAATTCAACCTCATTTGGACTCTTTACAATTGAAGGGATTACCGTATTCATAGTTCGATTGACTGTCTTTGACTGTTTAGAATACTCTTCTTCACTTCGCTATAGAGGTGTACAACACAGCAAAATAGTGCGGCTAGGAGAATATATCAAACAGCTGTCTAGCAAATCCACTTTCCATCAAAGGAGTGCAGACACAACTGTTGAACAATCATCCCATGCATGCATGTTTGCCATTTGCATGTTTGCTACAGACTGAGCATAGTTTAGATGGTTTTACAGGGTATATAAACCCTTACATTTCTAGTTTAATCAATGCTTTTGCCCCCCTTTAGTACTATCGGTTCCTTCGGATGAGGGACCACAATCATCGACTCATGGCTCTCCCCAGGTAAAGGAAAGCCGGGTTTTATGTTCCTAATAAAGCCCATAGAGCCCCCTCTGACACCCACATCCTGAGACCTGTTTAATAATTTTTAACGGCAGCTTCGCTATGCTACTCTATCCGACCACCGGTAACCTCGCGCGCTATCCACATCATCCCTCGACCACCATAGTATCGTAACAGCCTAATCACTCACTCCGCGATTCGAAATATACACACTTCCTAACGGGACCGGGTTTGCCACTACAGGCGTTGCCTTTATCCCTCCACCGCCCTCCAGTTTTGTGTTTGGACATTGAGAGCCATAGCATACATCTGGTACATCTGGTACGTTCATCTTTAAGCGCATGGAAGGTGGAGCAAAGCATCGTTGACGATTTGCTCGTCTTTGGTTTGCATATTGAGAGGCATAGTCGTTTCACTCCCAGAGTGCTGCTGGAGCTACTATGACTAGAGGACGACATTCCCGAGGAATAAGCAGCAGTATTGGAGGTAAGGTTAAAAGGCAAAATGATTGACCTTTCACGTTTTCACCCCGTTGTCGACAATCGGGGGGTATAGCACCCGCGTGGGCCTCATTCCGGTTGTTCCGGTCTCTCGTCGTGGTTATTTGTAGACTCATCTGGATGGCGCATGTTTTATTAGACGTCACTGCGGGGACTGGGAAGCGGAACATATCTGGCGAGTGACCATGATGGGTATAGATGAAGTGATGGTAAATGAGTTCGCGTTATTGGGAAGAGACCAGCTCTCCAGAGAGAGGGTGAGGTGAGAGAGAGTGAGTTGATGAGAGAAAAAGGAAGATGAGAACAGGAAGGAGAGGAAGGAGAGGAAGGAGAGGAAGGAGAAAACCACCATCTGCCTAAGAGCTTGCCACCTCCAGGGCTTAGATATCAGGTTACGCAGTCTCACTGTTTTCTATCTTCATAACACCGGAAATTCATCACTTCCTGGTAAACATGGTATGGTGCAAGCTCCAATTTTGAAGAAAAATTATGCTGATGTTCTTTTTAAGGCCAACCCGACATTAGAAGGACTTCCAACGGAGCTGCTCTTTCTCATCTTGCTTGAGATACCCGATCTGGCTTCTCTGAAGTCAATCGTGCTTTCATCGCCAGTATTTCACCAAGCCTATCTTGCAGTGCGACGGGAAGCTCTCTGTCGCATTATCAAAAATCGATGGGGAATGCTTATAGGAGATGCGGTGGCTGCTACATGGTCTCGTGGTCTCTTTTTCGATAGTCGAAAACATGAAGCAATTGCGTTGCTAGACACCTGGCGTCGCAAAGAGGAGATAAGTGAGCTTGGTATGATTTCGTCGAACAGGATAGATGAGCCTGGCAGCGTGGAGGAGATTCTCCATCTATTCTATCTCCATAAGGTGTTTAATTTCTTTCTCGAGGATTATGCGAAAGGTTTACCACCACTTTACCCGAAACATACACATTCACCGTCGGGATGGAAAATGCCAATAGTCGAGGGGAAATTCTATCGGAAACCTCAGTCCTCCCTATTGAGTTATCTCACACTGAACAGCACCGGTTGCTCAGAGCTTTGTGTCGACTGCAAATTTACGCTAATATCCTTGGGCAACCCGAATTCCATTGGGGAGAGGAATGGTTCCCCAACGATTGGGCGTCGAAGGATGAAACCGACTTCTCTAAACCTGCCACTGAAGAGGCATGGCGCGTGTTCTTTGGGACGATACCACCTTGGGAATACCACAAAATGGCCTGTGTATGGGCACACTTCACAATAATTTCCAATATTGTTTGCAAGCAACTGACGGCCGGCCATGTGGAGTTATTGTGTCAATTTCCCGACTCGCCCCCTGATGATGTAGGGCCTCCTACGGGTGCTACGGACAGCGTCCAAGGTCTTGAAAATCCTCCGGATCAGTCCAGGTCACTTGCTTCAATGGGACCAGAGTTTCTGTATCGCCTTCTTGGGGGAACGTTCTTTATTCGACGCGATATGGCGCAACTTAATGCAGTCGACGACATTATGAGCACCTTCCCTCCCCCCTCGCTGTGGGATGAGCAAAAGCTTCCTTTCCTTTATCCCGCAGATCGACATGCAGTTCAAAATTATGAACAGCTTTGGTCAACATTGCCATCTTTCGAGAAGCCTAACCTTGGATGAAGATGGATACACTTACTGCCTGAAACACCAGAACAAGCATTTGAAGATGTGATCGATCTGGAAGGTAGGGAGGAAGATTTATGGAGATGGGGCTTTGCTATCTTTGATGATGAACGATTGAGAGCCTGGAATGCACTTTTATTGGAATATCGTTCAGCTCATTTTCCCGACATTCTAGTCTAATGCATTCAGAAATGCTGCTCTGTCACAATCAATTGTTTTTCAACTATCTGTATCTTATGCTTCCCATAGGTCTCAGATATCCACAGTCTTTTTCTCTTCATTTTTTTCAAACTCTTTGTTGCTTTTTTTCTAGTATCTACTTGTTGAGAAGGATGATGCAATTAACTAGAGGCGCTTGGTGTGTACGGGCGACTAAGTATGTCACCTGGGGCACAACTTGCTTAAATATGTCTGAATACCTAGATCTGAATACCTAGATGATAAGGTTAATAAAATTAATGCCTTCTAAAATAGGTATTGGGACTTCCAAAGTAAATTGAATCTAAATTGAATCTGATTTGAATCTGATTTGAATCTGACTTGAATTTGTATTAAATTGTATTATAGAGAGGGTAGTTGAAGAAGGAAGAATTAAAAATTAGTGCGTGAATCTTTATAGGGTAGGCTGTTTAGAGTCTATGTATAGAGTAGATGAGATCACGAATGTATATAAAGTAACAAGTCGAACTTCGGACCTCATGTTTGACGACACTTCGGCATCATTGCTCAGGCAATTTGCCGTGCTCTCTTCTTTTCTCTTCCAAGATGTCGGTAATGTTGCTTCAGAAAATCCAGATCCATTGCTGTTTGGATATAGCTAATATTAAATATAAGCCCCCCCGCGAACGCCGACCCCCGTGCCGAGCATGACCCCCCACCTTCCCCCCTGCCTACCAACTGGCTCATCATCGATGAGGGTCTGATTGAGTGGTGGGATTGGGGCCATACATTGCCCTTCTCGCTATCGTCCTTATCTTCTCTTGGGTCTAGCGGCTGTCGTATGGCCAGATTGATATCTTACAGTATCGCTAAGAGCGGTATAATAAACTACATTTCTAGACCACTATATATAACTACAATATAACAATTACCCACCGCGTCCAAGCCACTAATAGAACGGTAAGAGAGTGATTGATAAGGTATAGAGCACACCTACTACCACTACTCGATCTATAGGAGGCTCGTTAAGGATCTAGAATACTGCTAGGAAATATAAACCAATGAGAGAGTTATGCCCCAGGTGGCATACTTAGTCGCCCGTAGCAAGAAAGACGCAAAATGTAGCCCAGTAGGGAGCTCCGGTCGACCAGGAAGAAATAGGCGGTCCCTGTGATGCCCAAGACGGCGAGACCGGTGAGCATACCGAAGAGCCCAAGGTAGTAGTCATTGCTGGCTTGGTCGGATTCTTCTACGGTTTCCGTCCAGAAGCTGAGTACGAGTGCGGTCATTCGGAAACCTCCTGAGTATAGAATGGTGAAGGCAATGAATAGTATTGGTGTGCCATGCAGGGACTAAGCCAAAGTAATATGCATATGTGAGTTGCCTCTGGGGAGAGATGCTGGTATTGGGACAGAAGTATAGGTTTCTTTTCGTCTTATAGAGACGGATTCAGCAGCCTACTAGGATTTAGTGCTCTCGATGCTCTCGAGAGGGGTATTTACCTTAAGACGAAGGCTTTCGTATTATATATATAAAGCGGGATAGGTCTCCTTTAGCTTAGACGTATTACTCCGGTCATCTATAAGAAGACTAAGGATAATACTACGTCCACTCTCTAGTAATCGTAGAGCTTCAAAAAGGGGCTTTTAAGTCTAAATAGCGAGGGAATAGGCCTATATTACTAACCTAGCAAAATGCGAGACTATATATTGTCGATCCTATAGGGCCAAAGACCTCTTGTAGACGAGCTATAGGATATTAATAGCTTTTATAGATAATTTATAGCTACCGATATAGTCTTATCGCTTTAGTAGAAGCTCGAGGGCTAATATATAGCCTTAACGCGTTCTAAAGGAGGTGCTAATGGGAGGCTTCCTTCGCCTCATTAAGGGTTTCCATTCTCCCTGTGTGTTCGTATCGATGTACGAGCCTATGTACGAGGTTGTTTAGGTGATTTGCAAAGTCTTGATGGCCACGAGGGGTGTTATTAAGCGCTTGGTGAGACAGATCGATCGCTTTGTCGAGGTTTGCCATCTGTCCTGTGCGCTCATATCGATATGTTAGCGCACATGCAAGGTTGTCTAACCAACTTGGGAAAAAAGGATCGTTATAGGGAATCGTTTCAATCGCCTCTTCGAGGTCTTCTGTTTTGTTTATGTAATTGTATCGATATAGAAGCACGCGTACAAGATTGTTTAACTGTATTGTGTGGGTAGAATGGCCATGAGAGGTCGCTTGAACCGCCCAACGAGACACGCTGATAGACTCTTCGGGGTGTTCTTCACGTTTTGTTCTTTCGTATTGCCATGTGAGCATATTGCCGAGATTATTTAGCAACATTGCAATTTTGGGATGGCCATTAGGAGTGGATTGAATTTCCAGGTAAATTACCCGGATCTCCCGCCCGAGGACGTCCATTTGTCGTGTTTGTTAGTATCGACTTTCGAGCCTTGTTCTTATGTTGGAATATTGCCGAAGCGTAAATACTTTCGAGATTTGGGCTGCAGGGAAAGGCCTTCGGACCTAAATACATGTCCACAGCATGCACTTGCCAGCACAGACTTGGTTGGGCAAAAAACCTGGCCTGAACGCAGACAACATAAGCAGCAGCATCAATTATCCCGCATTTACCGCCCAGCCTAAGCCGCAACTGGATCCATACTGGTACGCCTACGGAGTAGAAATAGAATAGCCCACTCGGCTTGGCACAATGCTAAGCCACTGTAACAAGGCTAGTTGCCTCGAAGGTCAGTAGCTTGCTGCACGAACAATTCAGTCATCTCGCTAGCCCCTGAGATTTCTAATGAAATAATGCCACGTCATCCTCCTATCTCCTTCCCTCACAATTTAATACTTTACCTGGGAATGGCGGCAGTCAGTCTATCTTGCCTCTAGTAATGCTCTCGTCTACTTTAGGACACATTTCTCGACACCCCCAGTGCCCAGATGATCGACGCGGAGCAAGTTCAGCCGCAGGGGTCTTAGCGCCGCCGATCCCGTAATTTGACAACTTAACCCGCTCTGCCACCTCGCCAGCTACCTCATATTCCATATTGTGCCACGCAAAAACTTTTTTAAATTTATATCTCTCTAATTTCCTTGGCAGGCGATGCTGTGATTGAGAGCGGATGTTTATAAATGGTTATGATTGGTTTAACTTAGCGTAATCACAAATTATCAGCAAATAAACTAGTTTCTTTTGGCGCCAGTGAGAGCTAGCACAGACTGTCATTGTGTTCTAGACATCGTAAAAAGTTAGTAACATGACGAGTCACTTCTCATTCTCAGAATACAAAATAGAATTATCACATCATTCGCCCTCTCACCAAATCAATCCCGCTCCCAGGCACCACCCGTCCACCAGAACTACCTCGTGTAGCTCCAGGTCTAGTCCTTGGTCATGTCACACTCGTCACTAGCTCTGAACATTTCCAAGCATGTATCCCTCGCCCAGACTGGAAGCCCCAGATCACAACAGCTTTGCTCAGTAAGCTCCTTTATAGCCCGAATGATATCTCTATCACCAGCAAATCCCACAACCATATTAGTGTCAAAGAATTGTTTACCATCCTTTTCAAGACACCGGAAGTTATTAATGCTACCAGAACTGGTTTTAATAGCGTTTTTGTAATCGTCACAATTGCCAGCGTATTGCCAACGCCAGCGGTTCATTCCATCTTCTTTCCAGAGTTTGATAAAGTTGGCATGGGTATCATCGATGTGGTCCACCTTGGCTAAATGCAGTCTTATTAGTATAGTTGGACTTGAGAACAGCGAAGATTCTATCTTGACTTACCCCGGGTGGTAAGAGTCATTGCCTCATTAGCAGGAGCAGCAGTCACGGTGACGGCCAGCGTAGTGGCAAGAATAGTAGCCAGGTTGAACTTCATGTTGACGGTTATCTTTGAAAGACTTTGATTTGTTTGCAAAATCGTGGTGGTGGAGTTCTTGAGGAGATATGATGATTGAAGACTTTGAGGAAACTGTGAATGAGTTGGTAAAGTCTCGATTTTAGAAGATTTCGTCTTTCTTTTATAATCTTCGAGTCCTCATAGAACCGGTCTGTTGAATTCTGAGTTATGATTGCAGCCTCGTACCACTCGACTAAAGATAAATTGTGGAGATCTCGATACTGCCTTGCGAGGCTTTTCGCCTCTATAGCCCCATATTCTCTTCTCTATCCGTGACTACTCACTCTGACTAGCATTTTGAAGTGCCAATCCTCAAGGATTGTAGGAACATGCCCAAAGCACCGCAGTTCCGTTTTTAGAATACACCCCAATATTAGCGCCGTGATAGTCACTAGCCAAGAGAGATCTTCATTCAGTATCTCACGGGACGGTGTGGAGTAATCTCGCATTTGATATCCAACCTTGAGGATTACTTTGTCAAGTCTCTGCTCCTAAAATGCCTCACGGCCCGGAACTGCCATGGGAACTATGATCGAATTGTAAGGCTTTGTTCTGGTATGCCTGGGTACGCCTTGGCTTCTATGTTGATAGAAAATAGATAATGGTGCAATTTGTCAAGTATCAACAGATACCAGTTGGGAAACAACTGGAAGAAGCCTGTCTCATCCTGCCTCCACATTCTCTCCCTTGCTAGGCTATGCCACTTAAACTTCAGACTGCGGTTGCTGTTTCAATGTCTAATAGCAAAATTGCCTCATCAAATCAACAAACAGCATTCTGTGAAAGTACGAACTGGAAGGTCAAACATGGTTGGAACTAGCGTTCCCCGACGTCAAAGATCCAGACACTGCGGCGCTATATCAGTAATTCCAGAATCTCAGAAGCTCTGTGTTTAATTCAACGGAAGAAATAGAAGAAGATAGACTAGTTAGTCATGGGAGATGAGTTGCTATTGAGTAATCTAATCACAACATGTCTACATACAAGAGACTTTTGTATGAAGCTATCCAAGCTCGAGACATGTATGAGCAGTGTGCCCAATTCTCCACACACACCGAGCATTGTTTAGGTACTTGTTTCCAGAACATTATGACCCCTGGGCTTCACCTCTGTCTGCCTTGCCCGATCACTGCCTCCTTCCCGAGATGCCGTGTTATCCCCCTTGCCCTTTTCTCACTTGGCGTTATCCATTTCCTTCCCTTTCCTCCTGTTAGCTACGGTGTCGTCGACAGATCGGCTGAACGATTGTGACCTTGAGACCTTGGTTATGGATCCAGCCCATTTGGCGCATCCTGCGCCAACTGATCAGCGGTTTCCGAGATTTTACTTGGCACTTCGGTCCCCATCTATCCTCCTTGGCCTTTTTGGCTCCAGAAACCAGAGAAATGGCTTCTCTTGTTCTGGTCTCTTGTGCCAACTATTGTGATTATTGTATCAGCTTGGGGTTTGCGATCCTTGTGCTGTCTTCCTGGCTTCTTATTAAGTCCTGAAAATACTAGTAGGGATTATCAGTCGCAGATGGGGCTGAGTTTAGCGATCATCACTTAATCTGATATAGATCATGTTAGTACTTAATTGTCAATGATGGGGCCGCAACTACTCCGTATCCCAAAAAAGGAAAGTGATCCTTGTGGAGACCTTCATGAAGCCAAGAGCCAAGAGGTTGGGGGCTGTTTGTATTTCCCAAGAGAAAAAGAAAACAACATATAGAATACTAATTAATTAATCAATTGGAAGGTCTCAACCAAGCTGTGTAAAGATCTTGCCAAGGTGTTGGAGGTTTGTGATCAGAAATTTGGGTGAATACTAAATGGGCTGATTCTCATGAGACTCGAGACATATAAAAGATAGGTAAACCCCTCTGAATTCAAAGATTCATCAGCTTATCAACAGCACCTTTCTAGACATTCAAGCACTATCATCTCTTCAAAAAGTCTACAACTACTATCCTATCATCAATTCAAGTCTTCCCCTTTTCGCAGAAAGCAGAACCGTGCAAACAACACCCAAAGACCACCAATATGAAGTTCAACCTGGCTACTATTCTGGTTGCTACCATGACTACCACCGTGGCTGCTGCTCCTACTAAGGATGGAATGGAGATCACCGCCCGTGGTAAGTATTCAACATCCCTGCATCTAGCGGTACTAATAATACTATCTTCAGGCAACCACGATGCGGTTGATGGCTCCCATGCCAACTTCATCAAACTCTGGAAAGAAGACGGGATGAACCGCTGGCGTTGGGCATATGCAGGTGCCTCATGCGATGACTTTAAGAATTCGGTTAAGACTCGTGCTGGTAGTCTGAATAACTTCCGATGTCTTGAAAAGGATGGTAAATTACTTTTTGATACTAATATGGTTGTGGGACCAGCTGGTGATAGCTCCATAATTACTTCGGTCAAGGCAATTACTAGACAACCGTGCTGTGATCTTGGGCTTCCAGACTGGGGGATGGATAGGTGCCTGAAGGGATCTTCTGATGACGATGCTGAGAAAAATTGCTAGACCTCAGACTGGACCGGGGGCTGTATGGGGCCTGCTGCTCGGCACCAGATGCAGAGTCTTCCAGGTTGTCAGAGCATATGGGTTGCTGGTGCATGAGTGGAACACGGCTTCCACGAGGATGGTTTGAGCAAGAGGATTGATGCTGCCTTGATTATTTGCAAGAATCCAGAGGCCAACTTGGGAATCATATCATGTTTTTATCTAAAGGACTTCCTAGGTTTATACTATGCTTGGTGTTCACCCTTTTCTCATAGACTGGTCTACTAGTAAGGGGCGTTTAGAGTCGATATTGAAGCCTTCCATACTATAGTTTAGCTAGATTCCAATCTCTCAAAGGTTCTCTACATTACCCCTTCCACATAATCCCCTCGAGCAACCCAAACTAACGAGCGTGGGTTGTATCTCCAACACATTATCTAGACTTGGTTAACCCGAAGAACTCGCCAACTTTCGTCTCCGAGAAAGTCCTCTGACACGAGCTCGGCCAGCAAAGTAAATATAAGTAGGCTCGCCGAGATGGTGTTCAAGATGCTTACCAACAGCAACCCCATCTAGGCCATACAACTTTTGAGTGGCAAGACCAATCGCGTGGCCGACGGGGGTCCTGGATACATTGTCTTACCAGAACCAAGGTAGAGACCTGATCAATACGTACGTGCACCCGCACGTGAGACTTGTCAGCCACGGCTGGAGAGCATTCTCAAGCCTATCGAGGGCGGCAATCCGGCCTCTCAGCACGAGTCCTTTGAAGGTTTCTACTGCGAAACGTATTAGTCCATGACCCGAATTACAGGGGGAAAAAGCATACAGTAGAAGATAAGCTCTGGTACTTGGCTCTGGGACCTTGACACTAGCTATTGGGATGTCAGTCAGGTTATGCTCTATACCAATCGTTGGTCAACATTCTGGCGTAGTGGTCTTGAGACTAGCTCTTGGTACCTAGTATCTGACTGACACTGACTTCTTTGGATACTGACATTCAAAGTATATTTCTCTAGCTAGGGTGAATGGCTTTTTACAGGATCTCAGTTTGCTCGGGGTGAGAATCAACCTTCTGATCTCTGAAAGAAGAGCTGATCATCTCGAAGCTGCTATGCCAAAACACTGACCAGCGTTTGGTGTAGGGCTTAATCTGATTGGCATTTCCAAAAACCGCTGAAGTGGTCAAGCAGGGTGGCGTAGGCAGGAATTTGATTTGTCACTTGACCGCCTTCCTAGTATCAACCTTCAGTCCTAAGCTTCCGAACTCAAGACCAAAAGTTTGATCGCAACAGTTGAGGACTGAAGAGGCGCGAGATAAGTAGGTACGTTGTCCGGCCTCGGCTTCAACCAAGAGCGGGCCAACATCTGGCCCCTGAGCCATATTCTCCCGATGTCGAGCTCTTCTTCCTTTCTTTTCTGTCTTTATATTCGATATCTTGGAGAATAATACTAGCTGTGTCTCACATCTTTCCTAGACCTTACTCAAGTATTTAAATACTTAAGAGAACATCGTTCCTTGTTTTATACCGTGGCTCTCACCGTCAGAATCGTCACCACTATCATCCTCATCTGCTCCTCCCTGCATCGCAGCAACGCGGGAGAGGTGCCATCTCAGCTCTACAGATGTGAGGCTGGAAGCTAAGGGGAAGATAAAGATGATGTATTCATCTAGCTAGCACGGTCCTACTATAGTCTAGCTAGGCCAGGTGACATCTTCCATCGAAGGCAATGGTTGTTTCTCCTTGTTGTTAGTTCTCACCGTGAAGACATGCCATGCCCTAAGCTAGTTACTTCCCAAGTTCCTATATCGAAAAAGTAATTAAATCTCCCGGGGCTCTTGGACGGCGGAGTTCCTAGATCCATGTCTCGGACTGCGGCAGGTGACATTCGGTCATTTCTAGCGATAGTGGCGCTTCGGAAAGGAAGCCAATGAAATATGATGCGCATTTCAGAATCGCATTTCAGTTTCTTCTTCGTTGACCGAAATTGGCCGGAATGCAATAAGTCCGCGGTCCTATTGATCGTGAGCTATGAGATCCAGCGTGATCAGGTTTCATACCCGCTTAGTACTCACTAGCATACCACCTAGCATCAGGGCTTGCTCCTATATATCGACATTTTCTTCGGACTAGAAGGTACGAAGAAATATCCAGACGTTGTTTTCCGCATGCTCGTCCCGCATAGTCCCATTGATCTTATTCGGTATAATATGGGATACCTCAACTTGTCAAACGATGGTCCTCTACGGCGGGTCAGAACGCATCTAGCCTCCTCACGATCTGTTACTGTCGCCCTAATTCTTTCCTCGGTCTAGAAATCAAAGAGGTCAGCAGTGTTCTATAATGAATACTCCTGACAACCTAGGGTACCTACCGGGATTCTGGACACTGACCACAAACAAACGGTGGTACTAGCTTGTGTCGGAGAGCCAGATCTACCACGATCACCACGTTCCTAGGCATCCGCTCGAGATGTCAACAACGGCACTCCTCTCGCTAGGGCGAGGTGGTTGTCCATCACTGCCCCCTAGATGAATAAAAGATATTAGTTCAATGATATAAGGGCGGGGCAGACCTCATGAATACGCACAAATTCTCGGAAGATTATATTGGGAGAAATCAACCAGGAAGGATCGAGGGACGTGTGGGTTTCCCTCGTGGCCTACAAGGGCCTCTAGGGCCTTGATATCAGCGAACCATAGACCCAGTGCCTTTACGCGTGGGATCCTACGGTTGCCGAGAGCAACATAGATACGATCAATCAACGATCGTCGGTAGGAATCCCAAAAATTCGGATAAAAATAGTTTGAGTATCGTTGTTCGTATTAGGTGATGACGAAAAACGATGATTGAGTACTTTAAGCGTGGAGAAATGAAAAAGGAAAAAAGGGAGAGAGAGAGAGAGAGAGTTGAGGGGAACCTATCAGTCGTTCTTTCCACTTCCAATGTTACTGTAAATGAGGCGAAGACTGATTTTCCAGTCGCAGCGCCTCCATTTACTCAAAGTATACAAGAAGAGGAGCCCGTCTCATCAAGCCACTGAATTGAATTTAAACTGAGGTTGAACTGAATTTGAACTGAATTTGAACTGAAGCTGAGGGTAGTACCTAGGTATGTTGTACCTAACAGGGGATATGTGTATGTGCTACCCAGGGCTAGAGCAGGGCTAGAGCAGGGCTAGAGCAGGGCTAGAGCAGGGCTAGAGTGGTAACCCTACAACTGGGGCTACACGCGGTTCCATGGTTGAGTTCCGTTGAGGGTATACCTAGTTAGGTAGGCGTACTTGGAATCTCCTTTGTACGCGCACCACACACATCCCTCCACTTACGTTCATCATCAAGAAATATCAAAATGAGCTATCCTATGAGCCGCCCTGGCTCACCTGATGTTGATCTTTCTGTACTGGAGAATCGCAAACGCCATATCAATGACAGCCTAAAGCGGGCTCGCAAGCGACTCAAGCCACGAGGGTCCTTTGACGAGGAATACTGGACCCGGGCTAGTGAAATTGGCGCAATCGAACTCAAGAAAGTTCAGGTGCAACGCAAAATATCATTACAAAGATATGATGGCACAGAGGCCGAATGGAGAGACTCGGACGAGGCTAAGGCCTTGGCACAACAGGCTAAGGCTCATGAAACATCGCAGAAAATCTGCGAAAAGCGGAAAGATGATCTTCACACAAGAAGCCGCCCAAGAGGGTTAAGGGTCTCTTTTATGAAACTCTTTACCACCAGCAAGCTCGGACTAGGTATACTCCACACTGGAGCGGGAAGACGCAACCCAGATGAACAGACTCTGTTCCGAACTAGTATGATCCGTGAGTACGGCGCACAACGACCCGGCTATGATCATCTATGGTGCCCGGTCTTAGGAGACTGGCGTGACAACAGGAGCGTCGTTGCCGCGCACCTATTCGGGTATATGCACGGGCAAGCAACTATGGACGCAATTTTCGGCAAAAGGAAGCACCCTGAGCTTTTTTCACCACGGAATGGAATCCTTGTGTCAGTCTTTATCGAGGATTACCTTGACTCGGGAAAACTTGTTATTGTACCAGACTTAGAAGACCGCCCAAAGCTTACGGATCTCATCAGCTGGCTTAAGAGCCCTATTCGAAATTTAAAGATGCGAGTCTTAGATCCCAACTGGAACAAGTTGGAGACGCAGATTACACGAGACCTTCCGCTGAAATATAAGGATCTTGACAACAGACGTCTAACCTTCAAGACGGACTTTCGCCCGGCGGCAAGATACCTTTATTTCCACTATGTTATCCAACTCCTCCGTTACGCATGGCAGTCGGACGCACAGGGAGGAGAACAGGCCATCCGAATTATGAAAGGGGAGCACGGCAAACCATATTGGGGCACCCCGGGTCGATATCTACCAAAGAACATGTTACTGGCACTCGTTGAGGAGCTCGGCCATGAGTACAAGCCCCTTCTAGATGGCGCATCTCTTGGCCGCTCAAAGGACTCTCAACTACTCCTAGAGGCGGGGATGAGGCAGATTAATCACCCAAGACGCTCGCTTGAGGATGCCGGTCTTGCGCGTAGATCCTCAGAGCGTGACGAGGAAGAGGAAGAGGAAAGCAATGATGACGAGTATGATAGTGATGACGCGGACTGGGGATCTTAGTATCCAAACTTCATGTGGCTAGGTAGGGGCAGTCCAAGGCTACTTGTATGTTATTATTAGCGTGGATGTGTATGTTATTGCCAGGGGTACTCCAAGGCTGCTTGTATGTTATTATTAGCGAAGGCGTGTATGTTATGGCTAGAGTGGCTCCACACAAGTATACCAACTTTCAAGAATTTACTGTCGCCATTGTAGACTACTGCCGAATACTAGGTCTTGTTCTGTTCCCAGTTAAGATAGCTGGATCTTCAATCCCAGAGGCTTCTGCCGTTTGTGTTGCGCCCGGATAGATCGAGATCGAGAATATACCCGGACGTTGGTAGTTTCCTAATTCAGCTAGGCTGCCACCATATCATGGTACAGCGCCGTCAATCGAACTAGATCTCTTTTATATCGAGTTTCCAATCACCCCCAAGTTCCCTGTACCTTCTACCCGTTATAATCACAGCAAAAAAATGACGGCTTCTTTACGGCGCCTTGCCCAGCGATCCAGCGAGGACTCGCCGATATCCATGACCTCGTCACTCCATGAGGCCCTCGACTTCACCAACCAACTTTCCGCCCTGCTCGATAAACAACATAATGACGCCGTGATGCGAAGTTTAGAGCTAGAACAAGGATCCCCCCACTCACGATACTTGCACGCGTCCTGACACCGCAATCGGTGACATTCACATCGTCATCTTTCGCAGAATTCCAACAGTCACAGCAATCGGTACAGCGTGTGGAGTTTCGTGTAATTGGGTTCGGCCAATGTGAGCTGGTTTTTGAAAGACCAGGACGTGGCTTCGTTTTAAAGGTCGCAAAGAGATCATATCAAGACGCCCTTTGGAACGATTTCCTGGCGCACCTACGGGTGCAAGAAGCTTTTGATAGGATCGAAAGCAAGAACTGTGAAGTCAGGGTGCCACGAATCTTCTCATATATTTCTCAAGAAAACACTCTGTGGTGGGAGCAAAACTCCACCCTGTTCCGAAATGTGCATGAGTCAATTACGTTACCTGCGATGGCCTTAGTTTCGGAGAGGATTCTCCCTATACCAAAGATTGCGCGTGAGGTATTGATTCAAAACTACTGCGCTGCTTCATCCCGAGCTACAGTCTCCTCCAACCCCGCAAATCGCGACTGCTTGGTCCGCCTGTATCTGGGTCAACGACGCTCTACCAAAGTTCCGCCACCGAACTTCACCTTACGGAATTACAACCTCTACTTGGACCAGATGATTGAGCTGAACTTTCCTGTCAAACGAATGGCAACTTCAATCGGGGAGGCGCTGTCGGTCCTCCATTGGTCCGCATATGTGGATGGTTATGATGTTGAATTCGTCCTTGGTAGCGAAGCAAACGCCGAGTACTCCCCTGACATCCTGGCTGCCCTACATATGACCTCTGACCAAGTAGCGGCGTTGCCGCCCCATACCGATATCGAGTCCATTGTCAAAGTCAATTTTACTCGTCGTACAACACGGGTTTGGCTACTTGATTTCAACCTTTGTCATATCTGGCAAGAAGATACCGCGATAAATCACCCAGAGGCACTCATTGACCAACTAGTGGAAGCATTCTTTGAGAACGATCCTTATTATCCCTTACCCCTTGTTGATACGGATCCCGAAAAAGAGCTATGGGAACTGTTCAGTAGGGTGTATCTCGATAAGGCTAAGCAGTTACTCCGGGGGAAGGACCGACGACTTGTGAATCTGCCGCAGCTTTTTATCGATGGCTGCATCAATCGGGAGAAATTGAGCTTGGAGAAAGGCATGCCCCATGGACATCGAAACAGCCGGCAATGATATGATCTTGTTTTTTTTTTTTTTTTTTTTTTTTTTTGCTGCGACTCGAATTTCTTTGTCCACGCCTCCTTATCCATGCGGACCTATTAATCACATATCCGCCCAGGATTTGAGTACAAAGAATCATTGAAGAGTAAACCTGAGTTAAAGAAAGGCCCTCGTTAATCAAAATGACTCTATTTGTAAATTGCGGGCTTTGGCAACTGCTATTCTTCGAGTCCACGGAGTAATCCACAATCTATTCTTGGAACACATTCATTGAAGATACAACAACGCCCAATTTCTTTCACCGGACCCCATAGCATTCAACCCATTGCTTCTACGTGAGTGACATGTGGCATGGGAAAAGAAGAAGATTCAGGGAAACAAATCCCCCATATAATGCTTGATCTCACCCGGCATTTTCCACGTCGCTCAACTTCGACTTAGAAAGCCCTCTCTTTGTAACACGCCTTACCAATTCCCATACAATTTCACTCTGATTTCTTCAGACCACAAATCACATCTACACGGACTTCCCCTAGCAACGTCCAACAACGGTGGTTATGGGGTATCTTTCGTCTCTTTCCGAACACGTTCGGGGAATCGCTCGGGCAATCGCTTCAACCTCATCCTCAATCGTGGATTTTGTCACGTTAAAACGAAAACGTGGAAATGAGGATTCTGATGAGGAGGAGGATGATGATGATGATTTGGATTCCCTCGACATAGATCCATTCGACGCAGTATTGGAAAGGGTGAAAGTGAAGTATATCGGCAAACACGTGGCCGCGATTCGCGCCAAGATTCAGCCAAGTGACAAGAAGATTCCTGTCGTTGAGGTTGGGCCTCACACTCAATGTTGGGAAAGCATTATATATAAGGTGAAGTTTGCTGATGGGGTTAAATGGATGCTCAAAGTCCCAGCTATTGGAACGCCTGATCAATTCGGCGAAAATGATGCCGAGGCCCTTCGCTCAGAAGCATTGACAATGATCATGTTGCGACGTGAAACAACTATCCCAATCCCTGAGGTCTTTTCATACGACAATACATGCAAAAACAAGCTCAAAGTTCCCTTTATTCTCATGGAGCTCATCGAGGGTCGGCCTTTGGCCGATGTATGGCATGACAAAGAATCTCCAAAAGAGGTTGTACAGGCCCGGCGCACACGCTGTCTGCAGGATATTGCTGCTGCGTATCTCCAACTTGGAAAATACACGTTCAACGAACCGAAGCCCTTGAGATTCGACGACCAAGATTGCCTTATTGGTGTTGTGCCAGTGGAGGACGACCCATTCTCGGGCCTCAAAGTAGCTTACACTTCTCGTTTGGACGGGTGGGGAAAAGACGGGTTTGAGGTTCAAAGGGAGTTGCTGAAGCTCCTTCGGATGTTTGCCGACTGGACTCCAGAGCCAATTGCTGGAAAATCATTCGTTATGACCCATCCAAACGCCAACATCTTCAACGTCCTTGTTTCAGATGATGGTTCTGTGCGGGCTATCCTCGACTGGCGCAACGCAGAAGCCCAGCCACCGAGTGTAGGGAATGAGTCATATCCACTATGGCTGATGCGCGACTGGGATCCCACCGTATACGGTTGGATCGAAGGTATGGAAGATATGGAAAAGGACGAGGATTTCTTTTCCGAAGACTCACCGGACACGCTGTTGTTCTATCGAAATGTCTACGCGCAATGTATCGCAAATCTGCGGCCAGAAAGCCAGAACGCCAAATTGACCCGAAATTCCCCTCTTTTCGAGCATTTGATGATGGCAATGACAGGGTCGGTGTTTAGCGTTGGCAGGGCCAATAAAATCTTGAATGAAGTTATGAAGCAAGTGGAGAAGAACGAAGATGGTAACAGCTGGCCATTCAACTTATCCAACATCGATAAAAAAGACGACAATGACAGCAAGCATCGTACTTGTTCCCAAGAAAAGGATGCGACAGGCCATGGCAATTCACCCAAGGAGACCGAGGACAAAGCGGGACATGATGCTATCGAAGCAGACATTGAGGAACACGTGCAAGTTGATATTCTGGAATTTATCAAGGCTTTGGACAAAAATGGTCTTTCTGAGCATCAAGAAAAGCTTCTGAAAGCGGGATTTCATGCTTTATTTTCCTAGTTAGCTTACAGGTTGTGCCCGGGTGGTGTTCGATATAGTTATATAGTGATGCACAATGACTTCAAACACTGAAGTTGTCAAGTATCATGATTGATGTTGGAGGAGAAAGGAGGGCGGTTGTTTGAAAATTATAGAAAAACGGAGATTGGGTTCTTTCCTTTCTTCACAGATCACCTCTTCTATTCCCCAGTAGCACCTCGAAATGATGTACGGTTTGTCGTAAATATAATAGACACCTCAGGCAGAGAATATCTGGAAATGATGTCAGCAATATTATGTAATTAAATACATCAGCCAATGACACCATCTAGACTAACCGATCAAGGGCTTAGGGCTCACCTCAGTCACGCCCCACTGCCTTTTCGCACTTGAGCGGCTTCTGGACGTCGCCCTCTTCCTTTGAACATCCACCTCATCCGACAAAATGGTGAGTTCCCCAGCATCCCAATATACAACCCAAAGACACCAAGACTAATCGAAATGTGACGAACAGGCGCCCGCAGCAACCGGAGGCAAGAAGCAAAAGAAGAAGTGGTCCAAGGGCAAGGGTACGCAATCACCACCAACCATGCGATCGTGACGATTTCCGCCGAGTTCCCACAAGACACGAAAGAAATCGTTGGACGAGCTGGGAATATGAAATCAACACACCGAGAAGCAACATCTTACTGACATGTCTTTCGCCCTACAGTCAAGGACAAGGCCCAGCACGCTGTCGTTCTCGACAAGGCCACCAACGACAAGCTTCAGAAGGATGTCCAGTCCTACCGTCTGATCACTGTCGCCACCCTTGTCGATCGTCTCAAGATCAACGGCAGCCTCGCCCGCCAGGCTCTCAACGACCTTGAGGCTAACGGCCAGATCAAGAAGGTCGTCGGTCACTCCAGCCTGAGCATCTACAGTGCGTTCCTCTTCAGCATCTCCATCTCGAATTTGCAATACTGATTACCTCTCTCAATAGCCCGTGCCGTCACCGCCGAGTAAACATCTCGTCTCTCGTCTTTTATCTCGCGGTTTTCTTTTCCTTGCTACGAATGATATCATTTACCATGGGAAGCCCGGCTGGGCATGATGCATAGTGGATTAACGTCTTGACTCTTGAAGAGTGTGGAACATTCGCACTCTTGGCCTACGTCAGGTAGTGCGAACTGAATCAAAAAATCTACAAAACTTCATGAAAAAGGACATGCGTCATATTCCGTAGACTTCCTCTCGCCATCTACCTGCTACACTATCCACACCAACACAGCAACAAAAAAAAAATTTCACTCAAAAAGTAGTCCTACGACTTTTCCACCATCGCACTCCTCTTCGGTCGCTGTTTCTGCGCACTCTCACAAAGCGGCCACGGCTCCCCTTCAACACCTCCATCCTCAACCACAACCCTTCCAGCCTCAAAATACTTGGCGTGATTCGCAAAGAATCCACTCCATCTCTTCACAGTCGCCTCAACCCGCGCTCTGGCAGCCCGTAACTCCTTCTCGTGACGGATTTTCTTCTCCGCAGACGTCACAGCCTCTTCCTTAATATCCTCAACAGGAAGGAACATAACCTCGACACCGCGCATGTCGTTCGTAAGATCCTCCTTAAAACAACCTGTGACAAAAGCCCGTGTTGCGTCCCGCCCCGCGAAGAAGTTGTAACTCCCGCCCGGTCCGTAGATCATGCGGTTTGCCGAGACGTCGAAGACGGTCCCGTTCACGGCGACGTAGAGGGGGAGATTGGTGTCTGTACCGTTGTAGAGGGATAATTGGCTTGGTGTCAGGGTAACAGGGCCTTGCTTTATTTTTTGAAATATATGTGTTAGCTTGTATTGTGACATGTCTTTTTTTAAAATAACCTCCAAAGGACCGGGACTTGCATACCACCCACTGCTTCACCACCGGCCATCGTGTATACCACGGTCTGTAACCCCACAGGACGGACTCGGAGGAAGTCATGTAATAGGAGAGACCACCGCAAGCAATCAGTAGGGTCACAATCACGCGGATTATGTCCAACACGCTTATGCCACGCTCTTGGTCGGTTTCATCGTTGCTGGAGTGCGGTTTGGAATTTGGTTCTTTGTCTGGCCCATTGCTGGATTTTGACGTGGCCGTTGGTCGCTGGCGGAGTTCTGACATTTCTCCTGGATGTGTGTCGATTGAGGAGTTGTAAGATCATACGATGACCATTTGGATTGTTGTTATTGGAGTTGCACAGGTGCTCAGGTGGAGGACTTGGCTGACAAAACCCAAAGTCCAGCCCCGGAGTGGACTATCCACAACTTCACATTTACAATGAAATTTGATGTGCAATATCAATCCAATTTCTACTATTTCTCCAAGCTGCATTCGTCGCTAAAGATACAAGAGGCTTGGATTCATAACGTAGCCAAGAAAATACACCCAGCTTTTTAGTTCTAACGTCAAATTTGCCTCCATTTAATTTCCATCATTTGCTCGCAGTTGCAGATTCCCCTTCTTGGGCCGTGGACCCTTCTTCCCAGCTACGCGAGAAAACTTCGTTCAGGGCGTCTTGGAAGGTACGACAGTTCATGTCAATCAGGCCTCGCTTGTCCTTGGCTTCGGGGTTGCGAATTACCGACACTAGACAGAGGTACCTGTAGAATAAGGTCAGTATAGTTACATAATGAAACCACTCGTTGAGACATACTTGTTCATCTCCATCAAATGGATCATGGTCTGATCATGCAACACCACATGGCTTTCAGCTTCTTGAATCTGGTCACCCAACCGCTTGCGAACTGGGTGATCCCAAGAATACAACTCGGAGATGTCGACAATCACATCGATATAATCAGAGCACATCTCATAGCAAGCCATGTCCACAGGTCGGGTGTCGGAAGCGATATAAATTTTACTCAGAACGTCGAAGAGGTATGTCTTTTCAAACCCACAGTTGTTGGCGAGCGTGTTGATGAGGTTCTCGAGTGTAGATAAGTTGGGGATCAACTTCTGAATCACTTTGCTGAAGGCTTCAAAGACAGAGTAATCGTAGATGGACGTCAGATAGTAGTGCACGGGCGCATTCTCATATCCAGCGTCACTGAGCTCGTCGGAGATGCGCTGCACAATGTCCTGGAATGTGTCGGTGCGGTACTCGTCTGACAGTCCATCGACCTTGTGGATGAAGACTTCAATGTTGATTCCGGGATAGAACTGCTGGACAGTCAATATGGTGCGGTTGAGCCGCGCTACTGAGTCCAGGTAGTCATCCTGTGCGTCGATCACCCAAACCAGGGCGCCCAGACTGCCGAATATATCCTCGAGGTCGAAGGCGGACTCAAAGTATTCGAGTTGACCCGGGAAATCCCAGACTTGGAAATCCATAAAAGAGCTGCAGACTCCAGGTCAGCGAAAAGTGCATGGGGCATGTCCTTTCTTTGGAACTTACTGGATCGAGTCCTTCTGGATCCGGGTCGTGGACTCCAAGAAGAGTGTCTCGTTTGGCGGCATCTTATGGAATACCACGCTAGCAATGGATGACTTACCGCTCCTAGTACATAGTTAATACCTCCGTTGTGTGAGAGAGGGTAGAGAAAGCTTGCCGGCGAAGTCCCATTAGAAGAAGACGAGGTTTAACGTCAGGGCCTTTGGTGTTAGGCACTGAGGCCGATTTGGCCTGAGTTGGCGCAGTCACTTGGCTGTTTCCCTGTAAATTATCCAGAAGGCTTAGCTCGGCTTCAGTCTTATGGAATGGAATTTCAGGCCGTCGCTTCCAAAAATTAAACTCACGTCCTATAAAAGGACCATGAGGCCGGCTCACGCAGACTACCGGTAAGTCGGACATTTAATCAAACAAAGGGGCATGCATTTTGGGATTGTTATCACGATGGAAGGACGATGGAAGGAACATTCATGAGCGAGGGGGCAGGGTGAAATAAATCAACGCATCACATCACATGTTTGGGATAAATAAGGCATTGGGCAGTCAGCGAGCCCAACAAGGCTACCATCCCTTAACAAGGAAAGGCCCGAGGCTGAAGACGGAGACCCGTAGATGGCATTATCTTGCGACGGCCCACTGTGAGAGCAGCCGTGACAGAACCAAATTGGAATTCCATGTTCCTTGCCTATTCCGGGCCCCATTTGGATGCCTAGAAAGGTCTGTGGTGCTTCTTCATCCCCTAGGAGATAGCAAAAGGGGTCCGGAACCAAGCAGCTGTCTCACAATGGCCCGTGCATGGATGCGGCGAAACGCAGTAACTAACCGAGCTTCGCCAAATGACCCAGCCGTGGTTCGAGGCAATATACAATATAGGGAGGAAGGTTCGAGGATATGTGTTTGGGTGGGGGAAGAGTTTCTTACCTCCATTGAACGGGCAGACATCTAGATATAGGATGTTAGACTCTGGGATATGCATTAAGAATGAATAGAGTGTACTTACTACGCAATTTATTTTGTATTAGACAGGGATAATCAGGCCAATGCAAGGTCAGAATTCCTCGGTTATCACGAAGAAGAATGGTAAAGAACTGGTCGAGCTCAATTTAACGGCAAAGAGCGACTGTTGACATCTGCATGTGCTAATCTCGCCTAGGACGGAAGCCGCAAGGTTCCCAGATTTTGCCTGGGATGGTGGTACAGATTCGGATGTCTGCAGTCAGACCTGTATCATTGTCTCAGGATTGGGAAATTCAATTCACGGCGGAGGAGGGTGGGTTGGGGCGACCGTTGAGTAACCGTTGTGCTGTCCGAGTGCGGGGGTTGGAGTAGCTTGGAGCTTGGGAAGCGAGACGAAGCGTGATCGGGCCGGATATGTAACGCGCACGATAGCGCGGCAAGTAATCTAAAAGGGTTCGTTCAAAATATGTAAAGATTTCTTTGATTTGAAGGAGTTTTTCTTATAGAATTTGTGGTCAAGGAGGAGAGGATGGGGGAGAAGAGCAGGACCAAGGCGGAGCCGTTATCTTTGAGCTTCTATCTTATCGGCTCTAATCTGTCACAGACCGCCTAATATATTCTGCCACCGTATTACCGCCTCTTTCAGGGCTATCAACCTCTTAACCTCTTAACTCCATTTATGATGCTTGGCCAGGGTCACAAAAGATGGCTCAATGGATTACTCCAGAATTAAGGGTTGATCTTTAAAACACATTGTTGGAATTGAATCAAAAAATAACTTTTTTTTATCATTAACCTCGACAAGTTCATGCAGCAACCATCCGGCGGCTATGTCCATGAGCATGTTTAGACCCATGCTGATGGCCCAGATAATCGCTGATTCGATGCTTCCCCTGCTCCTGTTTCTCTTCCTCCTCTTCTTCTTCCTCTTCATCAGCCTCAAGTGCAGGCCACTCTTCCCAACCATCTTCCCACATCTTCGCTAACTTATCGGACTTCTCGTCTCTGCTCATTTTCTTGTTCTTCATCACTTTCTCCCACTTCTTCATATCCTTATCATCTAGAAGGCACTCATCCAACAAAGCACTGATCTTAACAGTGTCAATGCCTTCTCCAATAAACACTAGTTCCTGGCGACGATCACCCCAGGGACCTTGGAAATCATCCTGGATGGATTTCCGCACATCGTCATCTTCTGGCCATTCCGCTTCGGGGACTTCAGCAAACCAAGGTCCACCGCATCCAAGAGTCAGCATACCGCCTGCTTGACTCCATTCGCCGAATTGCCAAGGCCTGGTTGTGAGCCAGAAGAAGCCCTTGGAGCGGAGAACTGGACCAAAGGCCGGGTTGGTACGTTTGTTGTTCAGAATGACCGCCGGGTCAGGCTGTTCAAAGTCTTCTACTGACTCGGAGTCAGACTCTGTGTCCATTGCATCTTCGTTCTCCTCGTCTTCGTCATCTTCCTCATCGCCTTCTTCTTCTTCCATTTCATTGTTCTGGAGGATAATGAACTTGTCGTGGAGAAGAGCGAAGAGGCGGCGCGAATGGAAGGGTCGACGGGCAGTGTAGACGAAGTTGTTGATACCGTACCTATATCGGTTAGTAAATTATTCATAAATAAAGAACCGACAAGCTTACTCCAAGGTCTCTGGCTTCGGGGCCATCCGGTCACCGTTGCCGGTCGTCTGTACCGTCATTTCGTGTAGACTCTGCAACCATCCAGGCCCAGAAGCAGCACGGATAAAATCAAATTTGTTTGTGTTGATGATTTCCCGGACATCTATTTGAGAGTAACTTGACTCGAGGATCTTTGCGACTGGGTTCAATAGCTTCAGTAGATGCATGAGCTTATCGCGTGTTGCTTGATCAACTGTCTCGACCTTGTTGAGAACCAACACATCGGCGAACTCAATCTGATCCACCATGAGATCAGATATTGTGCGCTCATCCTCAGGGATGATCTCTTCTTTCCCATAGCGGTCAGAGAGGAACTCTGCTGTGTCGAAGCTGGAAAGCAAGTTGAAGGCATCGATGACGGTGACAGTAGTGTCTAACCGAGCCATTGTGTGCAAGCCACCTAGTTCCACACTATGTCAAGATACGTCAGCAAGTCCAGCATAAGAGAAGATGTGTATGGTGGAGAGACAATACATTTCGTCCAGGATCTTCCTTGCATCGACATCATCGTTGGCAATCTGATCGTCAGCCTCCAACATGGCCGAACTAAACTCAGCCGTGAAAGTCTCGGCCACTTGCATAGGCTCGCTGATACCAGTGGATTCAATGATGACATAGTCAACTTCATTTCGTTTAGTCAAAGCCGCCAGTTCAGCCAGCAAGTCTCCACGAAGAGTGCAGCAGATGCATCCGTTCTGAAGCCGAATGAGCTTCTCAGTTGTCTGGGAGACTTTGTGGTTTTGGATGAGGGTAGCGTCGATGTTCAGCCTAATGGAACGAAGCAATTAGCTTACATCCTATGTTCTCCATTCAATGTGGAACTCACTGGCTCATATCGTTGACGATGACAGCAATCCGTAACCCATGGTCAGGGGACTTGAGGATGTGTTTGAGGAGTGTTGTCTTGCCGCTTCCCTATACATGGGTGTCAGGATCCCTGGACATGATTCAAAGTTAATACAATGGCTGTTGTTCATACCAGAAAGCCTGAAAGCAGGGTGACAGGCATCTGCCGTGTCTTCGGTGTTTCCTCCATGGGAGCCGGGACATTGTAAGAGACCGAGTCTCTTCCGGAATCGATGACCATAATGAAGGTGGGTAACTTTTTGGGGTTGGTTATACAAAGCAAGAAAGAAGAAAGAGGAAGAAGAAAGAGAAAGAAGAAAGAGAAAGAATATAGGCTAAGCCTCTAGGAGTTCTACAGCATCACATTATATAACATCTTCTTTCCCAGGCCACCGTCTCCAAGTTCCTCACTCCTATAACGCTCTAACGCTGTCGGTTGCATTTCTGATGTAGTACAAATGTCAATACAGGTCCTCCAAGGTTGATAGTATACCAGTGGAGCCATAGCTTGTCCAATGAAGTGTATGATTTGTATTGGCGATGATAATTGCTGTGTTGTAAGTGGCCGGCGTGAATCGTCCGCAAGGTACCTGGCTGGCGCTGTTGACTTTCACGGTCCTCAATTGACGACATTGGTTTTGAAAATCGGTATTAGAGGAACTGTGATTGGGCTTTGGTTAGTTTCTTGATTTCCTGGCTGTTCATTTGTAGACTAGAAGTGCATGTATGGGTTAGACCTGGGATATAGAACTGGGATTGGATGAGTGGCATACTTCGATCTCGAGATCCTCCACTTGAAATAACATAAACAAGTTGAATCTTCAATTACAATTCTTCTACCCAACAAGACTTTGATATTAATTCATTCACACAGATATATAACCTCCGACATGACCTCCAACCGACTCCAATTTCAATCGGCGTTCGGCTCAAAGGGCGGGCCGATAACCTGCCCAAATCACCGATCGAAGAATGATACAGCATTAACCTCGAACCTATAAAGAGCACCAAAGACTACAGAAAACAGAAATAAGAATTCTCACATTAAACATCCAAATACAACAAAAACCAACTACCCAAAATGACCGACCTCCTAGGAACATACACCAAACCCCTAGCCTACCTCGGCCTCTTCACCCTGGGAAAAACAGTCTTCTCCCTAACTCGTCAAGCAACAACCTACCTCCTCCCAAGTACCCTCCAACGCTACAACTCCACAAAAACAAACTGGGCCCTCGTCACCGGCGCAACAGACGGAATAGGTTTCGGCTTCGGTCAGGAGCTCTGCGCCCGCGGGTTCAATGTTATCCTACACGGCCGAAACGCAGAGAAACTCGACCGTCGTCGTCACGAATTACAGACGCTGTTCCCTGATGTCTGTGTCGCTGTCCTTGTGCGCGATGCCCAGGATTTGACGGCCGATATTGATGACGTCGATGTCGAGGTCCGCGATATTATTCGTCGCTGTAAGAACACTGCTGGGTCGGATTCCCAGGCCGATACTGGCAGGTTGACGGTTCTTGTTAATAATGTTGGTGGTGAGACCAGACCTTCCACGCTCCTCAAAGAGTATACCTTCGAGGATGTGCAGGCGACGGTCTCGCGGAATGCGACCTTTGCCATTCAGATTACGCGTGTCCTCGCCGCACAGCTGGAAGAGAATGCGCCTGGTCTCGTGATGAATGTTTCTTCTCTTGCGGCGTTTGGATTGCCGTATATCAGTATTTATAGCTCGACCAAGGGATTTGTTGATTCTTTTACGAAGTCGCTACGTGCGGAGTTTGCTGCTGAAGGGAAGAAGGTTGAGGTTATAGGGCTGCGGGTTGCGGAAGTCAGAACCCCTGGGTACGATGTCAAAAGTAACTTGTTTATTCCTGAGGCGAGAGCGCTGGCTGCTGCTGGTTTGGATCGCGTTGGCTGTGGGCAGGAGATTGTATGGGCCTATTTCTGGCATTGGTTGCAGGGCTTGTCGTTTGAGTATTTACCGCGCTGGATGTTGATGAAGATTTCTTCGATGAAGCTGAAGGCAATCAGAGCAGATCTAGACGCCAAGGCGAAGAGCAGCTGAAATGGCTACTGATTTATCTGTTTCTAGCTCTCTACTCACTCATAATAAACACAATTCACATGATATGATGATACAGGGGAAAAAAAGATATTTGCAATTAGAAATGACAGAATTACAGTCTATAGAATGTCTAGAACCCAGCCGGGGCCTTCTCACGATCGTCTGGGCCGTGGGGCCCTGCGCCAAGGTTCGCTGTGCACTCGAGTTGCCAATCCTTGGGCGTAAACTTATCGACAATCTCCTTGAAGGCATCCAAGGTGCAGAATGTCTCATCGCCAGGCAGGTGGTTCTCAGGCTTAGCAGCACAACCGGGGATAAGGACCGGTTGGTCATTGTAGCGAATACGGACATAGTGCTTCTGGAGAGACTCGCGAGCGCCTTCGGGGAGGGATTCGAGAGGTGCGCGTGCAGTATCGGAGGTGGTGGGTTGCTTCGGTGTGGACTTACCGAACAGCTGGGAGAGGACGCTAGGCTTCTTGGATGCGACGGGTGGGTTGGAGAACTCCTCGAGCATGACGCCAGCGTCGGAACCGGAGCGGGGCGCTTGGGAGAAGAGCTCAACTGCAATAGAGGAAGTAAATGGAGGCCAGGACTGGTTCTGGAATCCACCAACACTGGACAGGATCGCTGCCAAAGTGGTGTCGTGGCAGCCGCTCATAGCAAACTTGATAGCTTTGCCGGTCTCTGGGTTTCCTGACCCCGACGCAGCAGTCTCACTGCGCCAACCACCCTCCACCGCGGTGCTGACCATGCGGTCAACCACGTCACCCATGAGAGCACCAATGCCCAGCTTACGATACTCGCTGCTCTCACCGTAGCCAGCAAACCACTCCTCGACCGCAATACGGTCCAAGACAGCACGACCCTTCTTGTCATAGAACTCGGATGGGAGCTTAGTGCCTGGGCCATGGGCATCGGTTGCGTTGATGGTGTCCATGATTCCAGAAAGACGAGGATGGGCATCGACGGCAACCTTGGGGGATTCTTCGGGCATATGCTTTGACCAGAGGCTGTTCAAATATGCCATTTGTTCAGAGTCGTTCCCTGCATTGAAATCATTAGCCGTAACCCTTATCTGCATGTCCCACTGATAAGCCCATACATCGTGCAGCGGCGCGGTCGGCAAAAAGCCGCGACAGCTGTCGGAATCGTCTACAATTCCCCTCGTTGGGGAATAGTGTCTCTTCATTAACCTGGCGGGCCACAATCACCGGCGGTGGGAAGTCAAGCGTGCGCGCGCTAGCCGGGTACATGCCCCAAAAAGGCTTCCTGGAGCGACTCCAGAGCGCGGGGGATCGATGTAGCGCGGAGATACATATCCTCAGAATCGCTCTTGATTTGGGGCATGAACCCGAGCTGGTCAACGTATAGATGGCGCAGTCGTTGTCCGAGCGCATACGTCGTCTCACGACCCTTATCTGTGAGCTCGCCATGCAAGCTTCAAATGACATGATTTAGCTCCTGTTCCACGTGCCTATCAGAGCTCCACGGCAACTTACCACATCGCCTCGACTGGTCCTCCCGGTGCTGTTGCGATCACCGACTGGTCATTACTCCCGAATGACTCCATTTTCCGGCGCCATTGGAACCCGTTCCATTCCGAGAGGTCTTTGCTGCTCGATGCCATCTGCACCATACGTCTTGCGACGCCACAATACGGCCAGTCTTGCCAAGGGAAAATGTTAGCATATTATCGGCCGATATCGATATCAGAAGATTAGCCTACATGGACTTAGGCCTGTCTTTGGGAGGTGTTAGCGGAAACCGTCGGAGAGCGGGTTTTAAAACGAATGGGGGGTTGTCAATTGCAGCATACATTTGTGAATCGCGATGATACGGGTGTACGTTCACCTAGGAACAATTAGAAATGCTCTCAGGGGTAGGATTGTAAATCAATCTCTCACCATGACGAAGGAACTGTAGTGGTTAGCTATATTGCATCTTGGTGTGGGGACTAGAACGCATACCACTTGCACGAGTTGCAGCTTCAGAGCTGCCGGGTACAGTCGAGCGAGCTCATCCTGTGTATAGGGATCACGGGGAATAAGAGTGGTCATCTCGAATCAATTGAGAGATATCCAGAGATATCTAGGAATCTATAAAAATGGAATTGAGTCAAGGGGAACAAACGGTCCCCAACGGGGGCGGTGAGGGGAGTGGATTTGTTGGGGTAAAGCCGATAAGCCGGTTGTGTCGACATTGAATTACTTACTTTCTATACTACTAGTTATACTATTTACTATTTAAATAGACTAGGTGCAGTAGGTGCAGTAGGAGCGGGGATTTGTTCTCTTTATACTCATCAACATCTAAAATAACACGGGGAAAAGCTAGGAAAAACTAGCAACCTCCAAGTAGAATGGGAGATATATGGTCTCCCGCACCTCGGCATGTTCGCCAAAGGGTACCGACCTCAGACTAGTATGCTCTGAGAAGGGAAAAGCTCTTCCAAGCTATGCATATTTGACATGGTATAATATATACAATTAGGAACACTCCTCGTAGTCACTCGTCTCCCATCCCTCCTCGCTTTCACTGGCACTCCAGATAGATCGACTGGGCGCCGTCTGGACATCGCTAGTCTCAACTGCTGCTGCCGCAACTGCCGCAGCCGTAGCAGTAGCCATTTGCTTAGCCCACTTCTTATTATTCTTTGCCTTGCGAGCATTCTCCTCTTGCTGACGCGTCTGTTTCAGGCGCTCGGTTTCCTCGTTCGCCGCTCGCTCCAAGAGCTCGATGAGCTTCTCCAATGCTGGTGCATATGCTTGCGCAAGGGCGAAGTCCCCGACCTTGATACGCATGTAGTCCATCGCTCCCGCGACGGGGCCAGTATAAACGCCGAGCCTTTGTCGAGATGTCGTCGTGATGTCGTCGGACAGTAGGACATCAGCGGGGCCCGCTGATTCATCTTGAGGGTCATCGAATGGAATATCCGCATCTGCGGGCTCCTTTGCAGCTGCGTCCCCGTTGAATTCCAATTTGCGTGGGTTCCGATTGTCTACAAAGGCTACCTTCTGGTAGCGCTGGCTGAAATGTGTGAGCAGGACAGCGCGCGCTTGCATGCGGCGGCCGACTTCAATTGCCTCGGAGGAGGTCGAGTGCCGCTTGGCCCTAGCCGATCCGACCATGTCGGGTTGGAAGGTGGCCTCGTGGATGAGCACGGTCGAATTCTGTCCAATGATGGCAAATTTGTCCGATGGCCTGCAGTCGCCAGAGTAGGAAACCTTGAATCCATTTGAGAAGACAAGGGACACAGCGAGCGAACCCTTGCAGTGTTTGACGCGGCAAGTGAGTAGGTCTGCAAGACCAGTGGCAGACTTGAGAAGAGGAGTGAGGGGGGAAGATTCGTCCGTGAAGGTAACAGTATGACGACGATGGCTAGATGGCTGGTGTGTGAACGAGGTGGTGATTTTAGGCCCATTTACTTCGGGATGGGCGGAAAGGGTAAGCAGTTTGTCAAATCCGAAGTCCTCGACCTGTGAATATTCTTCCAACCAGGAAATCATCGCATATTCAGACACAACAGCCAGGCGCTTCTCCTGGAGGATCTTGGCCATATTGGCTTCAGGTCTAGCAGAAGAGCCAGATCCATTCTGGAAGTTCTCCGTGTGCCAGGCCTTGATCACAGAGACCGTTCCTAGGTGATGATCAGCGTGCAAATGACTGATCCAGATCATTCGCAGGTTTCGAAGCACTTCACGAAGTTCTTCAGGCTCAAAAACTCGCTTCAGTTGACCAAGGGTATTCTCGCCACAATCAAGCAAGTAGTAGCCATACCCAGGCACCTTCAGCAGTGTGGCAGAGACATTTCGGTATTTCGATGGAACAGAGGAACCAGTACCCAGCGCGATGATCTCTGCATCTGCTCCAGGCCATTGTGTTCGATGCTCGTGCAACTTTTTCTGAAATATAGGCTTAGCGACGCGGCTGCGAATGACTTCCATCCGTTTCTGGACAGAACGCGGGATGTTATCCAATGCATTCGACGGGTTGAAGCGGGTCATCACTTCGTCGCTGTTGAACCCGAAATTGGGCTCCATGTTGATGATGAATCCAGGTTCAAGAGGCTGCAGTGGACAATTCTGGCGAGCAGCTATCGCAGATTCCGAATTGGCGTTAGGGGTGCCGGGTTGGGGGAGGGACACATTGTCGTGAACAGGAACCGCATAGCTATCGGCTTTCAGACGGGCAAGTCGAACAGTTGAGCTAGCGGAACTGGTGAACGCCAGGTAGTTCGGGCAGTGGTCTGGGCTCGACACAGTGTGCTTGCAGTGGGACATGCTGACAACGAATTCCTGGAATTTAGGATGCTCGGCCACACCTGGTCCAAGAATCCAGATAAACGCTTGCAACTCGGTCGTTACAGCTGGTGACTTCCATTCGGCCCGACTAACCAAGTCCTCAACATACTCGGAGGATGGCACTTCCATGATAGCAGTGCCTTTTCCGGCTCGGGTCGGTCCCAGAACCATTTCTGGGGTAATAGTCTTCCCATCCAGAGACTCAACGCTCTGGCCCTTCGTCAAATTTGAGTACTTAGCGCCCTTCTCGACTTTCAATTCTTGCGCCTTCTTCGGGTCAAACTTTCCGCGGATATCATGGTTCCGCACGATATAGCAGACTGCCTCCCTTGAGGGAGAAGTGGCCGGGAGACTCTCGACGGTCGCACCGGGCCAGGGCTTTCGAACAAGCACCTTGATATCTGGAAGCGCCTCTGGGCCGCCTGGCACCGGACCCTTGTATTGCTCAAGGTCTTTGGTTTCCGGGTTGCGAATGAATATAGCGGCCGGCATCTTGACTTGGGCCAATGGGGTTTCATGGAGGGCGTCCATCTTCCATGTTGAGTTGAACATGTCCTGCACAATGGACTGCGTCACGAGCAGGTTCTTGGTACGCTGGTCCATATGATCTTCGGGCTGTTCAGATTCCTGGAACTCATCCAAGCTCCGCTTTCGTGGACTCTGTGACCGCGGCTGCGTAAATTGAGAATGAGCCGATGAGTGAGGTCTGAGAGGTAAGGCCCAGACTTTGATGTTAGAGTCTGACCATGAGGGCTTCTCAAAGGGATCCTTGGCACCGATAGACATTTGCTTGGCCAGTGTCTCCGAGCCATATTCATTCAAATACACCGGCATGCCCTTCCGGAAAACAAACCGCCGAGCCGTAGCTAGTGTATGTGTAAGGTTCGCAGGACCGTGAATCGTCAAGTTACCTCTCTGCGATATCCCCTCGCCTTCCTGCTCCTTGGGTTCACGGGGCTTGGGCTGTTTGCCTTCTTCGGTCTCCCTTTGCGCCCTGCGGGCAGCCTTCTTCTGATTTTCCTCCTCGACGGCTGCCATAGAGGTTGACACCGTATCAGCAAGGGTCAAAACAATCCCAATCAACCCGCCCGTGTTGGCCCATTCCGTCCGTCCAGTGACAAAGACATCGGTGAGAAGAGAAAGCTTAACCCCGCGCTCTGTGCATGCGCGCTGTGTGCCTTCCGATAGCTGACCAAAAAGGTATCGCTTGTCTGGGAAGTTGAGGCAAACGGACGTGCCGGGGGTATCGGCCGTTGGGGTCGAGATGACCTGGTAGAAGAATTTCATTGGGGCAGCTCCTACTACAGGTACAGGCCGTGAAGGGAGTTTGAGTATGGATGGTTCACAAATCAAGTAGTCGTCGCTATTGGGCCGTCGTTTGCTCGAGAGCGGAAGAAAGTATGCGTTTGGTTTGATTGTAGGTTGTCTGATTCGAAGTGGCAAGGGTTGTTTCTCTTGGGATTTCTTTTGGTCTGCTAGTTTCGACAATGATTTAGGATACTTGAATCTCCTACTCAGTTTTGAGTCAACGGGGTTTTGTGAGTCACGGTTTATAGCGCTGCGATACGATCGTAGGGTGAATGGCGAAATCAAGATTCGAGGGAACGCGCTCCAGGCGACTGCGCGAGTGGTTGCGGTTGACAAGGCACCGCGCACGCAAGAGGAAGCCAACTTGTCTAGAAGGAGGGGTTATTAAAGGGTAAACAGATCATAAAAGGCCCCCAAGTGTAGTAATGTCAAGGAGTAGGAAATTGGTGGATCTCCCACGTTAATAGAAGAAAAAAATATCACAGTTGATTTTTGCGGCAGAAAATCCATTTTGGACCGCCATGGAGTGATTCTTTTTCGAATAAATACCACAATAGATAGCTATGGTGTCTTTAAAATGCAAATGTTCATTTCATATATGTCTGGACTATTCAAATAAATTCCCCAAAGTCACTGAAGTTCAACAAATTTATATGTTTTGCTCATACTCAACGCATGATGGATGTACACGAGGAAATGCAGTGCATTACTATAGCATCCTTTTGATAAATTAGCAAGCATTCTATTTGGCTAAACTACATCCAGGGTACAGGCTATGCAGTAAAATAAGACAATCATTTGGCCATAAATATCAAGGGTTGGGCTTTTACTCCACGGATCCTTCAGATACGCCACTAAAGCTCCAAAATTCCAGAAGGTCCTTCGTGGGAGATACACGATATAGTAAGAGACAGGCGCCTTGAAACTCCCCGGGACATTTGGAAAAAACAAAAGAAAAAAGAAACACCCCCCCATGATTCGCAAAATACGGCAGGTTTGTGTATAGTCACAAGGCGGTGACAATGGCAATAGCGAAGAAAAAAGAGGAATCACATATACAAAGAAAAGGAAGCCGAAAGGGCAAGACGCTAATGGGGAATCACTGAAGGTGGGATGTCACAGCTGAGACACGTTCAAATGCAGCGTCAATGCTGTTGCAGAGGGCGATGAAAGTTCTCTTGGCCGAATCGCTAACTTCAGAGTTGTCAACAACGAGAGTGAACTGAGCAGTCTTCTCGGTCGAGACACCTTCAAAGGTGATGTCGGTGGCGGGGGCAGGGGAATCGACAAAGAGAGCAAAGGCAGGATCAGACTCATCAATCTCGACATCGGGGTTGGCAACACCAATGTCAAACTGACTGGATGAGTCGCTAACAGGACGGTCGACAACAGGGGCCTCATTCTTGGAGCTCTCGGGAATGCTGAAGGAAGAGGATTTTCCGGACAGAACTTCAGCATCAAGGGCAGGGCCCTCAGGAACCTCCATGACAGCAAAGACGGGGGTGTTGCCGTAGTTCATGTCGATTCCTGAGTTCCAGCCGGCATTGTTCATACCCATGCTGGAGGGGTCCATACCCTGATTGGGTACCATAACCATATTGGCCTGGGGGTTTTGCTGCATCTGGAACTCTTGGCCACGGTTGGCGTTCGTGTCCTTGGGCATAGCCTGCATGTTGGGTTGGGGTGCAGCCTGCTGGGTTTGTTGCTGCTGAGGTTGCTGTTGAGATTGCTGCTGAGGTTGCTGCTGGGGTTGAGCGGGCATAGTGTCACCCATATCGTTGAGGAAGTTGGAGAAGTGAGGAGATCCCAGAAGCATGCGGGCCAAGTCGTTCAGGCGGGCATTTTCTTCGTAAAGAGCGCGGTTCTGGAGGCGAGCTTCATGGGCCTCGTTGGTTCTAGCAGCCACCTCGCTTTCGAGCTGACCAATATATTCTAGTGAGAAGCGTTAGCAAAATGGACTTTACATATGTATTCAGGTGTTCAGAGAGTCATACCCTTGCGGCGAGATCGGAAAGCGCGAGCGGAAACCTTGTTTCGTAACTGGCGACGCTCTTTGCTGCTGAGCTTCTTGCCCTCCTCACTAGCGAGAAGGCGCTCATCCTCATCCATATCGGCCTCGTCCTTCCGGGCCTTGGCCATCTGCGGCATACCGTTGGAGGGACTAGGGGAGCCCTCGCCATTGGCCATGGCGTTCTGTCGCATCTGCTGAAGTAGACGAGAGATACGCTCCTCAACCACGGGGTCAGGGTTGCGGGGACCGCGGGCCTGGGGCATAGCATCGGGTACTTGATCCGGACGCTGCTGTATCTGAGGGCGGACCATCTCACTTTGCTTTTGTTGCTGGGCCTTGGCCATCGCAGCCTGCTGCTGATGCATGCCGGGGTACATGCGACCGACCTGTGTAGACGGACCAGCCTGAGCCAGCTCATGGCCGCCGAGGGCGTTGGGATCGACATATTGACTCTTGTTCCCAGGGTTTGTCGGGTAGAAGTAGGGCGAGGGGTTCATGTTTTCGGGATCAATCTCCATCTCCGACGGGTTCCGGCCCGGTGCGGTGTTGAAATCGAATTGGGCATCCTCGCGCTTCAAGTGATGACCAGCATACATCTCGGCGTTCACGGGAAATCCTTGACCATTGTTGAAGCCCATCGGGACCTGGCTGTAGGACATGGACAAGGCACCGGGTGGGAGACCTGTTTGCTGTCTGTGTTCATCATACTGGTGGCTTGGGGCCTGGAATGCCAGGGGAGACTGGCCACTTGAGGCAAAGCTGGCACTGCGGGCGTCACTGGCACTGAACTCGGTGCTTGCGACCGACGGTTGGCTGACCATAACCTTTGAGCGGGAGGGATCGGATGTGTAGGTGAGTTGATCGAAGTTGATGAACGAGTCGAGATCCTGGTCATAGTTGGCAACCGGTTGCATCGGATGTTCTGCGAGAGTCGCCATAGTGATCTGGATAAGGCTGTCCCTCGACTGTGTACGGAGTAGGGATAGGGTAAATGGGGTAAGTTTCGTGAGATATAGCGTGAGATAGGGATGCGGTGGGGGTATAAATGTGATAGATTTGAAGAGATAAAAAAAAAGAGGGAAAATATGAGGATAAAAAGGATTCGAAAAACGAAGGTCTAATAGAATATGGATTTGGGATCTAGATGGATAATGAAATTGGATGGTGGAAATGGGGAAAGGGACAAAGTGTTCCGGAATAGCAACAGGGGCTTGCGCGTCCTTTCTGAGTCAGCGGGGGCCTGAGGAATGTAGTCCCGTGATTGGTTGGACTTTACTCGACGAGAATTTGTTTACCATACCGTATCCAGGGAATGTTTTCATCATTTTCAGATCTATATGTTGTACTCCAGATGTCCATACCAAATTGATACATACCTCATTTACTCTCTAGTAGTGATAAATCAATTACTTGAAAACTATACTATTTATTTGAAAGTCTACGACCGATAGTCTATTAGATATTCAATAGTTACGGTACTCCCCTATTAATACTCTTTTCCCAGTCAAAACATTAGACGTGGGCCAATCTTAGGGCATGAACCATCTGATCCCATTGGCCCTTGGGGAAAACTTTCCAGGGCGACTTGGGGGGTTCCACGGGTACTGCAACCGTATGGTATTGTAATTGTACCTTTTTTGTCTCTTTCATGACCTAAGTGGCTGTGCCATGGATGTCTCTCTCTGTTTATCGAAGATTGCCCGCTTTGGTAAATTTTGCATTCCTGTTGGTTTCAAGGTTGGACTGACTACAAACCACCTGAAGGTACGCGAGAAGATCATCGATGGATTTAAGACCTGAAGGTTCAACCTTCAAGAAAATAACCTACCAACCTTGTTCGGAATAGAAGTGACTATCACCGCGGCTAGCGGCTTTCGGGGCTGAGCCAATTATTTCGAGTGGCTTCGGCCCTACAACATACAACATAGGCAGTGGGTTCTCGTAAACAGTTTTCTTTCTGCACTCCGTACTTTCTGCAAACAATATAAGTTGACTCCCTGATCCATAATAATACTTATAATATACATAAACATATGCCAAACAGATTGTGATCCGGGGTGCATTTCCCTTGTTTCATACAAACTAGGATGTACGTACGCCAGCGTCTCGCCAGACCCCCTGTACCGGGCAAACCACGGCAAACCAGTCAGAGAAGTAGATTCGGGAGTAGCTCCGGTGTGAGAATTGCAATAAGATTTTCTAAGGTTGCAAGCGATCCTAAAGGAAAACGACTGAGAGCCATTCAGGCTCGGTAGACTTCCGTACACGTGATTAGGACTTATATTCCTAATCAAGTTAGTTAGTCCGTTCCAAGGTTTCTATCAAAGGCTAAATCTCGATCTCCGAGGTCCTTCATCCGAGGCCGCATTATCGAGTGCAATACTTCGTATGTTGTAGATATAGATGGATTCCAATCTTGGCACTTTAGAACCTTCCTTTCTATAGACTTGCCTATTTTGATTGCCCCTGATCCTTAACAAGGCGAAGCACCATGGTAGACAGGGCAGACACGGTGGAGTAACTTATTGCCCCTTTTCGTTCCCCCACCGAAGAACCAACTTTCCCCTGAGTCTCGACTCTTCTACAGCCCGCTTTTCTTTTTGGAGGCCAGTGATCAGCTCGATGGTAGGGCTGAACCATTGATCCCTGTCCTGGCCGTGTCCAGTGACCGCGTGCAAAAAGGCTGAGTTAAGTTCTGCGCCTCAGTGCCACAACAACCGCACTAACAGTGGCTTTTTGCTTCTTCAAAATAGACACTAAAAGAAAACTTCAGGTGCGGCAGTTCACTAATGTTGATACCTAAACGATAATAACTGACTTTGAGTTGAACTAGTCTTCCCCGGTCTTCTATCTTGAATCTGGAAGCACATCCACGTGTCGCTAGAGAATTTTACTCTTCATGTCGCTGGCATTTGGGCGAGAGAACGTTGATAACATAGTCTTCATCTTCTAGAACCAGGCCTCGAGAGTCTAGATGCCGACATCATCCAAGGTGCATGAGGGATCAACCAGAATATACGGAGTAGACGATATCATATTATTTGTCGAGACTCTAAATGCCTAAGCTGTTTGCCAAATGCATGATTGTATTGCGTCCTTTCTCGAATTTAACCTGGAAAATAAGCACTACATATTGTCGTATACTAGCTATAAACCACCCTTTTAATTTGTTTTGCATGGAATTCCACTTTTTTCTTATTGATTTCCTGTGGTGCAGAGAGATACTGTTCTCTCGATATATATTTAGTTTGGGTGAATTAACCACAACGCACAGAATCCAAGAACTCTATGGATATTTTTTACACACGTAGAGGTAAGACCTCTCTCATAATTTACTGAATAATCTAGGTAGCCGATTTCTTCTACCGCTTCTTGGCTTTCCATTTCCGTCTTAGTGCTCAGTCCTTGCCACTTTTTGCTCACTGAGTAGCCTGATCTTAGGACCGGGCGGTGTGACAAATGGCACTATATTGCTTCCGATCTCCACTCCGCCTGTTACTGACCCAGTCTTCTCATTCACCCAGTCTGCCATTTGACACACATTCAGCTGAAATGGCGAGCACGGAAGCATCCCCTGAAGGGTCTTCTGGAAACACGACAGATTTTGGTGACTTCGTGAAGGATGAAGACGAGGAAGCCGATCTCGAAGAGATTGCTGAGCCATGGCATAGATACCGCATAGAGGATAATCAATATGCCCTCTATCCTATTCGCCTTGGGGAAGTGCTCAACGAAAGGTACCTAGTTGAACATAAACTTGGCTTTGGTGGTGGCTCAACTGTCTGGATGGCATTTGACCTACAAGACAAGAGAGACGTGGCCCTTAAAGTCATGGCCCTAGGGAAATGGAGCGACAACGAAATTCGAATCCAGGATGAGATTATCAAGAGGGTACGGGATACTTCTCGCCTGATTATCTATACCGCGACTTTCTTTCTACCCCGAGATGATAAAAGCCACCATAGGGTCTTGGTATTCCCTATGAAAGGGCCGGCTATCTGCACTCTTGGCTTACAGAGGATTCCTATGGCCTCTCGTATGTCCGCCGCTCGGCAATTACTAGCGACTGTGGCAAGTTTACATGAAGCTGGGATCATATATCGCGGTAAGTCGACGTTCACTTCTTTCTGTTGTGGATACCTGATTCCTTAGGCCGTGATGTTAGGCTGGCCACCTACATAAGTAGCTCTCTGGAGATCTGAAGGAATTAACCTTTCTTCTCTCTTTCTCTCTCTCTCTCTCTCTCTCTCTCTCTCTGGCACCTAATAGCTTCCTCACTTTTCATCTCTTCTATACTAAGAAAATGCTAACGTTATATATTTAAATGCAAGGAACTGTATGTGGGGAATGACTCCTATCGATGGTCTAAGCAGAAGCGCCAAATATGAGTTACTCGGCCGGCCAATAAAGGAGACAATACCTTTTGTCGATCTTTGGAAAAAGGGCGAGCTCGTGGCCCCTATAAATGTTCCTGACGACCTTCGTACAGACGAATTCTATCTCTGCGATTTTGGTTTAGCAAAGAAAATTGACGACCTCGAAACTTAACGCGGCTACCCACCTATGCATTATTGCTCTCCGGATCGACTACATAAGCAAGAGCCAAGTTTTGCCTGTGATATGTGGAGCTATATGGCTATTTTCTCTATGCTCTACCTTAAATTTCCTCCGTTTCCCACATTTGTTGAAGGTGGGGTTGTGGGTGGTATGGCTGAATGCCTAGGCCCACTACCTGAGAAGTGGAAAGGTCTTTACACACACCCCGGCGGACTCGATTCATGGTATGATCAGTCTCAATCTCCTGATCCAGAACATATCATTGCCGAGAAAATCGCGTATTTCCGTCCCGATGCTGATCTGACCGAGCGGCAACTTGTGGAATCCGTCATGTTGAAAGTCTTTATCTATGAGCCGGAAAAACGGCTGACGGCAAAGGAACTCTTACTAGACCCTTCATTCAGGGCCATCATGGAGCGGTACGGGTGCTGAGACTCGCAATGAAATGAGATATGGCGCCCTCATAAAAGCAGCGGCAGCCAAGATAAGAAAGCCCCCGCAGAGGAACAAACACTACGTAGAGTTACCTAACTAGTTAGTTAACTATGTGACTAACTTAGTTATGTATCCATGGATGTTGTAGCAAAATACGAGCACAATGATGCAAATGATGCAAATGATGCAAATAGTGATTCCGCCAAGGAATGTGAGTGAACGCCTCAGGCACCAACCTATTCCTCTTTCGGACCCCGACCCCAGAATGTCCGTCAAACAGCATCCAATTTGTTCGCATTTGTGCACATTTGTCCACCTTTGATTTAATGACTCGAGAAATAAGAAGTCTAATGCGATCATAGTGGCGCATTTGATTCTGCAAAGGGGCTTGAGTGCCGTGGCTGCCCTTACTAGTTATTCTATATGAACCCGCTCGAACCAACTTCGGTTACTATTGTACTTCAAATACATAACTATCTACAACATAACACTTGGATCTTGGTGAAAAGCACACAAACACCAAGAACTCTAGCTCATCTGCTGAAGCCATGACATCCGCCCCGACAATTCTGGCAACGTGTAAGCAGACACGGTTTCATCTGCTTGATGATAACCCGTCGCAGGAGGTATGGGTAGCCACAACAATAACCCAGATAACCACTGACGCTCAAATTGTTCTTTTGTCAGATTGATGTGGATGGACTCAACATTATAGTCACATCATCTGCACCTGAATCTACCGAAGATGTACCAAAACCAAAGACCAAAGGGAAATCAAAGGCCAAGGCCGCAGGGAGGGAGCTCATCTCAGACGCGCACCTACGACTCAAGGCAGGTGTTCATTATGGGTTGCTAGGTCGCAACGGGACTGGGAAGTCGAGTGAGACAGACCCCCCCCCCGCAAGTACCATTTACAAAGCTCGGTATATTAATGTTACCAGCGCTCCTCCGGGCAATGGCAGAGAAACTCATCCCTGGCATCCCGCATGCGACTCGCATGGCGATTTTGCAGCAGACGGACGAACAGGATGACAAACCTTTTGGCAAAGATCCTAATCAGGACAAAACTGTTTTGGAAGCTGTTCTGAGCAGCGACGAAACTAGGAATGAGGCTGTTCGGATGGCGGAGTGTTCGCATACCTATTCAATTGGAGTTGTACTTGACTGACCTTCCAAGTTCTATCCAAGAGTTTTGAAACTGAAGATCCGATGCAACCTGTGCGGGCGATTCGCAAAATCCGACACCAGAAAGCAGAAAAGCATCTCTTCCTGGCGCACAAAAATGCAAGCCTGAAAAGTGGTGCTCGAGGTCTACAAGCACGGAAAGACTTGAAGGCTGCTGAGGGGAAGCTCGAAACTACTTCGGAGATGTCAGTTGAATTCATTCGAGCTAGCGACTATATCTAACTTCTATTAGGTTGGCCCAGGATGTAGACGCCATCGATGTGGAGACAGTCCAGTCGGATACCCAAGCTGCTGTCGAGACACTACAAAATTTACAGTCTCAACTCGAAGATGTAAGTCTTTGTACGATGGCAGTTCATCTAATCCATTAACGTGAAACAAGATGAAACTTGCCGATATGGAGCAACAAGCTCGTCGTATTCTCCTCGGTCTTGGCTTTAAAGAAGACGGATTCGAGAAGAAAGTCTCTACGCTCTCAGGTGGTTGGCGTATGCGATGTATGCTAGCCAGCGTTCTGGTTCAAGATCCCGATATCATGATCCTCGACGAGCCGACCAATTTCCTGGATCTTCTTGGAGTAGTGTGGCTGGAGAACTACCTGAAACAACTCCGCGACACATCCGAGACAACCATTGTCTTAGTTTCACACGACAGGGATTTCATCAATGCTGTCTGCGAGGAGATTGTCATCCTCCGAGACCAGAAACTGACATATTTCAGAGGGAACCTGTCTGCATACGAGCAAGATTTCGAGGAACAGAAGCTCTACCTAGGGCGCATGAAGGAGGCTCAGGAGCGGCAAGTTGCGCATATGGAAGCTAGTATCCGGGAGAACATGAAAATTGGGAAGAAAACCAATGATGAAAATAAGCTGCGGCAAGCTAAGTCGCGGCAGAAGAAGGTCGATGATCGCATGGGTCTTCAAGTTAGCGCGAACGGGGGGCGTTTCAAGTTGAACCGTGATCTAGTCGGATGGCATCTCCACAATCGAGCTGAGATTGACGTCCCGACAGACGAAAAGGGCGCGACTATGAGTTTGCCCGATGCGACGGAGTTGCGGTTCCCCGGACCGTTGGTATCGCTTGAGGGTATTGTTTTCCAGTACAAGAAGACCGATCGCGTCATCCTAGACGACGTGAACTTGGTCGTTCACTTGGGTGATCGTGTCGGGATCATGGGTCTCAATGGTTCGGGGAAGACGACTCTTCTCCGTGTTCTGACTGGACAGGTATCTCCTTCTAAGGGCAAGGTTTCGACTCACTCCCGGTTGAAGGTGGGCTACTACAGTCAACACTCCGTGGAGGAGCTGCAAGAGCGCGGCCGAGGCGACCCTAGTTTAACTGCACTGGGATTATTGTCAATTGAAACCGAAGGATCCCTGAATGAGGGTGCTATCAGAGGTCTACTTTCTTCGATGGGGTTAGCAGGTCGTATTGCATCTGATGTCCCTGTTGCCAAACTATCAGGTGGACAACTGGTACGTGAAATGTGAAAGACCAACAGAACATCCAAGACAAACTAATAATATTGTCGGATCCAGGTCCGCCTTGCATTGGCTCGAATTGTCTGGAGTGCACCACAGCTTCTCATTCTTGACGAAATCACCACTCATTTGGACTTCCACACTGTCACGGCATTAGCTACGGCGCTCTCCTCCTTCAATGGCGCTGTGCTTCTAATTTCACACGATCGTTTCCTTGTTCGTTCTGTAATCGAGGGCAAGCGAGACACCGAACACAAACTTGATGAAGATTTTGAAGGAGTGGAGGAGGAAGAGACCGAAGAAACGCCAAGACGTCGGTCGGTCTACGTGATTAAACAAGGCAAGATGAACGAACAGAAAAATGGAGTGGAGCAGTTCGAAAAGAGCCTGGTGAAACGGGTGCAGAAGTTGTTACCCTCGGTAGTATAGATTAGTTAGTTATGTTGTAGTTAGTTGATGTAGTTGACTCCATGACCAATTGAAACCTTGGAATGATGAAGATATCATGACTCAGCACGGAGCCCGCCGAGAGACAAGTGCGATAAGAAACATTTCCCCTCATTCCTCCGCGGAGTACCTCTGGCAACCTCTGGCAATATATATTTTGCCTCCAACATGCAACATTTTACTCCTTGAAACTACTTTCTCATGGCTGGCTTGTGCAAACGGTTCTGGTCTTGTCCTAGGGCTGCCCGTCACTGGACCGTACACATTCGACCCCAGAGCACGCGCGCCGCATCAAGACCCAACGCCACCGTCGCCGTTCCTGATCTACCTCCTCCACATCCCTCGGCTAAACCCTCTAAACTCTCAACACTCAAGTCCGCAAAGCCCTTCTCCGAATTCCTTACCGATACTTTTAATCGCCAACATGACTACCTCCGAATTAGCGTCACGGAACGCTGCAATCTTCGGTGTCTGTACTGCATGCCCGAGGAAGGCATAGACCTCTCGCCCTCGGCGAAACTGCTTACGTCCCCGGAAATTCTATACCTGTCCTCATTATTCGTCTCCCAAGGAGTGACCAAAATCCGATTGACGGGTGGCGAACCGACCGTCCGCAAAGACATCGTGCCGTTGATGCAGGATATTGGCAAGCTGCGAACAAATGGGCTTCGGGAACTGTGTCTGACAACCAATGGAATATCATTACATCGAAAATTGGACTCGATGGTGGAGGCTGGGCTGACGGGAGTCAATCTCAGTCTCGACACGCTAGATCCGTTCCAGTTCCAGATCATGACAAGACGCAAGGGATTCGACGCTGTGATGAAGAGCATCGACCGCATTCTGGAAATGAATAAGGTCGGTGCAGGGATCAAGCTGAAGATCAATTGTGTTATCATGAGGGGAATGAACGACCGAGAGATCCTCCCGTTCGTGGAACTGGGCCGCGAGAAACCGGTTGAAGTGCGCTTTATCGAGTATATGCCTTTCGGCGGGAACAAATGGAACCAGGGAAAGATGTTCTCATATCAGGAGATGCTGGATGTCATCCGAGAGAAGTATCCCACATTTGAAAAAGTGGCCGACCACAAGAATGACACGAGTAAGACATACCGTGTTCCTGGCTTCGAAGGCCGCGTGGGATTTATCACGAGCATGACGCACAACTTCTGTGGCACCTGTAACCGGTTACGCATTACTAGTGACGGAAATCTCAAGGTCTGCCTGTTCGGTAACTCCGAGGTCTCCTTGCGGGATATCATCCGCAAGGAGAATGGTGGGAGCCCAATTGACGTGGATGCAATGAACAACCTGCAGCTGTTGGAAACAGTAAAAAGCGCAGCGCGCCTTAGTGACGAAGGCGGCTTGGTGAATGAGCGAGAACGTGAGATTCTTGATATCATCGGCATGGCAGTGAAACGAAAGAAGGCGAAACACGCGGGCATGGCGCAACTAAAGGACATGAAGAACCGCCCTATGATCTTGATTGGTGGGTAGCGATGTTCTTTTTCTTGATCCTTTTTTTCTTTTTCATGATTGGAAACGCTTTACGACCTGTAGATCATCTCAGATGAACATATCTTTTGGATTTCAAGAAATTGATATATTTGGACATTGTTTATTGAATCATTGTGCTGATAGATGAACTAGATAATAAACCGAAACCATGGGGATTAGGGTCTCACCCTTGGTCAACCATACCAGTACATATGCTTTCGCATCTCTCTACAATTTCCCAAGCTCGTCTCTACCACTCCGGACGATCTAAACCAGAGACCAAATCCCCCTCTCTACCCACAACCTCAGACGCCGACCTCCCTCACCTCACACCATCCAAGACCGTCCATATGACCCAGATCACCGAAAAGCCCGAAACAAAACGCGTCGCCACAGCCGCCTGCACCGTCTCCTTCTCGAACTCCCGACCCTGGGAAATCCTCCGCGAAGGCCAAACTACACACAAAGGCGACGTCTTCAGCGTTGCCCGGATCGCGGGTATCATGGCCGCTAAAAGAACGCCTGATATTGTGCCTCTTTGTCATCCCGGCATTGGTATTACCGGGGTCGAGGTTAGCGTGGAACTAGTTGAACCTGGATCGAACAGGGATCATGGTGCTATGCATGTCGTGGCGTCGGTCAGCTGTTTTGGTCGTACAGGGGTGGAAATGGAGGCTATGACAGCTACTATGGGTGCGGCTTTGACGGTTTATGACATGCTTAAGGCTGTGGATAAGGGGATGATTATTGATTCTGTTCGATTGTTGGAGAAACAGGGTGGGAAAAGTGGGCATTGGGTGCGGGAATGAGTATACTACGTAGTTGACATAGAGTAGACATTCGACTGCTATATTTATATCTGGTTATATTATTGTAAGAAGGGAAAAAGGATGGAAAGCAATATCTGACTGGATGATCTCATCATTTACCTATGGGGATCAGCTGATATAAGACCTCAATTAGAAACAAACCCCTAGACTATCACCATCTCCATGGGCCTTCAGTTGAATTGATATTTCACCTTTTTCAAGATTATCGGCAGAGGGTTCCGACTATTCTCGTCAATCTATTGGCTCGTGTGCTTCTATTAGTAAAATAAAACACTGTGGTTCGTGACATAAAAGATGCCTGTCAGTTCGCTGCCACTTACTTACTACCACTACCACTATAATTCAAACCGTTGAAAATACTTCTATTCCTTACTTATTTCAATCTATTTGGTCGCTTTGCATCATCCATTCCGGTGGGCTCAATTAGTACAAGCAATCAGCATGGTAACCGGCGATTTCGACACGACTCGTGTCTTCCAAGGCACTCCGTATGTCAACGGCAAGGCTTCAGGGAAGCTTATCACAAGCGACTTGGAGCTGAGCTTTTGGGGTGGCGTTAACCCTCAGACGAGCGAGGTTATCGATCAACACCACCCATTGAGCGGACAGCATCTTCAAGAAGCCATCCTCGCTATCCCCGGCGGACGTGGCTCATGTACCGGTAGTACAATCATCCTGGAACTTCTACTGAATGGCAGAGCACCTGCCGCGCTGATATTCGAGCGGAGGGAAGACATTCTCACCCTGGGTGTGATTGTTGCAGAAGAGATCTTTGGAATGGCCATTCCAGTCGTGACGCTTGATCCGATTGACTTTCGACACCTTATCAAGTTCAACGGGCGTGATTTTCATGTTCTCAATGGCCAGGTATCCACAAACAACCTTCTGGATACAATGGTCAAGGGCTCATCAGTGGTTGGTGTAACTGAACCCGGAATTTCGACCGATGGAATCAAGCTCACGGATCTGGACACCGCGTTTCTCAACAACGTGTACGGAGATGCCGCCCGTGCAGCAATGCGGATCACTTTGAGACATGCGGAAGTCTTGGGTGTCACCGAGTTGATGGATGTCACGCAAGTTCACATCGATGGCTGCGGCTACACGGGTCCAGGTTCTCTCGCCTTCGCGGAGAATCTTCGGGATCGTGGTGGAAAGGTTCGAGTCCCAACATCGATGAACTCCATTTCGGTTGACAAAACCCTTCGACGCGTTCAAGGTATCAGTGAAGACTTCAACAATGCGGCTGTACGACTGGCTGACGCATACACCGACATGGGGGCTCAACCAACATTTACATGTGCACCTTATCAACTTGACAGTGCGCCAAAGTATGGAGATCAAATAGCCTGGGCCGAGTCAAATGCAGTTGTCTACGCCAATAGTGTGCTCGGTGCAAGAACCATGAAATATCCTGACTTCCTGGACGTCGCGATTGCTTTAACTGGTCGCGCTCCGAAGGGGGGCCCGCACGTTCAAATCAACAGACTGGCCTCGGTGATTGTGGAGATTCCTAAAATTTCACCGGAGGAAGTTGATGATTCCTTTTACCCTCTGCTGGGATACCAAGTCGGAACATTGTCCACGAGCGAAATTCCCGTCGTGATCGGAGTCGAGTCATTCGCCCCGACTGAAGATGACCTGAAGGCCTTCGGGGCAGCATTTGCGACTGTTTCTAGTGCTCCAATGTTTCATATGGTCGGGGTGACCCCCGAGGCACCCAGCCTCGAGGCTGCGATAGTGAAGGGGTCAACTGTGCGTTCCATACGTGTACAACATGGTGATTTGATCCGATGCTGGGGCTCTCTAAACAGTGCACCAAGAGGCCAACCAGTTGACTTGGTATCCCTGGGTAATCCGCACTTCTCATTGTCTGAAATCGAGACCCTCGCGGAGCTCTGTAGGGGCCGCACCAAAGACAGCCGGGTTACGGTGATGATAACATGTGGGCGAGCGACATATGCCTCGGCCTGTCGAGCTGGTCTGGTAACTGAATTGGAGATATTTGGAGTTCAATTTATTACGGACACCTGTTGGTGTATGATCACTGAACCGACCATTCCCCAAACTACGAATGCTATTATGACAAATTCGGGGAAATATGCACACTACGGCCCTGGTCTCACTGGGAAAAGCTTCTATTTTGGAGGTCTTGTCAGATGTGTTGAGGCAGCGTGTGGAGGTAACTATGCTGAAAGTAGACCACATTGGATGAAATCTGGACCTTGCGAGGGTGCTGGGCATGAAATGATGTCCACCGATTCCAACCTATCGCCATGATTTTCGTTGTGTTTCTTGAGTGTCTTGGAGGGCAATGCTTTAATTGTATAATCGTTGCATTTGCAATTGTTGATAGTGGCTATTATATCTCCGGATCAGGTATATAAGGGGTATTCTCCCTCTCAGCCCTATAACTATAGACTACTTCACCTACTTCACCTACTTCACCTACTTCACCTACTTCACCTACTTTCATTTCTTTTTTCCCCTTTGACCAATAGTCCTTTATATATTGGTTATATTTATTTATATATTAATGTATTGATGTATGATTTATTATATACCTAACCATCATTCTTTTCTACTTACATTTCTGTATGGCCTAAGCTAAGAAATTTCTGAGCCCACATAACTCGAATTGGCCTAACTTTTCGACCGTTCAGGTTTTCCTTTTTTTCTCTTTTCTTCCATTTGATATTGAAATTCTTATTAATTCTCCATTTTGAGGTTAATAAGATTCGAAATATCTCGAGTTTTGTGCGTTTTGGTTGAAAAATCCTACGAAAAAAATTGTTACATCGACACCTCAACGCCTCCAACGGCAAATAATTCAACACACAGCAAGGACTGGGGGTTTAACAAACCCCTGGCGAGTTTGGTCGCCCAATCAAGTAATGCATGCATTGCCAACCTGTAGGTGCCCCCGATCTACTTGCTCATTGAATTTTCCTAACCACTTCATCATACAGTCCGCAAGTGGTGGAGGCATATCTCGAACGCCATAATGGCAGTCCTCCCACCCTTGAATTTTTTGACTCTACACTATTTCTATTTTACTGCTACATGCATGATCGCCAGTGTCATTTTCTACTTGACATCGACCTCATGGCAGAGCGTTGCCTATGTGGACTCCATTTTCATGTGTGTCAGTGCCATGACTGGTGCTGGATTGAATACGGTACGAAAACTGAATCTCATGGCGATATGTATCGTACTGAACCTAACAACCCAATCACCAGATGGACCTGTCATCTCTGAACACCTTCCAGCAAGCAATTTTGTTCACCTTGCTTATCCTGGGCCATGCCATTCTCATTTCTCTTACCGTACTTGTAGTACGTAAGAGGGCCTTCGAGGCAAAGTTCAAAGGTGTCTCCGAGGAGCGAGAAAGGACCCGATCTATTCGTGGCCCCTCGCAAGTTGAACTGCAGGTCCAGGAACCCACTCAGGGAAGCACCGGGATTGTTCTCTCCGGCGAGAACGCCGAAGGACATGGCTGTCACCCACGCCCAAAGACATCCGTGCTGGTCCAAGAGAGCCCGGGAGAGCCATCATCCCGTGAAGAACAGCTGTGGGTGGATGATGATTCGAGGAATGGCTTCAAGGGATTGCTCCGCGGAACACATAAGTACATGGCCTCCAAGGGTCTCGTGTCCCGCAACTCTCAGTTCCACGATCTCACCCCCGCTGAGCGTGACGAACTAGGTGGTGTGGAGTACAAGGCTGTCTCGTTTCTGTCTGTGGTTGTGTTCCTTTACTTCATCCTATTCATTATCTTCGGCATGATCGGTGTTGGTGGTTGGTTGGAAGTCAATGATCCCGCCGTGACACGCACGAACGGTCTCTCGCCTTTCTGGACGGGTGCTTTCTTTGCTGTTTCTGCTTTCGTGAACAGTGGCATGTCGCTCTTGGACACTAATATGACTGCTTTGCAGTTGAAGTAGGTGGCCTTCACCCCTCATTGTCAACCGTTACTGACCATCTCTAGGGCTTACCCACTTCTCGCAATGGGTTTGCTGATTCTCGCAGGAAACACCCTCTTCCCTTGTTTCTTGCGGTTCATTATCTGGGCTATGAGGATCATGCTTCCGGATCGACCGGCATGGCAATCGTGGCGTATTACACTTGATTTCATCTTGGAGCATCCTCGAAGGGTACGTCAAGTTGCATTACCCTGATAGCTTGCAGAGAGATAGACACTTATCACGAACCCAGGTCTATACGAATCTCTTCCCCGCTCGCCATACGTGGTATCTACTCGGCACGATCATCATTCTGAACGGCATCGACTGGGCGGCATTTGAGCTGCTGTCTATTGGAAACAAGGACATCGAGAGTCTTCCTACCGAGTACCGTGTATTGGACGGACTCTTCCAAGCCCTAGGTTTGTCAATCGATATCACCGCCACCGTCATATCTGAATCAAGCTAACAAATTACCTCGAATAAAGCGGTGCGCGCTGGTGGATTCTACGTTGTAACCATTGCCAATCTTCACCAGGGTCTCTTGGTTCTCTATGGTAAGTGCTTTCAAATCCTCGTCGGATTGTCATGCTAACACACCCTCTAGTACTCATGATGGTAAGACATATTAGTCTCCTATCCTATACGCTAAACCCCGAACCTGAACTAACAAACTCACCCAGTACGTCTCCGCGTACCCAGTAACGCTGACAATGCGGTAAGTAACCTAACCCATGAACACCCACGCCAAATGAACCCCCAATCTAACACCCACACAGCAACACAAACGTCTACGAAGAACGCTCGCTAGGAATCTACGCGCACGACGAATCCCCCGACTCTCCAGCAAACACAAGCCGCAGCAACGTAGTAATGGATCTAATCCGCCACCACCTCAGCGGCCAAGGCCTATCCGAGACTTCACGCGGCTACTTCGTGCACCAACAGCTCCGCTCCCAGCTCAGCCATGACCTGTGGTGGATCGCGCTGGCCGTGTTCTTCATCGCCATCCGCGAGTCGGACCACTATCAATCCCAGCCGGTGGCTTTCTCCACATTCAATATCATTTTCGAGGTCGTCTCTGCTTACGGATGTGTGGGTGTTAGTCTTGGCTTCCCGGGGAAGAATTACTCGTTCTGTGGTGCCTGGCATTCTACTAGCAAGTTGATTCTTGCTGCTGTGGCGTTGCGTGGTAGACATCGAGGTTTGCCCGTGGCAATTGATAAGGCTATTATGTTGCCCAGTGAGTCTTTGGCATGGGCTGAAGAGGAGGATGCTGCTATGCGGAGGGATCGGTCTAACGCTAGGGCTCAGGAGCATGGGCCTGTTGGGTCTGTTTAGGCGGTGCATTCTTTTTTGAGATACCCTCCCCCTGTTTTCGCTAGTTGATTTATTGGTCCGCTTTACAAAGCGTGGATTTATGAGACATATGATGATATGAAGCTTGTTAAGATAAATGATTTCTTTTGTAGGACTGAGTTAGCTACCCATGGTGTATCCTGGTAAACAAAGTAGACATATGCAATAACCGTGGGAAGTAGATGGACATGGACGTGAACAAGGAGATATACAAATTAAAAAACAAAACTGGACGATCTACTCGTCCTCCATCTCCAGCTCATCTTCATCTTCACTCTCGATCTCGGCTTCCTCCTCGCTCTCCAATTCCTCCTCATCCTCATCCTCATCCTCGCTGCCATCATCACTGCCAGCAACACCGCCCATATCCTCATCCTCTCCACCGTTCTTCTTCGCCTCCTCTCTCCGCTTCTCTTCCTCAACACGACCTTCTTCGAGGACAGCAGCACGTTCCGCACGCAGCTTGCGCTGCGTCTTAACGAACGCACCAACAGGAGTAGACTCCCAGTCAACATCCTTAAGGAAAGAGTCGACACCAGAGCGGTTACGGGGAGCGTACGAAACGTTCAGACGACGCTCCTCGATCCAACGGGCATTGGTCTCAACTTTCTGCACGAGCAACAGGATCATCTGGTTGATCTTGGCGTTCTTGTTTCCACCGCTGCGGGCAGAGACCTGCTTCAGCCAGCGCTTGAGGGAGACAATGACGGGCACGGACAGTTCCGGGAACGCAATGTGCTTGGACCACAGGACAAAGAACTCGGAAAGGAGCTCGGCGACCTGCTCACCGATGCCGTCCTGGTAAGTGCGCGAGCGCAGGTAGGATTTGGGCGCGCGGATCGCTGTGTTGAAGTCCAGGGGCTTAAGCGTGCTGGACTTGGGGTGCTTGCGCATCTCCGCTGAGGTCAGGACCTCGAGAAGTGAAGCGGAGAGCGGGATATAGGTGCCTGTGGCGCGAGAGATGCGGAGCAGGGAGCGCGTCAATTGGAAGCGCAGGGGGAAGTACGTGGCGGTTGGAATGAGGCGCATGGCGCCCAGGGTGATTTGCACGACGGGGTAGATGAGGGGACGCAGAGCGGATTGCTTGCCGATTTGAGCTTCGACAAGGCCATCGCAGTGCTGTGAAAGCACTCGGGACCAGAAGTCCAGCGAGTGCACGTATTGCCAGTTGTAGATGGTCTTGTAGGACTCCTTGGAGGTGTTGGTAATGCTCTTGCGCAGATGCATGGCCAGCTGACGGATGAAGGAGAATCCTGCTGTGTATGAGACGTTCTGGTCAATACCCCAGATTTCGGCCGCGGAGTTCTTCATCAAGTTCACACCGGCTAGCGTGTGCACCGTTGTGTTGCGGCTACCCTTAACAACACCCTCGTAGGTGGCCTTGAGCACACTCTCCCTGATACCTGCATCTCCCAGAACCATAAGGCGGCGCAGAATCAAGAAACCTGTGATACGGGTGGCATCGGCCGTGGACACATCAGCCCAAATTCCGACGACAATCTTCACGAGTGTCTTCAGCACCTTGCGGAACTGAAGAAGATAAGGCAGCATAGGCTCAATTGACGCGAGGGTCAACTTGAGTGTCGATGCATCAGACAAGTTGATCAGAAGCTGGTGAACTGAAGCAGTGTGCGATTTGATCAGGGGTGTGAGAGTCTTGAACTTCTTGGAATCCAATGACACCCTGATCTTGCCAGAAGCGCTCTCCTTGACGGGGAGATGGTGGGCCAAGACCTTGGGGATGGTGTTGAGGGCCGTGACGAGAACCTGGTGGTACACGTTCTTGTCGGAGATGGTGTATTTTTGCTCGGGGGCATCGGGGTCATTGACATAGGCGGCCGCACGGAAAGCGAGCACAGCCTGGCGCATGGCTCGGATCGAGTTCTGCTCCTCCATCAACTTCTGCCACTTCTTGACCATCTCAATGGTCAAGGTCTCATCCTCAGGCTCCTCCTCTTCCTTCTTGGACTTCTTCTTCTTCTTCTTGGCGGGTTCCTCGTCTTCGGGTTCTTCACTTTCGCTCAGAGCGTCGACATCCGAAAGATCGCCTTGATCACCGAAATCGAGCAGTTCAGAGTCGTTCTCCTTCAGATATTTATAGAACTCAGGGTCCTTGTCCTTCAATGACTCCAGCTGGTCCTTGTGCTCGTCATAAGCATCGACACTGTCCTCATCACTCTCGCCCTCAGAAGCCTCAGCGTCCGCCTGTGCCTTATCTTCTGAGCGCTTGCGCTTGCCGATCTTGGGGGTGGTATCCTTCTTGCTGGCCTTCTTTCCCTTCTCTTCGGGAATATCAAAGCCGCCAGCGAAGAAGTCGTCAACGTTCATTTCGGAAAAGGCATTTTCTTTCTTCGCTTGCTCTGGGTTCTCCGCTGCGGCGGCTTCGGCTTCGGCGCGGCGAGAAGCACTTTTTTCCTTGCGCTTGTCGTTCAGTTGGTGTCTCTGCTTGATTTTGGCATTGGCCTTGCGTCGCTCAAGGACATCGGGCAGACGGTTCTGCACGAACTTCTTGGTCGATTTTTTGCCTCCAACCATTTTGAGATATTAATGCAGAAAAGAGTCTGCAAATGTAGCTTGGTCGGGAAATGGCTGGTCAAAAAAAAATTTGGGGAGAAAATCGGCGGGTCCGCCTTTCAGACCGCCTTTGGCATTGGGCGATAACGTCCAGACAATCTACAAGACAACAGACAACCTTCGATTACAATTGACGACTAACGACTTAACGATTATTGTACATATCGAGAATTTGACAAAAGAAATGTACTCTCAACGCCCACTTTCTTATGCGCCGACCCCCTACAGCTACACACCTAATCCCGCCCGGTCGGCCACAATCAACCTCGATGAAGTATGGACCCTTGTCTCCGCATTCATAATCATATTGACTAATGCAATGCCACTTGTCTTAGGAAGTCAAACTAGCATCCAGCTCAGCCGAACGTGACTTATACGAATCACTAGCCGAAATCTACAGCATCATCGTCACCCTCGATGGACTCGAGAAAGCATACATCAAAGATGTGGTCACCGAGGCAGAATATACCGAGACATGCACACGACTCTTGAAGCAATACAAGTCCAGTCTTGGAGACGAAACAGTATCACGGGAGTTCGTGGATCTAGAAACTTTCAAACGGACCTGGGGTGTGAGTGTTCATCTCCATTTTACCCCGCAAAACTCCAAGACATCTCTAACACCAGATGGACAATATAGTTAGAATGCCCACGAGCCACAGAGCGATTGCGCATTGGTCTCCCGGCCACAGTCGAGCAAGCTCCTCACGGCGCACCAACATCTAGTATGGGCACAGCGGCGACGGGACCGGCTGGTGGTGCCTCGGGTAGTCTTATTCTGGCTGCAACTGAGAACTTCATCACCTTCCTCGATGCATTGAAACTCAACATGGTATCCAAGGATGCACTACATCCACTTTTATCGGAGGTGATTCAGTCTGTGAACAAGGTAACAGATACGGATTTTGAAGACCGCGGCAAGATCATTCAGTGGTTGATCGCATTGAATCAAATGCGAGCTACTGAGGAATTGAGCGAAGACCAAGCGCGTGAACTTGCATTTGATATCGAACAAGCTTATCAGGGCTTCAAAGCGACGTTGAACTGATTGGGGGATCATTTACTTGGCGCACCGGCGTTCATATGGATAACAGAGATACCATTGGATTTTTTTCATGTATTAACATGATCATTAGTGATTGCTAGCTTAATATACCCACTCTGGCTTGTTTTTGGTTGAGTCTTCTTGTATAGGTACAGCGATTAGGCTCGTTCTTCAATATCATGAGTAGTTACTCCTCTGTTGATATATTGATGCCTGATAATCGAGGCGACGGTCAATCCGCGGAACGGCAGCGCTAGCCTTTCCTCTTTGGGAATATTTTCTTCTTTTTTTCTCCGCCACATTTCGCGATTCTCCGGGCTCTGAGGCCAATACGTTGCTTTACGTTCCTCTCCAGCAATACCTAGAGAATATACAGTTATCATCATGATCAGCGCTACAGATGAGCCTCTACATGGTTAGTTCACAGTCTACCCCTCTAGTCCATTCGGTCCACAAAAGATAATGGAACTGATAAGCGCAGTGCTTGACCTCCCGCAACTCTACCAGAAGCCCTCGGGAACTGATCTCGTGAAAGCTTTAGCTCTGTTGAGCTTACAGCCTCGCACCTTTGGCACGACCGCTGATGTCGTCAAAGGCCCCGCAGTCCAGCCTGCCGGAGTGACTCGGTATCTCACATCCATCATCGCGAGTCCGCTAGCATGGCTCGATACCGAGGAACTCCGGGAGGCAATCTGGGATGCGGCCGCTGCACGGCTAAGTGAGCGGTCTGGTCGATCCGGTAAGTAGACCACCATCTATCCATCTGTGTGCGGTGATCCCGCTGACCGTGACTCATCTCCCACCAGCTATGTCGGCGATGTCTCGAATCTTCAACGTGCCTAGCGGCTCCGGCGAACAATACACACTGACCCTCCATGAACCGTCAATCACGGCGGACAATCTCGGTATGAAGACCTGGGTATCTTCCTATCTTCTCTCGCGCCGGCTTCACAACCTTGGATCGCCACCAGCACTTGTTCCCTCAGCGTCCGCTACTCCCTCCACATCGAACCCCCAGAAACCTCTGCGGGCACTCGAACTCGGTGCTGGAACAGGCTTGGTCGGACTTTCTTTTGCAGCTCTGCAGGGTGAATCTGCCACCGTCCACCTCACCGACTTGCCCGATATTGTCCCCAACCTCGCCCATAACGCCGCCTTGAACATAGAACTCCTCGACAGAACTGGGGCAAATGTCACCACCGGTTTGCTTGACTGGTCGGTCGCGCCGTCGCCCCTTCCAACTGCGGAAGAGCAGTTTGATGTGATTCTCGCCGCGGATCCATTGTACTCGCCCAACCATCCCAAATGGTTGGTGGATACCATTGATCCCTGGCTTAGCCGTGGGCTTGGTGCGCGAGTCGTGGTGGAGATGCCGCTACGAGATGCATATCTGCCGCAGGTGAAAGAGTTCCGACAGCGGATGGGCGAGTTGGGGCTGGCTGTGGTTGAGGAGGGCGAGGAGATTGGCTATGATGACTGGGAGAGTGCGGATGGAGGCGCATTAGCCGTCAACTGTTGGTGGTCGATTTGGGGATGGAGTGAAAGGGTATAATGGCAGTACTGCCAGGTCATATTGGGAATGGTGACCAAACGACATGACGAATCATAACGATACACGATAGATTAGAATAGGGATTCCTAGACGTTGGTTATTGAGCAATGCAAGCAACCCTTCAATATCGACCCATGAGAATGAAATTCTATCCATTTTTTTTCCGGTAAAAATCAAGTTGGACGAAGGAGGAAACATTGTTGGTCGACAGAAAAGAGGAGCAGGTCCATCACGTGGAAATGACGTCGGTGCTACCATTCCGATCCATCGATGGATTTCTCGTTGTATTTCTTAAGGATTCATGAATCCTGACAGAATGACTTGTGTCTATATTGATTTTCAGAAAATAGATAAATATATGTTCTCTACCTCCATGTGGTAAGTCAACAGCTCAATATCATCCAAGTATCAAGCAAACCATCCCAATACGACAAGTCGACAACAGACCTGAGTCTAGACCAAAACGTCAGAATACCAACTGATAAATCCAAGGACATAAACCGACTGCAGTTCATTCTTTCGCCCTCGAACCTTTAGACCGTGCAGTATGGAAACATCGCATACCTAATATTGCATACCACCAAACACCTACACAATGATCGGACTTCTAGCCCTAACCTCCATCCCAACGGTGACAGGCGTATCCCTCGCGTCTAGCGAGCAGCGCAAAGCAAACCAGCGCAAAGAAGAGGCCCGTCGCATGGTGAAGTTCAACATAGTAGCAGAATGCGACGGGGACACAGACGATGACCGCGAATTAAACGGGATGACTGTTGTTGTAAGAGACGAAAAGGTACGAATCCCCAATGCAAACCCAGATGAAGACTCCACAGACATCACAGACATCATAGTCCCTCTGGACGTCATAATCAGAGCCTAAATCCCAGACTAGACTAACACTATCACCCCCCCGCAGGTCTACCTCGCCAACCCAGATCCCTCCAAACGATCCCCACCGGCTTTCACAGCCCTGGCCTTCTATATCGAGTATCCAGAGCCGGAAGAATTAAAATACCTCAAGCGTGAGCGTGGCCTCGGCCTCCCGACTTACGTCCAGGATAACCCGCCCCTTCTCAACTGGATCTATGCAGATATCAAAACTCATGAATTGCGGTACGGAAACCGGTCGCAGAGTGTAGAGCAGCTAGTCGAGCCGTGGGACTGGTGTAAGAATGAGAAGTTCATTTCGCTGAAAGGGAAGCTGAATTCTTTTATTGCGGTTGAAGAGGAGATGGGTGAATGGGCGTTATATTATGATCGTGATGGCGATGAGCTTGCGCGCGTTCTTGAGGAGCAGGGATTGTTGGATTGTCCTTTTGTGCCTGTCAAGTTGGCGAGGAAGGTTGTTGAATAGAAGCCGCCGCCACCGCCGCCTGCTCAGGCTAGTCAAGGGAATAGTCAGAGTCAGAGCCAGAAGTAGATATCATGACTAAGACGGGGGAGGTACTTTAATATGTTTGTACTTCATGGGATGACTTGATGACTTGATGCGTTTATGATATGATCGTGATTATGGGAATACCGAGGAATAGTGTATTGTACAGTAAAAATTTGAGCATTTAATCATCCAATCCACCCCAGCTACCAGCATCGCTGACATTGCCGCTAGCCGCTGTTGCAGCTTTCCTGTTGCGACTGGCCTCGATAGCACCCCTTTTGTTATTCTCCATGCGACGTTCAAAGCCACTCTTGGTACTGATTCTCATGCCGCGAGCGCCCTTTCCATCCTCCTCCTTATCAGTCAATCTCGGGGCCTGGCGCGCCTTGACACCGTGCCTCTTCATATCCTTCTTGCTGTTCTTGCTCAGATTCGGCAGAGCGTCGAGCAGCCATTTCTGGATGGATTTGTCGCCTTCTTCCCCGCCGCGTAGCTTCTCGCTGACGTCGATGATGTTGGCAATGCTCTTCACGTAGGGAATGTCTTCCTTCGTGTAGTAGGTGACGGCGATACCGCCTTCGCGACCAGCACGACCGGTTCGCCCCACGCGGTGGACGTAGACGGCGGCCGAGTTGGGGATATCGTAGTTGACTACGCCGTTGATACCGCGGAAGTCAACGCCACGGGCGAGCAGATCTGTCGTGACCAAAATCCAGATCTCGCCTTTGCGGAAGTCGCGCATAATGTCGGAGCGTTGACCGTCGGAGAGATCGGAGTGGAGAACTGCAATACGGGAGGATCCACCTGCTTCGGCGGGGATATCATATTTGAGTTCGGAGTGCAGGGCCACTGCACGGGGGATGGTTTGTGTGAAGATGAGGAAGGGGGGGCGAAGGCGGATATCTGATGCTGAGGCTGCAGCGGGACGAAGAAGTTGGCGAAGTCCCATCAGTTTACCCTGCTCTGTTGCTGCGTACACGAGTTTGTGGTCGATGTTGGGGATTGCAGAGTCTTTCAATCCAACAACCAAACGAAGTAGTGCATGTGGATCGCGTGGCTTTTGTCCAAGATCTCCCAGTCGCTCTCTAATAGTTGACTTGGTGAGATCCTCGATATTCGATCCCATGGTGGCTGACCAAAGGCCGACACGCAAGTCGGGGTGTGAGCATGATTTCCAGATATCGAGGGTTTGTTCCCGGAACAACGGGTCCAGGAGGACATCGGCTTCGTCCATAACTAAACTCCGCACTAGAGGTAATGTTGCCATGGCGGTCGTCCGATTCGCGGAAAGAGCATTGACCAGCATCAGAGGTGTAGTGACAAGAATATCACTCTTAGTGACCGGGATGTTGGCGCGCTCCTTTGCTGACTTGTTTTCGGCCTCTTCATCTTCCGACCCGGATGATTCCTCGTTGTTCTCTTCAAGAACATTGGCACCAGCATCTCCATCATCTCCAACACGCATACCCTTTCTCATCAGTGTGATCTTCACGCCAGTTCCAGCCACTAGCTTGCGGCCCTCGTTGACAATCTGGCTTGCAAGTTCCCTGGTGGGTGCCACAACCAGAGACAAAATACCATGCTCGTCGGGGTTTGAGTGGTGGTGTCGAACGATTTTGTTGATTACAGGGATCAAGAATGACAATGTCTTTCCGCTGCCAGTGGGCGCAACAACCAAAAGATCTGGCTCGGAAGGCTCTCCAAGAAGCAATGGTAGGGTTCCAAGCTGAACCTCTGTGGGTACGGTAAATCCTTGCTCTGCAACGTTCTCTGCGAGTCGCGAGGAGATCTTGTATTTAGAGCGGAGTTCCTTGAAGTTAAGCAGGGGCTCCGGGAATAAGCGTCTGGCACGCTTCTGCTCCTTCTTACTGAGAGTCGGCGCCTCTTCTTTCTTTGACTTCTTCTTTTTCTTCTTGGAATCTGTGGTAGATGTAGGCTGGATTTGGATCTCTTCCAAGTCGCGCATATCTGTAACCTTGATCTTGTGTGAATTCAAGATAGTGCGACGCTCCACTTCATCCATGGAATCATCGTCATCGGATACGGCATCCTGAGCAGACACTTTCTGATCGTCCTCGGTCGCAACAGCGGTTTCCGTCACACTGGCTGCAGGGCGCTTGTTTGAACTGAAAAAGTCGAGATCGGGGACATCTTCCTCATCTTGTTGGACAGCAGCGCTTCTTTTTCTTTTTTTGCCATTCTTGGCAGACTCGAGCTTGTCGGTCTCCGCGGTCCGGAAGAGCTGCGGGTTGGCTGCTTTCCCAGTGGAGGGCAGACGAGAATCCGAAGCCGATGAGGCGGGCTTTAATTTTGTTGACCTAGTCAACAATCTGAAGGCATCCATATCTTTTGTTGGGTTGAGTCGAAAATGGTCGTTGATCTTTCGAAAAGAAAAAAAAGTGGTTCGCCGACTTTCCTCCCGGGCCAATCATCGTTGTGCATCCGATATCACCGCCGAGGTGGACAAAACAACGAGAAGAATAATTTCGATCGGTGGAATACATGTTGGGATATAATAGACATACCTAGGTACCATATCAGGACTACTGTTCGTACCCAGGGGATCTGCATGATTACAGAGAGGTTTAAAGGGGAGGGGGAAAGGGAAGAATAAGAAGAATACAGAATAAACCAGTCGAGAACAATGGTCCTTTTAAAGATTACAATTGACTGGACAACCCAATAGATGTTACACTTTCGGAGAGCACAAACAGCACAGGGAATGAAATTGCAGTAACAAGGTCTATCTCAGAGACAACAGTTTAAATTCCATCGTCTATCATACACAGCGCAGGAAGATTAACATAGGGAAAAAAAGGAAAGGACGATTCTCTTCTATCCACATCCACTTAGTGCGCGTGCGCAGGCTCGCCACGGTAACCAACAATGTTCATGCGACCGATCATCTCGCCAACAGTGAAGAAGCCAATGACCTCAGCGGCAGTGACACCGGCGAGGGCCAACTGCTTGGGGCTGGCGTTGCGGACAGAGGCGAGGACAGTCGAGGGGGAGGGGAGGGTCTTGAGGGCGGCAGGGTTGCTGATGAAGGGCTGGAAGTAGGACTGGAAGGTGGCCAGGTTGCTAGGAGGAATTGTTAGATTGGGAGTAAAGGGTCGAGTACCCGAGTCCGACTTACGGAGGAGCCATGTTCTGGCCACGGAACACCAGTCTGCCGAGCTCAATTCCGACCTTGGAGTAGTAGAGGGTAGGGGGGATCATAGCTAAATTGATTGATGGTTAACTATGCACCTTATGCAAATGTAATCCGCGGATTGAAGGTCAACAAGGAGGTTGGGATTGGGTGGCACAATTCCAACCGGATCGACCGGTCAATCATTGGCTTTCTCATAAATGAGTGCCCAATATTCCAACCCTCCATTGTAGCCATCCAAACAGGAGGAAAATCAAGAGTGTCCCTTACAATCGACGAAAGAGATGACCTTGCCGGCGGGTCCACCGACCTTGCGCAGGGCACCAGCGGCGTTGGAGATGGCAGGACCAGCGGAGGCAGAGACCTTGGAGAGACCCTCAGAAGCCTTGGAAGCAGTTGAGGAAGCAGTCTCGCCAGCCTTGGAGGCAGCCTCCGAGGTGGACGAGGCGTGTCTGACGACGGTTCTCCGGGTCAGGAACTGCGATTGCCGCAGGACGGCACGGGTGGCGGCGGGCATTTTGTATACTGCGGAGGAAATGAGTGGAAAAGAAGGAGTAAGCAAAAGACACCCGAAGCAATCGCTAATAGGAGGGCAGTATGATCTAATGATCTGGAGTTTCGCGCAACGACAGAACCAGATGAAGATTTGACGCTCGGGAACTTCAGGAATTGCTAGTCACGTGAGCCACCTTTGCAAACAAACAATATATTCTCTACAGATTTTGGGGCGAATTTAGAGAATTGAAGGAATTGAAGGAATTTATCGACTTAGTATTTGCAAATTAAAACTCATCTTGCTTGGGGGTGTGAATCTGAAAGTGAATAGGGACCTTAACACCCTACTTACTATAGCATGGTACATCCGGCCCCATTAGTTGAATCACAACCTGGAACTATAATCCGGTTCGTAGATTTAAGGTGATAGTTATAGTTATATATTTTTCCCTTCTCAGAAGACTCATAAGTATAAAGGCTTCTTTGTTTAGAGAAATACACTGTGAAATTGGCCTGCAGGAAATTTCCATTTTGAAGCTGTTATAAGCCAAAATATATATATAATGCAATATCCCGTAAAGCTGCACTATTTGTTTTCTGTTATCAAAAAATTTGAGTTAAGAAAAAAAAAAAAAAATATGACCCAGAACATGTGCCAAGAATAATAGATAAATGATATATTGAGAAAGAAAGAATGAGTACGGTCGAACTTATTATAAAAAAGGCAGCTGGCGATTCTATGTTGTGTTGTTGTATAGTTATAGGCTAGAGAGAACGGCTTGACTAACGTAGAAGTTGCCTAGGGAGGGACCTATATAAGAAGCAATCCCTTTCCGGTAGTTATGAATGATGCTACAGTAAATAATAACCATCCAATTAGATAGATATACACACACATTTACTTTAGGCATTTATCATCAGTTCACAACTGTGACACTACCCAACAACCGTAGCAGTCAGCCTAATGGACAATCGTACAGGATGAAACTGGGCGTATACTTTGTCTCACACAATCCTACCTATATCCTTGGATGTAAGTAGTCAGATGATAATAATTGTTACATGGCTTCTCGTTCTGCCTTGAAATATCCGAGAGTATGGTTACTGGATCCCGGTAGGCTTGGAACAGGGAACAGAGTAGCCATGCATGGTAGGACATATCAAATCTATATTGTACTTGTTGGTATCATATACAACATATTTATATAGTTGAGAGTACCTATGTACAACATACTTGATTTCCTCTGCCACTTCTTGGCGTTCTCTTTCCGTATTAGTGCTCAGACCTTGCCGCTTTTTGCTCACTAAGTAAATCTGAGCATACCCCTAAGCGCTCTGATCCGCTCACTGAACATTACATAAGCGCTATCTTTATTATACCTAGGTAGTATTTTTTGAGAATGGTGGGTGGTAATAAAGAGATTCTAACAAAGAGACATGGCACTGGGTAGGTCAATAAAACTGCAATAGATAAAATAATAATAATAAACATTATATAAGCAAAGTGGTCACGGTAAGCTGTCCCAACTACAAAAGCTGACGGGGGGTTATCGTGACCTATTTCAAGTGGGGTACCCTGTCTTGGCCGCTCCACCTCGACCTCTAAATCCCCACCACCCAAAAAGCCCGTCTCCGAAGCAGTCCCAATGTCATCCCCATTCTCGACTTGGTTCCTCAAGGGCATCAACCCCGGGACTGTTATCACTCTAAATCAACCTGTCTCTTCCCAGTGGAAGATCATCAAGAAACTGAACGAGCATGAGTTTCAGGTCAACAAGGAGGAAAACGATGACTATGGCTTCTGTTCTTTCGCCTCGGCCAAGTTCCAATGCTGTGACCCCAAACAACCTTCAATGAAAGCCTTCATGCGAATGTATATTCAAGTTCCCCATCGAAAAACTGAAATGGATGATGCGAATACCAGGGGCCAACAAGCCACAACATTCACCCCGCCAGAATTAATCGCCTATCGGGACCTCACCCAAAAGCACTCGAGTAACACACCCAAGCTCATTGGATACAAGACTGGTACCCAGGATCGGTCAGGGCTAGTTCCTGGTGGGTTTATTACCTGGCTTGTTTGGGAAATCGTTCCAGGGCAACGCCTCGGACATAGCAATGGCGCTGGTCCATTCTGGGCTCTTGAAGGCGATGAAAGAGAGCGAGTCCGCACAGAGTTTGTCAAGGCTCTTCCGTTAGCCGATATTTCTTCTCTATCTTTATCTGCACTGAATCTGACTATTATCCACGGTCTAGGAAGCTAGTAGAGAACGGATGGTTCCCTACTGTGTCTAGGGCAAGAAGTCTAGTTTGGCACCGGGACACTGAAACACTGTATGTTACTTCCGCGTCATCTTGCCCAGTTTTGCTTACTTACTGATGTACTGTAGCTACTTTGTTGGACGCTTTAGCAAGGCCGGCAAGCGCAAACGTCCTGTCGAGGTTGCCGAGTGGATAGCGACTTTCGAGCTCGCTAAACCTGTCCCTCCAGTCAGATGGGGGGATGACGACTGGGATAAAGATACTTCGCACTGGGAATGGTAGCTGGGGAAGCAGAATTGTTCGTTCCACCTCCTATTGACATTTGCTATGTTATGCTAGGAAATAATAGCATATTTAAGTGAGCAGACATGGCGAACGCTCCATTTATCATAAGAATATTACGTACAATGATTAACAAGACAGTAGCCTCTTAGACGAAAACCGTCCACTTTTGGTTCCGCATGCCTGTGCTAGTGTTGTAGTCGGAGTCTATCTATTCTCAGGTGTGTGAATAAATAGGATGGAGTACCTGAGGCTATCAAATAAGTTTGCACTGTTTGTCTCGGAAAAAAAGCATTTGCTCCACTGGAAATTCACCCTCCGCCGGAGAATTCCCTCTCTTGACCCAATTCTCACTATACATACTACTAGTATATACACATATGGAACTTGAATCAGAAACACTTCTCAGGGTCTTCAGTATGAACTGAAAGATAACCAGGGGAAATAACCTGAAGGAAAATTGAGAGAACATTAACATATTAACATAGATTAACATATTAACCGATAGCCGATCAAAGAATTCGGCCCGAGAACTTGAGAGCGGACAAGGGTTGCCCAATTCAGACGGTAAAAAGCAGTTGAATTCCCCCGGTTAAAATCGAAACCCCCCTCCACTCCACTTTTTTTCGTTACTCCATCTATCATGGGGTTGAACAGTATGAGATCACAGGACACGGATTTTTTTTGGAGGGGGTTAGGTATTAAAGTGCCTGTTCCCTCTCGTATTAATGCATTTATCATCCATTTTCCTTCTCTTTCCCCCTCCTACACTATACAATGTCTTCCGCAACCGTTACCAAGACCAACATCGGTGTCTATACCAACCCCAAACATGATCTTTGGATTGCCGAGTCCAACCCGACAGTAGAGGATATCAATGCTGGCAAGGGTCTGAAGGCTGGTGAGGTCACAATTGAGGTGCGTAGCACCGGTATTTGCGGATCCGATGTGCACTTCTGGCACGCCGGCTGCATTGGCCCTATGATCGTCACGGGAGACCATGTCCTCGGTCACGAATCTGCCGGTCAAATTCTCGCTGTCGGCCCGGATGTCACCCACCTCAAGGTCGGCGATCGTGTTGCCGTTGAGCCCAACGTTATTTGCAACGCCTGCGAGCCCTGTCTGACCGGTCGCTACAACGGTTGCGTCAATGTCGCTTTCCTCTCCACACCGCCTGTCGATGGCCTGCTCCGGCGATACGTTAACCACCCCGCCGTTTGGTGCCACAAGATCGGTGATATGAGCTATGAGGACGGTGCTATGTTGGAGCCTCTCAGTGTGAGCTTGGCGGCTATCGAACGCAGTGGGCTGCGTCTGGGTGACCCTGTGCTTATCACCGGGGCTGGCCCTATCGGTCTGATCACTTTGCTCAGTGCACGCGCTGCTGGTGCCTGTCCCATTGTCATCACTGACATTGACGAGGGCCGTTTGGCTTTTGCCAAGTCCCTGGTTCCTGAAGCGCGCACCTACAAAGTGGAGATTGGCAAGTCGGCCGAAGAGTGTGCCAATGGTATCCTTAATGCCCTGAATGACGGTCAAGGTTCTGGCCCTGACGCCCTGCGCCCCAAGCTGGCCCTGGAGTGCACCGGTGTCGAGAGCAGTGTCAACTCCGCCATCTGGAGTGTCCAGTTCGGTGGTAAGGTGTTTGTCATCGGTGTCGGCAAGAACGAGATGACCATTCCCTTCATGCGTCTCAGCACCCAGGAGATCGACTTGCAGTACCAGTACCGCTACTGCAACACCTGGCCTCGGGCCATTCGCCTGGTTCAGAACGGTGTGATCGATTTGCACAAGCTAGTTACTCACCGCTACTCTATCGAGAACGCTCTCAAGGCCTTTGAGACCGCCGCTAATCCCAAGACTGGCGCCATCAAGGTGCAGATTATGAGCTCAGAGGAGGATGTCAAGGCTGCCACCGCTGGACAGAAGTTTTGAGTGAAGAGGGTGGAAAAAGATGAGCGGTATTTGAGAACATCAGCGGGTTTCTGTTGGGATCAAGAGCTGTTGGCGTTGACGATTTTCTTTTTTTTTATATTCATGAATGATGCCTAGAGGATGCCCTTGGGCAGAATAGAAAGCCCATGAAATGGCAATTTTATTTCAAATTATTGGATTATTGGGTTGAATGTAGGTCAAGGAACTGGAGACGATCCTTAAGGTAACAGATGACAAGCCTTGGGGACCCTGCAAGTCAAAAAGCATCCCACATCATTTTCGGACTTGAGAAAAGCAACTGAACTAAAAATAGGACCCTGCAGGATGAATCTGCAGAATAAACCTGGAGCTATTGAAGCTACTGTACAGAGTACCTACAACCTACAGACCCAAAATCAGGAATCACAGCCGACAGGGAACATGCGATAATTGTCCATTTTCCTGCACAACCACCTTGGAAGAACCTTTGGTCGATGTGACAGAGCAATTGTCAATGCAGTCATCATGTGGCCAAGAAGTGAATCTCACTCTACTCCGTAGCATCCCCTTGATCAATGTCGTATCACCCCACAGTTACCCTCAATTTTGATCTGGGCCAGTGCATCCCTTAAAAGGGTGCACTGTCCCTCTTGTCAATCTACGATATTCAGTGTATTCTGCTGTGTTCATGCTGTGTTTGCTTTGTGCTTCAATGCCCGCCCGATTTTAAACATGAAAGGCACATTGTTTCTCCTGGCTCCCCTCGTGGGTGCCGCTGTCCTGGGATCGACATCACAGTCTGACAGTTGTCCTGGCTATAGAGCTTCTAATGTGAAGCAGTTAGGTCAAAAATTGACGGCTGACCTTGATCTTGCTGGGGATGCCTGTAATACCTATGGAACAGATCTTCCAAACTTGAAGCTTCTTGTAGAAGCACAAACTGGTATACTATATCCCCATACTTACAGATGAAGTAGGAATGTATGCTCACCATTCTACTAGAAACACGCCTCCATGTCATGATCTATGATGCCGATGAGGAGGTCTACCAAGTACCAGACTCTGTTCTTCCCAAACCCAAGAGCGCAACAGATCCTCAAAAGGAGTCCGCTCTTCGCTTCGACTACAAAGAGAATCCCTTTTCATTCCGAGTTCTGCGCGGGGATGAAGTGCTTTTCGACACTTCTGACACCAATATCATCTTCCAATCTCAATACTTGAATTTGCGCACTTGGCTTCCCAATAATCCTAACCTGTATGGTCTAGGCGAACATAGTGATTCACTGCGTCTGCCTACCACTAACTATACTCGCACTATCTGGAACCGTGATTCATATGGCGTCCCTTCCAACTCGAACCTCTACGGCACTCATCCTATCTACGTTGATCATCGCGGAGAGAAGGGCACCCATGGGGTCTTCTTTTTGAACTCGAACGGCATGGACATCAAGATTGATAAGACTGCCGATGGCAAACAATACCTCGAGTATAACACCCTTGGCGGTGTCCTAGACTTCTACTTCATGGCTGGTCCGACCCCCAAGGAAGTTAGCGAGCAGTACTCTGAGGTCGTTGGTCTTCCTGCTATGCAAAGCTACTGGACTTTTGGAGTATGTTATTCCCACATCGGATTCCTGAAATTGTATTCTAATTAGCATTCCTCTAGTATCACAACTGCCGATATGGCTACCAGGATGTCTTCGATGTCGCCGAGGTAGTTTACAACTATAGCAGTGCTGGAATCCCACTCGAGACTATGTGGACCGATATTGATTATATGAGTGCTCGACGGGTATTTACTCTAGACGACGAGCGGTTCCCTGTCGATAAGATGCGCGAGTTGGTTTCGTACCTTCACAAGAATGACCAGCACTACATTGTCATGGTCGATCCGGCCGTCAGTAACTCTGGTAAGTGTTATACTTACTTGCTTCCCCTTAGATTCTGCTCTAATAGTGAGTGTGGTACTAGACAACGGCGCCTTTAAACGAGGCCACGACCAGGGCGTCTTCCTGTACCGTGACAATGAACGGAATGAACTCTACGAGGGTAAGTCCACCAACAGAAGCACAAGACTCACATTACTGATAGAATATCTCCAGGCGCCGTCTGGCCCGGCCTAACCGTCTACCCAGATTGGTTCAACAAAGACACACAGAGCTATTGGAACTCAGAATTCAAGCGATTCTTCGACGCAAGAGACGGCCTCGATATCGACGGTCTATGGATCGACATGAATGAAGCTTCAAACTTCTGCCCATACCCCTGCAAAGACCCAGCAGGGTACGCCAAGGAGAACGACCTACCCCCAGCGCCTCCACCAGTCCGAGTACCTCCCCGCCATATCCCCGGTTTCCCAGCTAATTTCCAGCCTGGGTCTTCTTCATCTGGGACTTCTTTGTCGCGCCATGCGAAGAGAGGTGATACTGTTCCCGAGACGCGTAGTGTCAGCGAGAAACGAAGCCTCGGTGAAAAGGGAAAGAAGGTCGGCTTGTCTGGTCGAGATCTTATTAACCCGCCTTATCAGATCGCAAACGAGGCTGGTTCAATTAGCAATAAGACTATTAATACGGATATCATTCATGCCGGTGAGGGTTACGCTGAGTATGACACGCACAATCTCTACGGAACTAGTAAGTCCCCCGTCTTCATTATCGGAACCTTTCTAACACCAAGGGCTAGTGATGAGCTCGGCTTCCCGCCAAGCAATGTTGGAGCGTCGACCCGATGTGCGACCTTTGATTATCACACGTAGTACCTTCGCCGGAGCAGGCTCTCATGTTGGTCACTGGTAAGATCAGAAAGAATAACCCCCCAAACCAGCAATACCAGATAGAATCCACATATACTAACCCAATTCCCCCTCCCCCAACAGGCTCGGCGACAATTTCAGCCAATGGGATAAATACCGTGTGTCAATCCCGCAGATGCTAGCCTTCGCCTCGATTTTCCAGATCCCAATGGTCGGCAGCGACGTCTGCGGCTTCGCCGGAAATACAACGGAAGAGCTCTGCGCGCGCTGGGCAATGCTCGGCGGCTTCTATCCGTTCTATCGGAATCACAACGAGTTCGGTACCGTACCACAGGAATTCTACCGCTGGCCGACGGTGACAAAAGCCGCGAAGAAGATCATCGATATCAGATACCGTCTTCTCGATTACCTGTATACTTCCTTCCATCGTCAGACCTTGACGGGTAGTCCGTTCCTCCAGCCGCTTTTCTATGTCTACCCACAGGATAGCAAGACCTTTGACAACGAGCTGCAGTTCTTCTACGGTGATTCCATTCTCGTCTCGCCTGTCTCGGAAGAAGGCGCTACCTCTGTCGACGCCTATTTCCCTGATGACCTTTTTTATGATTGGTTCACTGGTGTTGCGGTGCACGGCGATGGGTCTGTCAAGACCATTACTGATCTCGCTGTTACCGATATCCCGATTCATATCCGGGGTGGGAGGATCATTCCCCTCCGTACGGAAAGTGCTAAGACGACGACGGATCTGCGTAAGCGCGGCTTTGAGATTCTCATTGCGCCTGGTGTTGATGGGTCTGCGGAGGGTGAGCTTTACATTGATGATGGCGAGTCGATTCGGCCGGATGGTGCGACGGAGATTCAGTTCAAGTACCAGGATGGTAAGCTTCAGATCCAGGGTCGGTTTGGGTATCGTCCCAATGTGGTTGTTGAGGCTGTTACGCTGCTTGGGCAGAGACAGAGTGTTACGAAGAAGGTCCAGATTGAATTGACTGGGCCTGTTGAGGTGACTCTGTGAGTTTCCAAGGTTGCGTGTTAGGGCTATGGGGGTTGGATTATGAGTTCCAAGGTTCGGTAGTTTTGAAGGCTGTTTTTAGATTGCGGGATTCACTGTTTGGGTTAATCCCAAAGGTTTTTCCGGGGTACCTTGGAACATCACATTCTTTAGGTAAAGTCTAAATGCCACACGTTCTTCTTTTTTTTATTTTTACTCAAATTCTGATTCATCGATGCGAGCGAGTATTTTTACTCGGCGTACGGAGTAAAATGAAGTTAAACGGTGATTGGATGCACCAACTAACGTTCCTGCATCTGAGCCCCATAGCCAAGCAGGTGAGTTAGCAATCACATGTATAAGTACGTGTATTCTGTATTCTGTACAACATATGTGTATTTTATATAACTAAATAATGATACCTAGTTAGGTAAATCATTCATTGAACAGAAACCTGAACACAATAACTAACCCCTTGCATAGCCTTGCATAAGGTCAGGAGGGGGACAAGACAATGTCCTTGATAACAACGAAAATTTCAACTCTTTCAACTCTTGGAGGGATAAGAATAACTCCATCAGACTGAGAATAATAGGGCACTACTACTCCGTATTCTACATCGGCTATTCTAAGGAAAAAGTCTCAGCTCCGAGTGAGGTAGTATTGGCACTAGTTTAGGCACAGGCCGCTAGTTCCTGAGTCATCTGCCAGTAAGAAACCCGTGGAGCTGTGAACTTTGTATTCAAAATTGGTTATTATTAGTATCGGATTTGCCGTATTGGGACTGTGTATACAATATATTGTATGAGAAAGGGTCTTGGATAAAACCCTCATATTATAGACTGTGGTTGGCCCGTGTTTTATGATTGCATGGATGTTATATTGATGATAGACATTTAATTTAATTAACTACAATAATGCTATCCAATAATGAAGCCATATCCATGGGGGATTGATGTGAGGGTGTACGGAGTACAATGTAATAAATGTCATGGTTGGAATTGTAATATAAAAAGTCGAATAGGGAGTTGACCAGGTCACCAGGTCGCCAGTTGGTGGTAATTACTGGTAAGGATTTACCGATATTTAAAGTCGACCTCGGGATGAAAAAAAAAAAAAAAAAAGTAAAAACAAAATAATACACCAACCCCATAATAAGGCAATAGACTTGGCGGTCGCTTAGCTCAGGTGGTTCTATTTTCAAAAGGTGTCAGAATTTACAATACAATAGTATTTTGTACAGTAGTAGTATGACGTAATAGTATGGAGGATGGAGTACAGAGTACTTTGTATTTGATCATAAATCCGCGCTCTGTAACACATGATCAACTACTCCGTAGTCATTATATATTGTACGAGTACTCTATACAGGAGTATAGAACACATAACTGATAGGGATGAATATATTGTATGCACGGAGTACTGTACAACCCATATGAATATTTCCAGCCTCATCCTTGTCTTACAACCCATCCAAGCATAATCTCTAAACTCCACTTTTCTCCCCTCACCATCTAAGGGGTCCACTTGACTGGATAGTCTGACCTTTTCTTTTGTCTCAGTGTATCCGGCCTTGTCATCCGAGATCCAATCACATCCCATCTCCAATCACTCCCGCCTCCCTTTTTTTAGGTAGTGTGGTCAGTGTGGTCAGTGTGGTTAGTGTACGGAGTACGACTCCGTAATATATTATTCTCTGCCCAGATTATGCTATTGTGGAGAAGGTACGATAGATAAAGTGGTGCCTCCCAGTCGTTCTTGCCCAATGTTTCTCAACCAACTTTCGTTCCCACCTTCCTCATTAACTTGATATATATATATATATAATTATATTTTTGTTTATAACAGGCTCGTTCCCTGAACTTTTCTTCTTTTGTTTACATCTCTCACTCCTCTTTGATCGCGTGTTTTTTATGCCCAAAATGTCGTCTTTCATGAAGTTTGCTGCTGTGGCTCTCGCCGTGGCTACCCCTCTCGTTTCGGCTCAGACTTACTCTGACTGTAACCCCATGAAGGCAACATGCCCTGCCAACAAGGGTTCTACAGAGTCCAGCCTGCACTTTGACTTCACCAAGGCTAGTGCCCTCGACCAGTTCAAGGTCACTGGTGGCAGTGTCCCCACCGGCTCCAATGGTGCCGAGTTCACTATCAACAAGGAAGGAGATGCTCCTACCATTGTCAGTGACTTCTACTTCTTCTATGGCGAATTGTCCATTGAGATGAAGGCTGCCCCTGGCCAAGGCATTGTCAGCTCCGCCTTTTTGCAATCCGATGACTTGGATGAGATTGATTGGGTACGTGATATATTACTCTCCAACTACACACAGTGAATAATTACTAACTGAACTACAGGAAGCACTGGGTGGAAAGGATAACACCATTGAGACCAACTACTTCGGAAAGGGCGATACCACGACCTATGACCGTGAGACTTGGGTTGACGTCAGCTCTCCCCAGAACTCTTTCCACACCTACACCGTCCAGTGGTCCAAGGAAACCGTCAACTGGCTGATTGATGGTGCCATTGTCCGCACTCTCAACTACAAGGATGCCCAGGGTGGCGCTCGCTTCCCCCAGACCCCTATGAACATCCACATTGGTATCTGGGCCGGTGGTGCTCCCACCAACGGACAGGGTACCATTGACTGGGCTGGTGGTCCGACCGACTACTCAAAGGGTCCCTTCTCCATGTACATCAAGAGCATCAGCGTCAAGAATGCCAACCCTGCCGAGTCCTACACTTGGTCCGATAAGTCTGGCTCCGCTGAGAGCATCAAGTTCACCGGCTCCAACGCTGTGAGCTCGCGCAGCACCACTACCTCTGACGCTGCCACCAGCTCCTCTTCCGAGGCCGCCAGCTCCTCCACCGAGTCTGCTTCCTCCACCGAGTCTGCTTCCACCACCGAGGCCACTTCCGCCGCTGCCACTACCCTGGCTACCAAGACTTCCAGCTCCTCGACCGCCGAGTCCACCGCCGCGACCACTGCTGCCTCCAGCTCCGGTGCCGTCAGTGCTTCCAGCTCCGGTGCCTCCCCCAGCGGCTCTAGCAGCCCTAGCTCTGGCTCCAGCCCCAGCTCTGGATCTAGCTCTGGATCTGGATCCGGCTCCGGCTCCGGCTCCAGCACTGAGACTGGCTCCAGCTCCCCCTCGGGTTCTGGCTCGTCCACCAGTGCCAGCGCTAGCGCCAGCCCTGCCTTCAACGCAGCTGCCTCTGTCGGTGCCAGCTACTTGGCACCCATGTCCCTTCTGGGTCTGTTGACCGCCATGCTCCAGCTGTAAATGTCCCTTTCGGCGCAATGATTTTTGACGTATCATTTATGAAACGCGCCTCGAAAGAGGATACTTGGCTGGACCGGGTATGGTAATGGTTGATGGATTTTGATTTTCCTCTTTTTTTTTTCTGGCTGTAACATTTTCCCCTTTTGCGTTGTCCTTGGTGCCCAAGTGTCTGCAATCTATTCTTTAGGTTGCCCGGATGTGTTTATTTGGCATAACCCGGTGGGCAATTTTATTTGGGCGGACATCACATCATGTATCTATCAGCGTCCCACATACCTTTGCCAATGAGCAAATATGCAATAATATCGAGTCAATCGACTCCACGGAATACTTCAAATCATTTTCATTTCCATTTCCATTGTAGTCTACGATCTAGATCTCTTCACCGCTATTTCCTGTTGCTGTACAACATATGTCTCCGCTTCCCATTGTGTTCGTATACCAGAACCAGAACCCTATCTATCCCACACCCGCATCGCATCCGCCTCGATCATCTGCATGTTGGTTTCTGTTCTATTTAGATTCGGGTTACATGCACATCCACTAGGGATAATCCACCTGTGGACCATCGGCTTCCCGGCCAAGAATACCGGCCAAGAATGCCGACAATATCTATATTAAACCGGATTTGCTGTGAACCATGGATCAGGCAGTTAATTGAACTTGATTGCAATGGGCCTGTACTTGGATTCGTCGATGATGAGTTGTACCTAATAATATAAATATATCTGTAGTCGGATTGGTTGATCCGGCGACAATTGTGTAGCTGAACCGTGGATGATCGCAAATGGGTCGGATTCACCCATACAACGTTGTACATACATGTATGTATAATTTACATTACGGAGTACACCGTACATGAATTGTGGGTATGAATTGTGTATGTTTATGCTGTATATTGTACAACATAGTAAAATGCTGTCATGGCTCATTATTGCATCGAACTCATCTCACCTTCTCAGATAGAAACGCCCAAAGTCAAAGTCCAAAGAAAAGAAAAACTTCGACTCCAAAGCCCAGCCTGCAAGTCGGTAACTACAGTAACAGCCTAAGAAAACGCCTTCAAATTCAAAATCAAAACCTTCGGACGCTGACCAAAATCCGAACTTCCCCTCATCGCCCCCAGCCCCCCCTGTGGAGACCTCAGTTCACCAAGTGGACCCAGACCCAGAACCAGTCGCACGTCGCACATCCCTCAATTGGCGTGATAACCGCAACACCGAGTCAGCAACGGGACGATGGTGCGTGGCCGCGACCCGGAGTAGAGCAAGGGTTGCCGCAGGCCGGGGTGCGTGAGTGGGTTGGGTGGATGCAGTGGAGGCCACGACAGAAGATGACGACTCCGTCAATGCATCTTCTGACGATCGTCCCCGGAACAAATATGCCCCGAACGGTCCTAGCGGGAGCGAGTCGAGAACGGAATATAGTCGGTCGCTGCTGCTGTCGTCGGACGAAGAGCGGTACTTGTGGAATGTTGGACTTCGTCGTTCTTCGCGTGCTACGATCCCGTCTACCGCTTCCAGGTGGTCGTCTAGTGTTGTGAATCGCGTGTTGAGCGAGTCGGCTTTGCTGCGCATTTGTGAGCGCAGTCGGTCAAGGTACTCTTCGCGTCGTCGCATTTGGATCGCGAGTCGTGTGTCTAGTGCTGCTGTGCCGCTTATTTCGGTTGTTGGTCGTGTGGCGAGGAGGCTGTCAATTGCGGAACGTAGGTCTGCACGTAGAGAGTCGAATTCCCATACTGCTGTTTGCACCGCTTGGTTGCTGCCGGTGAATTCGAGGTCCAGTGCGTTGCGAGCGTCTGGGAAGGTTGATTTCAGTTGTGATTCTAGGTCGGCCAGCATGCTCTCGCTTTGTTTGAGGATTGCGGATAGAGGTGTGAGGGTTTCGAGGGCGGTATCGAATATGGATTCCAGTTGGCGCTGGGAGGTTGCGAAGGTTTCTTCTGGGGGTGTTGCAGATGGGTGGAAGGTGCTGCGTGGTGGGTATGTCGCAGGGAAGGTAATGCAGCTGTTGGGGTATAGAGTCTTGATGCTTGGGATTTGACAGAGGTCTTTGGCTTGGTAGACTACCTCGGGGAGAACAAGGAGGTGCAGGATGATGGCGATCAAGACCGCGTTGATTGCTTTGCGGACAAGGGCAGCATGGCCAAGAAAGATGGACTTGGATTTCACAACAAGGCCTGCTTGTTTGGTGGTTGTCTCTGCTGACGCTGGTTCGTCTGTATCTCCGGCTTTAGCGCCGGCTCGGTCCTTCTCTCGCTGCTTTGCATTGTTCGACATGGAAACTTTGCGTCGTTTTCTCGTGCTTTCTGAGTCTTGCTGCTTCGGACTCCGTACATATTCTACCCATGACCCTTCTAGATTGGGTGTTTCGCAGATAGAAGGCATAATGAGCTCCGGGCCCGATATAGTCCATGATGATGAGGATGAGGATGCCAGCGACTCTGATGCCGGGCCAGCTGTCTTTGTCGTTGCTTTGTTGCTTTCATGCCGGGCATTTGGAGTTTTGGCGGGGTCTTCTTTTTCCTTCAAAGAAGCAGTTGATGCCACCACCCAGGATTCGCCAAGAGCCGGGCGATCTGGGGTACGCTGTTCTGTAGACATGGCGTAAACATTTCAAGACATGCACTTCGTGTATAGGTTAATATGTTCTGTAGTTAATATATCACTCGGAGCGTTTCAACAAATGTTTGGAATGCGACTGGCTCAAGCAGACCGTTGCGCGCGTAAAGCGGTGGGGAAGAAAGATCGGAGAAACCGTCGCGGCCGAGATCTTGCGAGTCTTCAGCAACCATGCGCTCACTGCTTCGCCTGAGACCGTCCCTAACGCCTGGCGTTAAATCTCTGCCACGGCAATGGCAATTTACACGGTCGCAGCCGCTGTCATACACAGCGATTCGCCATTGCTCGTGTTCTGACAAACCCGAAGCCCCAACGATACCTCCCACCGACCACCGAGCTCTCGGAACAGCCCAAGAGCTCTTCACATCTTCAGTCTACAGTCCCGGATCTCCTCTATTCCTCCCAAATGGCACACATGTTGTCAATAAACTCATCTCCTTCCTCCGCACCCAATACCTACAATACGGCTTCCGTGAAGTCTTGACCCCAACCATCTACAAAAAGTCGCTCTGGGAGATATCGGGCCACTGGCAGAACTACAAGGATGATATGTATGAGGTTACTGGTCGTGGAGCTAGTGGTGAGGCTGAGGGCGAAGTGGGTGAAGACGAATCCTACGGTCTGAAACCAATGAACTGCCCCGGCCACTGCCTACTCTTCAAGTCGCAAAATCACTCCTACCGCGACATGCCGGTGCGCTATGCAGACTTCAGCCCACTGCACCGCAACGAAGTATCCGGTTCACTTACAGGCCTCACGCGCGTGCGCCGCTTCCATCAGGATGATGGTCATATATTCAGTCGCCCACAGCAGATTAAATCGGAGATCACATCCGCATTGGGATTTGTGGACATGGCTATGAAGACCTTCGGACTCGGCCCGTACCGATTGGTGTTGTCGACTCGACCCGAAAAGGATTTTATTGGGACTTTGGAGATGTGGGACAATGCCGAGATGCAATTGCGCGAGGCTCTGGATAGCACTGGACGCGAATGGGCGCTGAATGAGGGCGATGGTGCGTTTTACGGCCCCAAGATCGACATCCAGCTCCAGGATCAAGCCGGAAAGTACCACCAGCTGTCTACTATTCAATTGGACATGAACCTGCCACAGCGATTTGAGCTGGAGTATCAAGTCGCAGAGGGTGAGCCAGACTACAACCCAGCCACACCCGGAGTTGCAACTCCAGTTTTGATCCACCGCGCCATCTTCGGCTCATTGGAGCGGTTTTTGGCGTTGCTGATTGAACAACATGGTGGTCACTGGCCATTCTGGCTTTCTCCACGCCAGGCTATTGTCCTGACAGTCAACCAAGACGATGCTGTGGTGCGCCAGGCTCAGGAAGCAGCAGCCAAATTCGCTGGTTTCCGTGCATTGGTGAATGATGGTACCGCTGAGTCGCCTCGTCCACTGTCTTCTGTCGACTCTACATTCTTGGTAGACGTTGATACCAGCGCACAGACCCTGGGCAAGAAGATCCAGCGAGCTAAACAGATGAAGTATAACCTTATCTTTATTCTTGGATCCAGAGACCTGGCCGAAGGTGGTATCACTGTTGATGTCACTGGGCAGATGCAGAGCAAAACAGATAAAGATGCTCAGACATTGCAGGCGCTGATCAAAGCCAGACTAGGTGATGATGCGCTACAGAATCCCCGAGCTGTTAAACTTAGCTTGGATGAGGTTCATCCGTTATTGGTTGAACTCGAGAAGAACTTTGTGTAATTTTGAATGTTGTATAATATCATGTGTGTTGGCATTTTGAGCGTGCCTGACTATTTTAAATTTTTTACTCCTATTATTGTATATTAAACCGATCTTTCGCCGAATTCAAGTTCTCATTCCAACTGCTGCACATCAATCGATTTGCGACCAAACAATGCCTGCGGCTATCATCGGAGTAGATGCCTTAAGGCAGAGATATCTCCGATATTCGGGGTCCCCCTATGGAGACAGGGAGAGTAGATGCTCGTCACAAATAGCTGTGAAGTGATAAAATGGAAGAAAAGGGAAGTTAAATGATACAAATAGACCCTGGGAATCCAGCAGCAGTATTTCCAGCTCATTACCAAGCCAAGAATAGCAGATCCATCGCGCCCTTCGACCAATATACATATCACGTGACTCCGCTGTCGGCGCCGAAAAAACTCGGCGTCATGGACAGGCCCATTTGAGTCACAGCATATTCCCCATTCTTAATTGGCCTTCTTTTTCTCTTTGCTATAAAAGAATCCTCGTGTCCATATTTTGAAAGCCAAGTTCTGCATTTAATCCAAATCAATTTTGAGTCTGCTTGGTCTAAATATAACAAGCACCCTACCTTTTATCGTCTCTTATCCACTTGCCCCCCGCGGTACCCCGCCAACACCATGCCGATGTATGTTGGAATGAACTCTTGGTTCGAATTTGTTGTTCATACATACTGATCTATAAAAAAGGCTCAAGGATCCCTCAAGAAAGTATAAGGCTTTCAAGCCGCTGGATCTGCCAAATCGCCAATGGCCCAACAAAGTTATTGATAAGCCTCCTCGCTGGCTGGCAACCGATCTGCGTGATGGCAACCAGTCTCTGCCAGACCCAATGGTATGATATGATGTACTCTTCGCCGCTGTTTTCTCATGTTGATTGGATTGGTTCTATAGGATGGCGAGCAAAAATACCGTTTCTTCAAAATGCTCGTGGAGATCGGCTACAAGGAAATCGAAGTGTCCTTCCCGTCCGCATCCCAAACGGATTTCGACTTCACCCGCCGTCTGGTCGAAGAGCCCGGTCTCACACCGGATGATGTCGCCCTGCAGGTCCTGGCACCCTGCCGTGAGGACCTCATCCGTCGCACAGTCGATTCCCTGAAGGGCGCTAAGAAGGCTATTCTCCACATTTACCTCGCAACGAGTCCCTGTTTCCGTCGGATCATCTTCAATATGGACCGCAAGCAGAGTCTGGAGATGGCTGTTAAATGCACAAAGTACGCCCGCTCTATCACCAAGGACGATCCCTCCCAGGCTGGCACAGATTGGCAATTCGAGTTCTCCCCCGAGACTTTCTCCGATACTGAGCCCGAGTTCGCTGTGGAGGTCTGCCAGGCTGTTAAGGCTGCTTGGGGACCCACGGAGGAGAAGCCCATCATTTTCAACCTGCCCGCCACGGTAGAGATGGCCACCCCCAACGTCTTTGCTGATCAGATTGAATACTTCTGCACAAACATGACTGAGCGCGAGAAGTTCGTTGTTTCAGTTCACCCGCATAACGACCGTGGCTGCGCTGTTGCTGCAGCTGAACTGGCACAGATGGCTGGTGCCCAGCGTGTAGAGGGTACTCTGTTCGGTAACGGTGAGCGTACCGGAAACGTGGACCTGGTCACTCTCGCCCTGAACCTTTACACACAAGGTGTCTCACCAGGCGTCGACTTCTCGGACATCAACGCTGTCATCAAGGTGGTAGAGGAGAGTAACAAAATTCCCGTCAACGAGCGTGCGCCATATGGTGGTCAGCTCGTGGTGTGCGCCTTCTCTGGAAGGTTTGTTTTCTTTTGTCCCCCAACTGTGTTAACTATTTTTGCTAACCTGTTTCAAAATTTAGCCACCAAGATGCAATCAAGAAGGGCTTCAAGCTGCGCCAAGATGGCGAAGGTGCCGACGAGGACACCGAATGGACAGTCCCGTACCTGCCCCTGGACCCTCAAGATATCGGCCGTACCTACGAGGCAGTCATCCGCGTCAACTCCCAAAGTGGCAAGGGTGGTGCCGCTTGGGTTATCCTGCGCAGCCTGGAGCTGGATCTCCCTCGCGCGCTGCAGGTCGAGTTCAGCAAGATCGTACAGGAGAAGACCGAGGCTGTCAGTCGGGAGCTGAAGCCTACCGAGATCGTCAACCTCTTCGAGGAAGCCTACCACCTCAAGTCAAACCCTCGCTTCACCCTTGTCGACTACAGCATCACCACCGACCGCTCGCAGTCCCCTGCTCCCCCCGAGCCCGGCAAGGCCCTCAACACCAAGAACCTCAAGCGTCGCTTCACCGGTATTATCGAGATCGACAACGTTCAACATGCCATCACCGGTGTCGGCCCAGGTGCTATCTCCTCCCTGGCTACCGCGCTTTCCTCCCTGGGTATCGATCTCGATGTCCGCGACTATAAGGAACATTCCATTGGTCGCGGTCGTGATACCAAGGCTGCTACATACATTCAGTGCACAGCAGCCGGCAGCAATCAACAGGTGTGGGGTGTTGGTATCCACCAGGATGTGGTCCAGGCCTCTCTGATTGCGCTGCTCAGCGCCGCCAGCTCGGTAAGATTTGATCTTTGAGATTTGTCTGCATTTCACCACTAACATGTGTTTAGTTCCTGGCCTCCCGCGCTGGCTCTCCTGCTCCTTTCCGTCCCATCCGCTCCAACACCCTCACCAACGAAGACATCCAGGCTCTCGAGCAGTTATCTGGTACCCCCGAGGCTGCCACATCTAATGGCGGCCTGAGTGCTAAGGTCAACATCGACCAGCTGACAACACAGGCTGGAAAGATGTAAATTAATTTTTTTGGAACTAAAAACCAAAGACTAAAAGTGATAGCAATAATGTGAATACCATGATCAATTCGAATCAAGCTGCTTTTTTCAATGCCGCGATTTATGGCATATCAACAGATATCTCCAACACATGTCAAGCCATAAAAGACCAGACTCACTAGAGAAATCGAAGCTCACCACCCAAACAACTCATCCAACCCCCACCCCCTCTTCGTACTGGCCCCATAAGAATTGAACGTCTGCGGCCCCTCCGCCGAAATAATATACCCATGCTCACAAGACGAGAACGAAACCTTTGGCTGGTTCGCGTAGAAGGTATCAAAGCCGGAATCCAGCGCATCGGCAAGACTGTTCACTTTACCGGCTGGGTGCAGCTGTCGCCAGGGGTATCGACATGCATCGCCTTCGCAGGACTTGAGCACGAGCATCAGTGCGTCCAGCCGCGCTATTATCTGTGGGAG